ACTACAAGGGGGTCCGCCACATGGGGGAAACTAATACAAAGGAATGTTTTCGGGGCTCACCATTTTCAGAAACACCTGCAACAACTCAGAAGCCGAAAACAATGACCCTTCAGCCGCGTGGCCAAATGAGTCGCAATCAAAACTGAGTCGGGTAGATGATCCGGATAGTAAGGGACAATCCCCTTTGCATAAATAGCTGCGGGTCTCCGCCTTCTGAATTCTTGAAGCATGGTTCTGGGTCGACTCATGGGGGCTGGGGGGGAGGGAGGGGAGGGAGGGGAGGGGGAGGGAGCCCTTATTCAGCCCTTATTCAGCCCTCAGGCCTTATTCAATTTGTTCAGGGCTTATTCATGGTTGTTGCTGGGAAACAATTTACATTTTTGCTTAGTTTAGTGGTTGAAATCCAACCACACAAATATGCTAAAAGAAACGATCATTTTTGCTCCCCAAACCCACCGTCAACCAAGTTAGGGCAGATCCTTAGACTTTAAGTTTTGGGAAAATCCGGTTGTTTCCCACTAAACCCCAAAAAGTTAAACTTTTTGCAGGGGGGTGAACAGCAACCAACGATTTTACTCCCGAGTTTTGACTCAAATCTTTTCGCCAGGTGCGCGTGGGCAACGGAGAGATCAAGCCTGCGGCCAAGCTCCGGATCAAGTCTGGTTGCTTGCGAATGCACCCCCAATCTTCCATTTAGCTGAAATGAATATGTTTGTGTATTTTATGGTTGTTGTTGGGAAACATTTGACACATTTTTGCTTATTGTGGTTTAGTGGAAAATCCTTTCTCAACTAATATTTTTGTTTATTGGCTCCAAAGTGGCACAAAATGGATTTTGCAACCATCCACAGTAGCAACATTGATTTGCTGAAATGAATATCGTGGTATTTCCCCTGTTTAGTTCTTTTTAAAAGGAACCTATCACTACTGGACATATTTCTATTTTTTCCAGGGGGCTTAAGCAAATGGAAGCTCAGCGGATGAAGAAGTTTACGTCTTGGGCCCTTGGGTTCTCAAAATCTTAGTGTCGTTTTGGGGGGACCGTCTCTTAGTCTAAGTTGGCGTTGGAGGGGAGCTTCAAGGCAACCAACCACATCCTGACTTGAGACAAGTTCGTAGAAAGGCTATGACCACAACCACGGAGATGTTTACCAGGTTGCCATCACGTTGCCATGTTTGCGTGCACACTCAGCAAGCAAAGGCATCCAATGGTGAGGGCGTATGCTTGTCTTTGATCGAGCGGCCAGTGAGAGAGTGCAGCGTAAGGTCTGTGAAGCCCGAGAACTTGTTGGCAGAGAGTGCGGGCCCCAGCCGTTCGAACCGAAGATCGGCAGAAATCGCGCTCTTCCAACCCGGACTTGCGGTGGTGATGCCTCACTTCCTTTTTTTTGGACCTGTGCCTCTTTGGGGGAACCAGCATTTTTCCTTTCACTGTCTAAAAGGTTCTCAGTGTTTTGTGCGGGCCGCTTGCTGGGCAGAAGGTGTTTCCCCTCTTTGGAGTGAAGAAGTTGTGCCTGACTGAGGGTCCTGAAAGACTGATTTCCCTTTGGTGCATTTTGCTTGGATGTTACGACTTTCACTTTTTGCCACAACGAGTGGGTTTTCCATTAAGCCATCAAAAGTTGAACTTTTAGCAGGGGAGCAGAAAGCAACCGAGTTTCGTAGGTCTGGACTCAGTTTCCCATGGCTATGGCTGGGGAAGACCATGAAAGCCAAGCCGTAGCTCTCCCAGGACTGCTTGGGAAGCCAAACGGCAAGCGGCTCAACCAGCCCGAAGGGGTTCCTTGCTTTTTTGTGTGTGGAGGTGTTTGTTCAGTTGGCTTAGTGGATTTCCACGCCACCAAAAGTGATAAACCATTGGGGGAAACCACTCAAGTTTTACCTTTTTAGTGGTTTCCCCAAATGGCCATCCCATGTAAAGGACCCTTTGATTTCACGTCAGAATGCAGACAGCCTCAGTTTCGTTAGCGAGCCACCTTTCTGCGGGGCAGCTGTGCCAGGCAGCCGCAGCGCCAAATGCTGGGGTTGTGCAGGTTTTAGTCTTTGGCTCCATTGAGCCACAGCCATATGCCCGGATGAAATTCCTATAGTAGGGGTGTTCTCTCCAAAGATGAATCCCCGCTGAAAGGGGGCCCTGTGACGCCCCCTAATCGCCTATATTAACTAGGTGCATTCCGAACCCCAAAGTGAAGGATCCCCAAGAGGCAACCGGCCCGGCTGAACCGAGGTAACGGCAGCAAGGCTGGGCTGAGTTTGCCAGCAGGGGGGAGGTGATGCAGTCGCACCTACAGCCATGTGTCAACACTAGGCAACGACGCACACGGAGCCTCGAGCCAGCGCGAAGATATGGCGCAACCGACCGAAGTGATGTACCCGATTTTACTGCTGAAGCTTTGCAACTTAATCAAAGGCTTTGTGGTGCTAGAAGCCACAAATCGTTGCTCAATCACAAACATCTCACTTCCTGAGTTCTTGGACTTTATACGTTTTGGGAAGACCCTCTTATCATGGTTGTTGTTTTTCAAGCATTTTCCCGTTTTTGCTTATTGTGGTTTAGTGGTTGCAATCCCCACTTAAGTGGTAAAAATTGAGAGTCGTTGCCTCCCTTCCAACGTCAACCAAGTTATTGGTACATAACAAGTTTAGACTCTGTTTGGCCAACCCTCGCAGGAAGTGAGACAGCCAAGTCACCAATTGCACATCGGTTTCCGTGGCTTCAGAAACGTGGCAGGCAATGCAGCTTTTTAACGGTAAGTGCTTTGGGGTGACTAGAAGGCAAGTGCTTTGGCCTTTTGCTTTAGGCGGGGGTGTCTCAGATGTGGGCCCCCTATGCTGGCTCCAACCAAAATGGTTGGTGTCCTTTTGTTTCCCATCGAGGTAGCAGCCGCCGAAAGGGGGGTTACCAAGCCAAGTTCCCACCAAACCATACTTGAAGGAGAGCGTCTGAAAGCAAACGCCAGGAATGTCGATGTTGTGGATGCGCCTTTGGATCCACCCCAGTTTTTGAAAGCACATGGCACACACACAAGTCCAACCCATGTGGACTACCCATCCCCGAAAAACGGGAGATCTCCGTGCCATCCACGTTCACCCTCCAAACGCGCCACGGTTTTTTTTTCGTGGTTCGCAAGAAGTGAGGCGCTGGTCGCATGCCTTGCGCCCTTTCTGCTCGCAGTTCGGTTGAAAGCCCAGGTTGTGGGAAGGGCTTGAACTCCCATGGCATGGTTGTTGTTGGGAAACTTTTTTCATTTTTGCCTATTGTGGTTTAGTGGTTGCAATCCAACCACCTAGCTGTTTTTATTTTATTTTTGGTTGCTCCCCTTCCAACGTCAACCAAGATGGCGCCGAATCAAGGGTTCCCCGGACAAACTCCACCAACAAAAGGACGGCCTTTTCTTTCCATGGAAATCTGGGCATTTGTTTCTGTTTTTTGTGATGGCCAAAATAAATCCATTGGAAAGCGGCCGAAATCAGGGGATTCATTCCGCGTTCGAGTCACCCAGTGGAATTCATTTGAGCCACAATCACCCGGGTGAGTGAAGCTTACGGGGTCCCAAGCGGCGCAGCCATTCATCCAAGCTCGCGAAGCCCTCCTTGTCCATCAGGCCGAGAAAGAAGCCGACGGGACCCCAGGTCGCATGAACCCAACTCACAGCGACTCTCGCCTTTCATGATTGCTATCTTTAGACTTCAAGTTGGTTTTCCATGTTAAACCCGCAAAAGGGTGAAACAACTGGAAAAAACAACAACTAGTTTCGTTGAAATCAAGTTGGTTTTCCAGGTTAAACCCGCAAAATGTTCAAACGGGTAAAAAACAACTGGTTGCAGAGCTGCCAACTGCAATCAAGTTTTGACTTGTTTGGTTTTCCTCTCATTTGCTGAGTTCCTGGAGTTTGAACAACTTTTGGGAAGGTTGAGCGGTAAACCGCAAGTTTGGTTATATTGTTTGGCCGATGTCAAGGTCCAAAAAGGTTGACCTTGTATTTCCATGTCCTTTTGGGGTGTGTGAAGGTACTGTACTTTGAGATTCCTTGCTTCAGGACACCAACCAACCACCAATCCAGAGACGAAGTCGCTACACTTGAAACAATTGGGTCGAAGTTCCTTCAAGTGCCGAGGTGCTTCCCCAAACGATGTGCGCCATATTCAAAACGTTCGGCTGCTCAGGGTTGGTAGGGATGGTCTAGCAATGTCTAGCACCAGTTTTGCAGGTTTCACTTCCAGCGCCAGCGACTTGAAACACAGCCACTCATCAAATCGACGATTGCTATTAGGTTGGATCTTTAGACTGTAGCTTTCGGGGATTTCAAGGGGATTCCCATTAAACCCACAACAAATTAAACTTTTTGCAGAGGGGTCGTTGCAGCATCCAAGATTGCCTTGCAAGGATGCGACGCTCTTGTGTCTTGTGTTTGTTGCCGGCAGCTCTTGCGCCCTAGGTCCCCCAGCTAGGTGCCGACCTCTCGCCCCTTTTTGGTTGGGAGGGTTCCCCTACTAAAATAGACTACTGAAAAAAAGTTGGTACACTTATTCTAACCTCTCTACTGGAGGAGCTAGTCATGGTTGGATCCGATGTGGAGAATCTCCTGACATGTCCAAGGCGCATCTCAAGAGTGGTTGCTGTTTCTTGCCAGACTTAGCTCAAGCCCTGGCTTTTGTTTCGATCTCAAGTCAGCAGAAGCGAACCTCTTTTTTTTACGGGATCGGATCGCTTGCCGCGAGTTCGTGGCTCAAGCGAGTTTGGCACGCCTGGCACTCCGCAGAAGCAAACATGCGGCACGAGGTGTTCATCTCAAAGCGGGCGTTGCCCAAGGCAGAGATTCGGATTGAACGCCAAACAGCCCATATTTCTTGCTTGAGGCTTCCCGCCTAGCCCAAGTCTAAGAAGCAGGATGCATCACTTTGCATCACTTCATGTAATTTCCGGACAGGACTGGTTAGATAGATTCCACGAGCTATAGCAAGGGGATGCAGACAGAAGTACGTAGTGAGACCCCACCCACACCCGCGTGACGCCTTGACTTTGTGTCGGCAGCTCGGCGAAGCCGAGCTGAGCATGACGCAAACATCTCCGCCATGACGGAAGCCGTAGCCGAGAATGCAGCCGAGAATGTGGAGGCTCAAGGCTGGCAATGACCCTTCCCTTCTTTCGCCTGGTTTGTTGGTCGGGTTGTCCCACGAAGAATGAACCAGCCGAACAGGATTTTATCCAATTCTCCGAACGGTTGCTGGTTGCAACTGGGTCCCTTTCTCAGCATGGCAGGCAGGCTGGGGCGTTGTTGCCTATTTTTCGGGGCAGGCAGTCAGGTACCCACAATGGAGGGTTTGGATTGGTGGCCTTACAGAGGGGGCAGCTGAAACCTCACATCTTGGAAACTCCATATTCAAGTCAGCCTCCTTTGGGTGATGCAATGCAACAAAACCCTTGGGATTCATCCAGCCAGATTCCTCTTGAAACAGCTTTTTGTCGCTTGCTTACCAATTCGGGTTCTTCCGAATTGTGTGGGCTTCGACTCCTTCCCGTCCCTTGCGTGAAGCGATATAAACTTCCGGCATTTGCCGATTCTTTTGCCATGGGCCCCGCTCGCAGGAAGTTCTCAAGAACCCAAGATCACCCGATTCGCTTGGCAAGTTCGATCCGGTTCCTTAGGCCTCTTCGGGAGTGGCTCAAGGCACCCGATGGCTCAACCCACACGTGCGAAATACTTTGCGCAGATCTCAAAACGGGCACTTTGCGCGCGCGGCGGGGAGTGGTAGTGTCCACTGAACCCACGAAAGCTGAAACTTTTCGCGGATCTGAGGAACAGAGATTGGGCAAGCCAGGAGTCAGAGCCACAGGAGCCCCGGTGACTAGTGACTAGTGACTAGTTAAGGCCAAGGGCCAAGGGCCCAGAACCTTTCCATGGCCCTCCTTTTCACTCTGAATCAACTTGATTCAAATTTGCGGGATAGGCAACTGATCCACTTCTGCGAGAGGATCAGTTTCCGTTTCCATTTGTGACAGCGGGAAAAAGCGTGCCCCTTTGGGCATTATGATGAGTACAAGAACCAGTTTACCCCTACAGCCGTAGGCAGGCACTCTAACTATTATTGTAAAGTCAAACCCCAGTCAATTCATGACCAGACCATTCTAGGTCTTATATTGTTTTGGCTGTTACTTCCATTTGCTTAAGACTCTGTTTTGATTTCCCTTTCCCCTATTAATTTTAAGGTGAACGTATCACCTGTCTGATTATTTCCAGGGGACGAAAAGGCAAATGAGCCACAATCAAAGCCCGGGTAGATGAAGGTTAGTAAGGGCCAATCCCAGCCGTAAATAGCTGCGGCCGCCTTCTTAATTCTTTACATGGCTCTGGGTTCACCATTTGAATACCGGGTTTTGATTGTGGCTCAAATGGAGGCCTAAAAATGACTGACCGCCAGGGACGCGCCGACCCAGCAGCGCCTTTGAGAATGAAATGGCCACTTGGCGCGATTCGGGAAGTTCCCGCCAGGGTTGGGGGGGGGGGCGGGTGGCCTGAAAATGGCATGGGTTTCCCGGTTTTCCCTTGAAGCCAGTTTCCACAAGTCCAGTAATTACTACACAGATGACTCTGAAAGTTCAGCATGTCGCATTTTGTTTGGGTCCGGTTCAATCCCCAGAGTTGTCTTGTGCATGTGCTTGTGTGTGTTTTGTTTTTTGTTTTGTGTTTTTGTGGATTCCATGTTGACCCGGGCCGCATGGATCCCGAGCTGATTGTTGGCTGGCTTCCGCTACCAGGTCGCCCAATCTTTACGTTAAAACACTCAGCCACTATATGGTTGGCTCATGTTGTTTTTGGGGTTCCCATGGTTCCCCCCAAAATTGTGCTTTTCCCGTCGGTTTCCCTTTGTAAAACCACGGCAAAAAAACGGGGTGCCCTCCACAATGTGTATCCGGCGGGGAAAACCACGACGCCCTTGCAGGTTGGCCCTGGGAGTTCCTTCGTCTCCTCTTTGGCGTAGAAAAAATCAAAACCGATTGACCCAGCGCGTAGTTAAAGGAACCAGCATTGCCTCACTTCCTCAGTTCATGAACATTAGCTTTTTGGGAAGATCATGTCAGTGGTAAATATAAAGTTTGAACTTTTTTGTGGCCATCCACTCAGCAACTAAGTTGCAGCACGTTAGTTAAAGGTGGCCTCCCGGCAACCAACATGCACCCAGGTTCCTGGAAGACCATTTGCACCTAGTGCAGTCCATGCGTGGTCGGAGGGATGTGCTTATTGCCAGTTGATCCCACTGCCTGTGGCTGGCCCAGAAGGCTTCTACCTGGGTGAAGGGATGTTTTCCCAATAGGTTTTCAGAATGAGACACACTCCTTCAATGAATCCTGGATTGCCGATGGAAGTCAAGCATTGGGAGGGGCCTCGAGTTTGAGATGGTGCACTTCAAGGCGAATGTCATTTCTAGTTGAGCGCACCACAGCAGCTAAAGTGGTTCTGGGACCCATCCCCACCCCCTCAAAATGGAATTGGGGGAGGGGGGTGACCCCTAGAGATCTTCATTTCTGGTTCCATTTTCCCGTTGACGGAGAAGAACAAATAAATGGAATTAGGAAGCTTAACTTAAACCCCAGCACGCCTTTTAGGATAGGGTTAAGGGAGGTTTTTCGGAATGTGACTCAACCGCCCAGAAAAGTGGGAAGTGCCCACTGCCTGTGATAGACCTGCAACGCTTCGCAGTAAGTTATTGACACAGCGGGTCGAGGGGTCTGTGTTTTTGAGGGTAATCATACCCCTCTTCTTTTGTGGCTTTAAAGGGAAACCACAAGGAAGACGACAGTTTTGGGTCCCCCCCACACCCCTAGCCCCCCCCCCCTGCCGGGCCTCGGTCTTATTTCCATGGGCACCGAACGCGTTGAGGACGAGTGGGACAACAGCCTCGAGCGACAGCAGGTCAGGAGCCGCTCCATGCTGAGTCTTGGCGTGTGATGGGCCCGCGTTTTGGCGGTTTTGGGCCTGCAGTCATTTTCTCGCTGGACCTCCAACTTTTCGTGTGTGGACCATCTTGGCCCTGGGTCATAACCTATGGCGTCTATTTTGGGGCGGATGACCACCCATGTACCACCTATTTTGATGTTCACCAGGGTACAGGGTTTGACCCACAGCCTTTTTAACGGATGGACATTTTTTGGCCAATCCACTCAGGAAGTGAGGGTTGTTTGACCTCAAACTGTTCCTTCGGTTCTCGCTTGCCCAAAGCCGACCTTGTCGCCTTGTGGTTTTTCCTCGTTTGGTTTATAGGTTCTGCTCCCCCAAACCCACCCACTCGGTCAACCTGGGACGTCCATGAAAGTGTACCCGCAACAACAAGAAGACCGCACGTGGTTGGTCGCATGGCGGTTATTTATTCCTCCTTTGGGCGGTTGCGCTTTCCCATCCCTTGCCTAGAGACTCCGAACCATGCCCTTGCCGGTCGGTTGGTTCCATTTGGTTTGCATTTGCAGTGGTCCACAAGGCCCAGGACATGCATAGAGCCGAGTTCCATTGCGAACTCGGGCTTCAAAGTTTGGCTTTGGACAAGGTGCTCAATGCTTGTGAGGTTTGGTCGACTTTACCTTCTTGTGCCAACGGGGGTTGATCAAAAGGGGTTCGATTCCTCAGAACACCATGCTCTGCCTCATGAGGGGGGTACCCTATCTCCAAAAGACACACCTGGATGGTGGCAAAAGGACCTTTCCGACCTCACCCGTGTCTCACGCAAGGCAGAAGCAGTCTTCACTGAAGCTATCCCGAGCTTCAACTGGAAAGCTATCCCGAGCTTCAACCGCAAGGCGCGAACCAGATTTCCAGAGGTACGGTGGATGCCCTAAAATTGCAATTAGGGAACAAGAGTGGTTTACTTGAAGCTAAAAGACAGGCCAAGAATCGCAATGACATGGATTACCAGGCCGCCAGGGAACGCTCTTTGTTGAAGCAAAAAAGGTTCGGAGCGGACGTGGCGACCCGAAAGCCCCAAAGCCCTCAAAATATGACCCCCCCCTCCCAGATTCATACCCAATTATTTGTCCAGGGATCTATTTTTTTGGGGGGAGTTCTAAGTTTCAAAACTCAACAAACAAATCACATGATGTGCGCAATTGGCCCTTACGGTGGATGCCCGAAATATTGCGCCGCTTTGTTCCTCCAACAGGACCCAGGGCTTGAATTCCATATGCAGCCATTACAGCCTTATAAAGTATATTTCAGCCACGGTAAAAAGTATATACGCTCCTGGTTGTGGACACGAAAGCCGCCGGTTTTGTTTTCTTCAGTCTTTAGAGAATTCGTTTTTGTTGACCCCTTTTTGAGCCATGCGCATCAAACAGAATGTTCCTAAATGATCATTTGCGTTTGAGCCTCTACCCCCTTGTTGGTTTCCACAAAAATGATTGGGGCACTGTATGGCATACGATTTTGAATGCGTGAAGGCACACATATATGCGTATGTGTAGGTGTATATAGACATATACTCATTTATGTGAATGTGCACACCCAGCAACTGAGACGTACTCTGATTGGTTCGCATGAAACCATCAAACACACAGGGAAAACAGCTGGTTTGAGAAAAGAACGATGGTCGAAAGGTTGCACATTGAGGTTTTCCGCCGTTTTCTGGCCCCAGGTTCAAATGCTTTGGTTACAGGAACATCTACAGGACATGGGTCACCCTTTTATGGCTGGGAGGAACCCCCCTACGGAAACTAGACTACAGGGAAAAAAAAGGGCACCCTTATTCTAACCTCCTGTCTGGAGGACCTAGAAGAGGTGTTAGTACGCGACCATTTTTTTTTTACAATAAACACCTTTAGCAATGGTTGGGAAGGACTCTGCACCCCGTGAACAAATCTGTCGACCAACCCTTTGACAGGTCCAGCCTTAAATACAAATAATCTCTTGTTTTTTGCGGCCCTAAAAACATAATAATATTAATATGTGTTGTTTTTGCCTGAACAACAACTAGGTCCCCCAGCTAGGTGCCCATTTACTCTCTTGTGGGCGAGGGTTCCCCTACTAAAATAGACAAACAAGAAGAATAAAAAGTTGGCACCAACTTATTCTTTCCTCTCTACTGGAGGACCTAGGCAAAATGACATGTTGTTTTTCCCCCCCGGGTCGAAAAAAAAGAAACGGCACCAACTTGTTCTAACCTCTCTGCTGCAAAACCTAGACAAAATAGCCGTTTCTTTTTTCTGCTTTTCCCCGGGCCGCCAGGCTTACGACTTCCAAGTCCTGGGGCCGGGCCTCGACTCTGGGATGGCTGGGCCAGGCGGGGTCTTTGCGCCGGTGCCCAAGGGCAAACGAGCCACGTGCTCGAAACCGATTTGGGTAGATCCGGTTAAGGGACAGTCCCCTTGCCATAAATAGCTGCGGATTTTTTTCCGGCTTCTTAGTTCTTGAGGCATGGTTCTGGGTCGACCATCTTAGTACCGGATTTGGATTATGGATCAAACCACGGAGGGGTTCTCTTTAGGCCTATGTGGCTGCGTCGTTCTTGAAGGCCGGACCCCCTCCCCAAATGGGTTTCGGTGTTCTTGTTGGTTCTCCTGAAAAACACAGAAAAGGGGCATACCCTCCAAACTAGAGCCACGGGTGGCCCGAAAGAATGGAAAGTGAGCTTTGGTTACATGCATGGGTGTTTGCTTTCCTTTTCATGGGCTTATAGCCCATCGTGCTAGCGTGGATATTTGCAGACATTTTTGAGCAGCGATTTACTTCATGTTTACCTCCGGAAATCCTCTTGATTTCAACCAAAAAGTTAAAGTCTAAAGACCCGTTACCCAACAGCAAGGAAGATCTGGCATCCTTGTGCTTCCCAGGCACAAACGTCTACCAAGATCCTTCGAGGAAGCCGCAAGGTTTTTTCATAATGAGACGCTGGATTAACCAACCCTAGTTTTGTTAAAGTGATGGCCCCATAGGAATAAGCAGGGGTTGGCTGATCCGGGGTCAACAGTATTAGCGGTGGCTTCTTCTTTCTGCTTCTTTTGTCACTTTCTTTGCTTGCCTTGTCCTTTCTCTGCTGCCCTTAGATTTGCATGGTGTTTGTGTTCTCTTTCCTCTTGTCTTTTCCCTTCTTCCACTTCCCTTCCCCTCATTGCTTTGCTGGTTTCCCTTTTCATGTTTTGTTCGTCCTTCTTTTTCCCTTCTCTCTCCCCATGTGTCGATCTTCTTTTTCTTTGGTCACCTTCCCTGGTCGCATTTCTCGTTTGCCCTGTTGCCTTTTCTTCTTTTCCAACTTCCCTTTCTTCTTCTTCCCTCCCCTTCGCTTTCCGGTCGTTTGTCCCAGAAAAACGTGTGAGGTGTTCCCTTGCCGGCGCGAACTTAGGGCTGGTTTGGTTTGGGGAAGAGTCAATGGGTGGGTTGTTCTTTGGTGGGTTTCTTTAAGCCAAGTTGAAAAGCTAGGTCCCCCAGCTAGGTGCCCTTTCTCACCGTTTCTGTTTTGGTTGCGAGGGTTCCCAACCCTACTCAAATAGACAAAAAGGAAAAAGTGGGTACCCTTATTCTAACCTCTCTACTGGAGGACCTAGAAAGGGTAGCCTGAAAAATCACACAAGTTGGAGAGCAGCTAGACTTGTTAGGTTCTGACCATCCCGAAGCATCAAAGCTGCACCCTTGATTTTTGCTATCGCGCTCCTTAGTTGTCCTCAGTTGCTCATTCATTTGTTGTTCAAAGGTAAACCTGCACACATGAGGGGCATGTGAGTCGGAAGTTTGTTTGGGTGTGATGGTTTTGAGGGTGCCCTTGTTGGGCTTGGTTTAAAGGGAGACCAATTTCCCTTGTTTACAGAACTCCGAAAACCTGCTGATTCGAAAAAGAACGCGTGTCGCAGAAACAGACTTGATTCCTGCATGCGGTGCAGACAAATGCGATGTATTTCATCGCCAGACTAATCTGATCTGTTTGCGCTTCTGCCCTTTTGGGTGTCCTTCCCTCCCTCTTTTGTGGAACTAAGACTGTAGCCCTTGCGAAAGGCCAAACACCAAAAAAGGGCGCCGCCTTTTTTCCCCAGAGCAGGGTGTGTCTTTGAGGGTACTTTTGTTTAATGCCTTTTCGGGGGAAACAAACAATCCACTCGTTTGGGGAGGTTTTTTTGGATTTTGAGACACCCCTTCTCTCCGCCTGGCAGGACGATGACACCACCTCCGGCATTCTCGCAGAAGCCCAGCACCGATTCAGCGATGACCCAGGGATTTGCATCGCCATTTGGTGAGTCCCCAACGAGTGTCCGAAATCCGTTGGCTGGTGGTTGGAAGGAACATGTACCCGGACCCAAGGAGCAACCAGTCTGTAAGCACATGGTAGTCCATAGCGCACCTAAAAAAGACATGTTAAGCCAAAAGGGGACGAAAGCTTTGACCTCTCAGAAGAAACAAAACACGAGTCGTTGAAACATGGGTGATTAAGATTTTGGGGACCGCCTTTGGGTGTTACAGGGAATCCAAAAGGAGACAATGTTGGGAATGGATCCCTTTTTGAGCATCTTATAGGTGCTTCTCTAAACAGAGCGCCCTCTAAGTTGTTTGGTTTCCTTTGGAATTCCTTGCCAACCAACCAAAAGTGTGTCCAGCATTTGGCTGTAACAAATGTACCAACAAGGTCACCTGGGTAAATGGAAGCAAAGACTAAAACCTGTAGTTTGCCGCGGGTTTTAATTTTCAGCCACACCTATTTTGAGACCTTTCGGTTTTCACATTTTCACCTTTTGGTTTTCCAATTTGGTTAGCCATTTTTAGAATGGCCGTGCCTAACTTTTCCTGTTGCGGCACATATGTGACTCATTTGTCGGAAAAAATCAAAATCCATGTTTTGTGTGTGAACTATCTGGTTGAACGCAACTCTTTCTGGGTTTTTCCTTGGTTTTCCTTGGTTTTCCCAACTCACATAAGTGTTTTTGTCTTGTCCTTGGTTTTCCAACTCACCGCATGGTTATCCCATGCTCCCAGCTTTGCATCGACCATCGATCCGCTGCCCGGGCCATCGCTGAGGACTTTGTGAAGCGCGAGCGCTCGAAGGCCAAGAACCCCGAGGCGCGGGCGATGACTTTTATTCTCGGTGGTCGTTTGGAGACAGGGTTCTTGGTGGTTCTCAGTTATGCCCTTGCTTTTGTTCTTTTTGTTTTAAGCATTTGTAGTGTTTAGTGGCTGGTTTTCATTCAACCCACCAAAAGTTAGACCCTTAGCGGGGGATCACAAAACGGACAGCCCAGGGTTGTGGTTGATCACCAGGGCTTTATCCTACCCAGGGTTGTGTTTTGTGATTGGGAGAATTCTTCATGGTTGTTGTTGAGAAACAGTTTTCCCATGTTTGATCTTATTGTGGTTTAGTGGTTGCAATCCAACCACAAAATCTGCTAAGATTTGAGAATTGTTGCTCGCCTTACGTCAGCCAGGTAGCCAAGTCTTCCTCTTTGTTTGGTGAGTCTTTGAAATTGGGGCCCTTTGTATACAGAAGTGGGTTCCAGTTCCCGCAGCCCTGGGAGACGTCGGCAGGAACAAAGAAAAGGTAGCCTTCCACCAATTAACATGGAACCTGACCTTTGGGTGCTAGAAGGCCATGTTTCTTTTGAAGGGACCGTTTTTTTTTTGTCAGGTCCAGAATTTGGTGGGACTCAATCTTGCTGTGGGCGGTTGCAAAATCCATTTCGGACCACCTAAGGAACCCTGGTTTCTGATTCGATTCCCTTGCAAATGCCAACAAACAATGATTTTAGCCATGGTTTCAAAGTGGTGAAGGATTGCGTCCATCCGCAACTTTCATTTTTTTGGAAGACCATGTTAGTGGAAAGGTTTGGACTTTTTGTTGGATCCACTCGATTGGAAGTGAGTAGGTCCAGGGCAGATTGCGCGATGTCATGGTTGTGGTTCCATCAAAAGCGGGTGTGGGCATCCTCTCAAGAGAGGAGGAACCACTTCTGGCATGGTTCCGGAAGATGTGATGCCATGACGACGCACTTTGATATGTGTGGCCAGGTGAACAGCCCACCGTGATTTTTTGTCGGGGTCTCTTTTGAACATGTTTTCAGTTTGTAAGGCTTGCTGAATGTGGAGCAGAGCCAAACAAGTTTTTATGTCTGGGTTGGGGGCAACAGCTGAGGTTGGGGCAACGGGACATTGGTTGGCAGCTTCCTTTGAGCCTCACTCAATGACATGGGTTTGCTTTCCAATCGTCAGGAGCCATCTCTTTGGGTCCGGTGAAGTTGAAACGGGAGGGGGGGACTCGGGGATTTGCGAGCGGTGGGCGGTGGGTTGGTTTCCAACCATTCTGGGTCCTACCCACTCCTCAAGGTGAGAGATATGTAATTGAGTTGGGGTTGCAACAAATGGCTTCTCCCGCATATTGGCGTAGCAGCATGCCTGGAGGAAAGCCAAAGGGAAACCACCAGTTCCGAGAGTTGCTGATTCGACAAACCCCGATGCTTTGCTATAAATAAAGGCCAAGCATTACATTACTTTTTCTATGTCCTGTCCGGCATCCCCCAACGACTGCATTTTGGACGGCGCTGCGGCTCTGAGGGAAAACGCAGCTGTTGGGGGCTGCTGCGCTGTAAGTCCATTGCTCGGCCTGTTTTTTTTTTTCCATGGGGGGGGGAGGTAGTGCAAAACCCACTTCCTGAGTTCCGTTTCGGACTTTACTGTAGCTAGGTCCCCCAGCTAGGTGCCCTTTGACCGTTTCTTTTTTGGGCGAGGGTTCCCCTACTAAAATAGACATAAATAGACTACATAAAAAAGGGTACCCTTATTCTAACCTCTCTACTGCAGGACCTAGGTAGTCACTTTGGGGGTCTGGACCATTTTTGTATATAACAGGTTTAACGTTACCCTCCCTCCCACTAGCATGGCACTTGTGGGAGGGTACCTGGAAGATTTCCTCTTGGGGAACCCCTGTCAGGCGCCATGTTGGTGGGAGGGTTCTTGTTTTGGCCAATCCACTTCCATGAAGTGAGTTGTTATGGTCGTCGGAGTCCATTAGGATGGTTGTCGTCCTTCGAAGGCGGCACCTTTCAGCACCCAAGTTGCCTTCAAATGGGCCGTGCCGTCGACAACCCCCCCACATAGGAACTAAGTATCCAGGTGTCTTCTGTTTTTTCCCTGTAAATTGCTGGCTTAGATTATCACGTCTCGATCCAGCCTCGGATTGCATGCAAGGCCACCTCTCAGCAGTACTTGGAGCGAGTGCTGACTCGTAGCAAGGCGCTCCAAGGCAGGGTGAAGGATGCATGTCACACAACCGCCCAACGGAATTAGCCTCCCTTTGGTGCATTCTGCTTGGATGTTAAGACTTTAACTTTTTGCAAACTAATGAGTGTTCCATTAAACCACTAAAAGTTAAACTTTTAGCAGGAGAGCAGAAAGCAACCGAGCTCCCTTCAGAATCTAAGATGGTTTCCACTGTCCCCAAACCACTGCCCACGGGTTTAATATTGGATATATGTCCACTAGAAAAACACTATATAAAACACTATATGCCCCGCGCCTTCGCAGCGATTCTCCTAAGGGCCCCTGCCAGGTTCCATGCATGCGGCCCGGATAAGCTTACATTTGCTTAAGTTTTTTCCATTTTCCACTGTTGGTTTTTTAAGGGAATCTATCACTGCTGGATGTATTTTTTTCAAAGGGGCTTAAGCAAATGGCAGTAAATGGAGGACGTCCATGAAGACGTCAATGAAGGTGGAAGACTATGCAATTCCAACAGTTTCAGGGTTGTGGAATCAAGCGGTTTATCCACACTTCTGGGATACAGGGGAATCTCCCCCTTTGTATGGCAGGTTTCTCTTTGGGAAGCTCATTTTGGTGTGTCACATAAGTGGTCATTTCCCACAGCCCTGAATAGTTTCCTTTGCAAGGTAATTGGAGAAAACATGTGCAGCTGGGGGACCTCGCGAAGGTGTGTTAGAGGGTATTATTGTTTGGGGGAGAAGGGATGAATGCTGTGCGAACTTGGACGCTTGGGGTGGGGTCAATCCCAAACATATATGTGTGTGTGTGTGTATTAATGGAGTGCAACCGTTTCACATTAATTTGCGGTAGAGGAACACCGCAAGGAACACCGCAATTGGTGGCGTCCCCCCTTTTGGCACATACCCAAATGTCACTCCTTGCATTGCTGGGTGTGTGTGTGTGTGGTGTGTGGTGTGTCTGTGTTTGTGTCTATGTCTGTGTCTGTGTCTGTGTTTGTGTCTGCGGTATAGCTGTCCAGGCAGCCCACCCCTCCCATTTCTGTCTCAAAAAGAGGAGCGAAGCAATGCAGTACTGCAGGGTGAAAGTAGATGGGACAATGGCACACATAGGTGTCCTTTTTAGGTTAGTTTGGTTAGAAATAGATGGCACTGGTTTAGATGGGGGTTATTCCACTTACCAGGGCCATCTATTTTTCCGAAAGGCCACCTATGATTGCACAATTCCATTATTTTGGTTTAATGATCCCTTGCGCTTACCCACATAAACAGAGTTCTGCCATCTCCTTTCACCCGTCGGGAGTTCTCGGAATTGATCCCCACCAATTTCTGGTCGGTGTCCTTAAACGACGAGTTGGGCATAAGGTTGAAGATATTACTTTCATGGAGGGTGAAACTTTGACGATACTGTGGATGGACGAAATCCATTTCGCACCACCTAAACACACCCTGGGGTGATGCTTCGCCGTTAAATACCAACAAACGTTATGGTTTCCCATGGTTTCAAAGTGGTGCGAAATGGATTTCGTCCACCCACAGTATCACTTTCATGGAACCTGCGGCTGTCAGGCAAAGGGATGAAGAAGGTCATGGGCGTGCTTCAGTACGAGCAGCTCTATGCCATGATGATGGCCAGCGTGGTGCAAGAGTGCAAGGAGGGCGGTCAGTTGCAAGGAATTTTCGGCGGTCACATGCCCACCCCTTGAAATATGGCTCCTTATTAAAAGATACATTTTGCCCATTTGAAACATTGTTTTTTCCACCAAAACAATAGGAGACCAGGTGTACAATGCAAGGATCCTTGTAATATGGAATTGGGAGGGGGGTGACACCTGGAGATCTCCATTTCTGATTCCATTTCCCTTTTATGGAGAAGACTAGATGAATGGAGTTGGGGACCCCCACGCCCTTCCCCTTGTGGTAGGGGGATGCAGTCACCAAGAAACAAGTGTAAAGGTTGTCTACTGGCTGGGTGAGACCAAAGGTGACTTCCCACAAAGTCACGTCCAGGAACTCTGCAATTGAGGCTTTCCATTGGTTTGGAGGTGTTCCGCGGGTTAATCGGGCACGTGACCTCATCTTACCCTTGGGCTTGGGAAATCAGTTGCCGAGTTCTTATCTCAGCAAGAAAAATGCCAGGCTCTCTCTTGGGAGGATCACAGCAGGAAGAGAAAATCAATGTCCTGAAAAACACAACTATGGGCAGATCAAGTTGTGGCGTCCTTGTCGAAAGCCAAAAAATGCTCCTCAGAAGCCAAAAGTGTACACTTTCTTTGTGGGCTCAGTGGCCACGTGAGGTGCAAATTCGGAAAGTTTGGCGCAGTTCCATCTTAGGACCTGATAAATTCACCCTACCACCAAGCGCGACAAATCGCGCTTGGGTGGTGCCTGGCCGAACCCCCCATATGTGTCAAAAGGATTGGCTTTCCGCCCAACATGTGGGTTTTCCTTTCTGTTTCCCTTGAACCACTCCAAAACATTGCCCCAGAAAAGTCGAACACATCCTTTGAATAGTTTTCTCGCAAGTTCCAGGATGTTCTAGGGTTTGATTCCCCATGCTTTTCAACCCTCGTTCTTTTCCAAAACCAGGCGTTGTTTTTTCTTCTTCTGTTCTTCCGGAGGTTGTCTAGAAAGATCCGGATCCCTGGAAAGAATGGAAATGGAAGGTTGTTTCTAGAGATGTGTAACGAGCTTATGAAGGTCCTGGGCCAACCGGAGCGCCCGACATGTTTTCTCATCCGTTCCGATGCCAGGATCGGGGGCTTTTTGCACGGACTCCCGCCAACTCCTTCAAGCAACAGTGCAAGACCATCCACCAGCTGCCGCTTGCCTAAGCTCGGAGCTGCTTGTTTGTGATATATGTTCACTGTGATTGGCAAGTTGTTCGGTTATGTTGCGTGGTGTTCGGCTCATCTTCATTTACACACACAAATAAGTAAATAAATAAATATATATATATATATATGCACATATGTAATTGTATATAGTTGGGGGGGTCCGTTCATGTTTGGTCACTTAGTGGCAGCTGCAGAGAAAAAGGTGATTGTTGCTACCATGCCACGGGGTCTAAAGTGCTTGCCGAGTTTTCGCCAGGCAGCCACTGGATCCTGGTGCCCCAAAGCTCTCAGTTGTTCAGTGGCACCAATCCTTTTCCCCTTTTTTTGGGTGGCTGCCCCACTAAAATGGTCCAAGCCCCAAAAAGGGTTCCCTTTTTTTTCCCCAGGGTCACTGAACAACTGAGTGTTGGTAGGTGGCTTTTTCTGGGGTCATTGTTTTGATGGTGTCTGGTGGTTATCAAAGTCAACAAAATGGGGGTATATGGGGGTGTTTCCCTTTAACCCACCACTCACGGGGTCACCTTGATCATGGTAAAATAATGAGGCCCAAAGTGCTTTTGTTGGTAGGTTGCTTTTAGTTTGTTTAGCGGGCAAAACCAGCTGGGCCACCAAAATCCATTTTTAGGGCCGACATCCCATTTGGAGACGTCCGAAGTTCAGCGTCGAAAGCCGAGGAAGCGCCTGACGCTGACGCTGAGCACCGCAGTGCTCAACTGGCACTTCACCTTCCGGCGCCCCAGCTGAAGCTACTCGCGGAGCCCAGCTTAACTCCCTTTAAAAAAAAATAAATCCCCTGTAGGTGTTAATGCTTGGAATCGATTTCACTCCTGGAAATAGTATTTTCGCCTGTTGGTTTTAAAGTTGGAATCGATTTCACTCCTGGAAATAGTATTTTCCCCTGTTGGTTTTAATACTTGGAATCGATTTCACTCCTGGAAATATTATTTTCCCCTGTAGGTTTTAATACTTGGAATCGATTTCACTCCTGGAAATATTATTTTCCCCTGTTGGTTTTAATACTTGGAATCGATTTCACTCCTGGAAATAGTATTTTCCCCTGTTGGTTTTAATACTTGGAAATCGATTTCACTCCTGGAAATAGTATTTTCGCCTGTAGGTGTTAATACTTGGAATCGATTTCACTCCTGGAAATAGTATTTTCGCCTGTAGGTGTTAATACTTGGAATCGATTTCACTCCTGGAAATAGTATTTTTGCCTGTAGGTGTTAATACTTGGAATCGATTTCACTCCTGGAAGTAGTATTTTCGCCTGTAGGTGTTAATACTTGGAATCGATTTCACTCCTGGAAATAGTATTTTCGCCTGTAGGTGTTAATACTTGGAATCGATTTCACTCCTGGAAATAGTATTTTCGCCTGTAGGTGTTAATACTTGGAATCGATTTCACTCCTGGAAATAGTATTTTCGCCTGTAGGTGTTAATACTTGGAATCGATTTCACTCCTGGAAATATTATTTTCCCCTGTTGGTTTTAATACTTGGAATCGATTTCACTCCTGGAAATATTATTTTCCCCTGTTGGTTTTAATACTTGGAATCGATTTCACTCCTGGAAATATTTTTTCCCCTGTTGGTGTTAATACTTGGAATCGATTTCACTCCTGGAAATAGTATTTTCGCCTGTTGGTGTTAATACTTGGAATCGATTTCACTCCTGGAAATATTATTTTCCCCTGTAGGTTTTAATCCTTGGAATCGATTTCACTCCTGGAAATAGTATTTTCCCCTGTAGGTTTTAATACTTGGAATCGATTTCACTGCTGGAAATATTTTTTCCCCCTGTAGGTTTTAATACTTGGAATCGATTTCACTCCTGGAAATATTATTTTCCCTTGTTGGTTTTAAAGTTGGAATCGATTTCACTACTGGAAGTACTTTCTATTTTTTCCAGGCGGCTTAGGCATATGGCAGCGATTGGTTGGATCTTTCCTAGGGTCCCCAGTACTGCCCTTTCTCACCCCTTTTTTGGTTGGGAGGGTTCCGAACCCTACTAAAAAAGACTACAGACAAAAGTTGGCACCCTGATTCTAACCCCTCGACTGGAGGACCCAGTTTCCTCCCTGTTGTTCAAGACCGACATGTTTGTAACCCACGGTGTAGGCTAAGTCACGGAAAGCCCAGTTATTTTTTGGTGCGATTTGGATACGATGTTGATATGATTTGGACATGCCAGTTAGGCTGACAGCATACGTCAAGCAATTTCTAGGGGTTGATTCCTCCATTCTTTTCAAGCATCGTTCTTTTGAAAGACTGGATCCGTTTCCCCATTTTCCCTGAATTTTGATGGATCCCTGAAAAGAAGGATCCCTGGAAAGAATGGAAATGGCAGTGACCCCTAGACAGATCTTTCCGTGGTCCACTCTTAGGAAAGGTAAAGGTAAGCCTTTTCTTCTTGGGTCCTTGGGGCAGTTGGGAAACTGGCCCAAGCACACAAGCACAAGGAAACACAGAAGCAATCAGACAAACACAAGCAATCGTACACACACACAAACACACGAGCACACACACACACACAAACACTGGCAAAAACACAGAAACAAATACAGTTCCACACAGTCACACAAACAACGAGCGCACACCCACACAAACAGACACAATCACAAAAACACAAACACAAGCAAGCACAATCAATCAATCAATCAATCAATCAATCAATAAATCAATCAATCAATCAATCAATCAATCAATCAATCAATCAATCAATCAATCAATCAATCAATCAATCAACCAACCAACCAACCAACCAACCAACCAATCAATCAATCAATCAATCAATCAGTGCAGCAACAAGCAAGAACGCAATCAAGCAAGCAATCAATCAAACAAACAAACACACAAGCAAACACAAACAAACACACACAGACACGCACAAGCACGCAAAAACAAGCAAACACAAACCGACATGTTAACCTGTTGTCTGGTCCACCCTTAGGAAAGGTCCCAAAGGTAATCTTTTATTGTTGAGTCCTTTGGGCAAGTCAGATGGGAAAATGACCCACACAAGCACTCACACAGACGCAAGCAAACATACACAAACACACACACAAACAATCAATCACTCAATCAATTAAACAAACAACCAAACAGAACAAACAAGCAAACACAAGCAAACACAAGCAATCACACGGACAAACAAACGAAGACACACACGCAACAGCACAAGCAAGCACAAGCAACCATACAGACAAAAACACACGCACACAAAAGCAAGCACAAAAAAGCAAACACAAATCAAACATACACACAAACACTCACAAGCACACCCACGGGGACAAGCAACAACCACATACAAGCGCGCACACACACACACACAAGCAAACACACCCAAGCATACACAAGCATACACAAAACAATCACCCACACACAAACACACACGCACACACACACACACAAGCTTACAAACGCACACGCACAAACACACAAGAACACACAAACACAAGCAACCACACACACACAAACACGCACACACGCACAATCACACACACAAACACAAGCAATTATACACACACGCACACAAGCACACAAGCACACAAGCACACAAACACACAAGCAAACACACACACAAACACACACAAGCGCACACAAGCACACAAGCACACACACACACACACTCACGCACACACACACACACACACGCAAGCAAACACACACACACACAAGCGCACACAAACACACACGCACACGCACACGCAAACGCAAGCCAACACAAACGCACACACAAGCAAACACACAAACACACTCACAAGCACAATTCAACATGCACACACACACACGCAAACACAAGCACAAGCACACAATCGCACACGCACAAACGCAAGCAACCACACACACACACATAAGCCACACACACACACATAAGCAACCACACACACATGAGGAGAAGCAACTGCCACACACAATCACACACGCAAGCGTAAACGCGTAAACACACAAACAGCACACACACACAAGCACAGACAAACAGACACAAGCGCACACACAAACAGCATATATAGACAAACACAAGCAGACACAGAGACACACAGACACACAAACACACAAACACACAGACACACACACACACACACACCCGCACACCCGCACACCCGCGCACCCGCACACCCGCAAACCCGCACACCCGCACACGCGCACGCGCACGCCACGCGCACGTACACGCACGCGCACGCGCACACACACACACACACTCGCAAACCAACACACACACACACACACACAAACAATCGCAAAAACATGCGCACACACACAGGCACAAGCAAACATGCAATCAATTAATCATTCGATTAATCAATCAATTGTGCAAGCAAGCAAGCAAACAATCGCACACACACACACAAACGCACTTCCGGGAGAAGAAGAAAGCTGGGACCACCGGGATTTCGCTTTCTGTGTGCGCGGATGCGTGTTTTCTCCTTCTTCGTGTTTGCAGTTCTTTCTGGGATCCGAGTGCGGGGCATTGAGGCTGTTGAACAGCCCAGTGCGGCCACCTCTCGAGCCGAAGGTTGAGAAGCTGACGCGGCTCTCTGAGTTGCTCCGGCAGGAATCCAGGTGACCCCCAGTGCATGTTGACCCCATATGAATCGACCCCAGTTTATTAGGGGGGTGTCCCGGGCTTAAGGGGTGGGAATCATCACTTTAGTTGACCCCATATGAATCGACCCCAGTTTATTAGGGGGGTGTCCCGGGCTTAAGGGGTGGGAATCATCACTTTAGTTGACCCCATATGAATCGACCCTGTTTTTTTGCTGGGCCTGGGTGAAGTGTGGGGAATCATTTGTCCAGATTGTGTAGTTCCCTACCGGCTTTCCGAGTTCGTCTCGCCTGCGCGTTTTTTTTTTTTTGGGCGAGCTGAGCGCTCAATGGTCATGCAAATGCATTGGCTTTTTGCCTGCCGGGCCCCATGACCATCGACATGCATTGGCTAAGGTTCTGGAGTGAGGGCCTTTGGATTCGGAATGATCTCAGGCTGCTTGAAGCTTGGTTGCGAGAGCGAGAACTTGACTGCTATTGGGTTGGATCTTTAGGCTTTAACTTTTGGTGGAAATCAAGGGGTTTTCCACTAAACCCACAACAAGTTAAACTTTTTTTTGCAGAGGGGTCAACAGCTACCAAGAGAAGGGCCATGCAGAACGGTCGTCGTCGGTAGCGCCAGCGTTCTTGTTCAGATTTTGTTCCTGGTTGCTCTTGTTCTGGTTCTGACGAAGCCCCAATCACCTTTTTAGCCTCCCCCGTCTCCCCCCCACGGCTTTGCTGAGGAAGGCGCCCGCGATGTGTCAGACGAGCGGCCGCGGTACGACCTGTGCTTCGACCTGCAACACCAGGGCCGCTGGGGCGTGCGGAAGCGTGCAGGCACCCTGACGCACCAGCAGCACGAGAGCCTTGGGAGCGAAAGGACTTGTTGGGAGTCAAGCAGGTTTCAAGCAGGCCGTTTTCCTGGCATGGCACGAGGGAAAAACAGTGCGTTTTCTGGCTTCCTTCCTTCTTTTCGTTTTTTTTTTGGGGGGGGGCGGGGCTGCTGCGACCAATTGTTGTCCAGTCAGGAGCTTTGATGTTTGTCCCTTGGACTGGAGCTTCGGGCTCGAATGGGCTCACCACCCGTAGCTGGTGGTTGGAAGGGAGCCTGGAAGGGAGCTGGGGGTATCTGAACGTGCAATTCAAAGGCGGAGCCTTCTGGAGTACCAGTAGGTTAATGGGCACCCCGGATGAAGTTAAACCCCTGGTTGATTAATAGGGGGTGCTTTTCCCTGTTTTGGTGGAGAGCCATCACTATTGGAGGTGCTCGCACCCCCCTATTAATAAACCGGCTTATTAATCCGGGGTCAACATTAGCTGCTTTTTGTTGCATGGGTTCATCCAGATTTCTGGTTTTCATAGCAGACTTGACACGCTTGTGAGTTGCGGTTTTCCGTTGAGATGGGGCCTGGCGGGCAATGGCAGGGTTTCGAGCCCATCCATAGATCCATGGTCCATGCTCTGTTTCATGGCTCAATGATGGAATTGGGGACCTGACCCCTCACCCAAGAGGTAGAGGGCGACATGCGAGTTTTTATTTCCGGGGCCCCTTTAAGGGAACCAAAGGCAAGCAGAAGGACACCACTCATATTCTTGCTGGTGCGATTGGCAGGGAATGAGAAATAGAATGACCCTTACAAACCATCCAACTGGTGGTTTCCTTTCAGCCTATCGCGCCAGCAAGCTTTAGGGGACCGATTCCAATTTTGAGAATCCTCCACTTCCATTTGCTTGAGAATGTTCATTTTTCCCTGTTGGTTTTAAAGTGAATCGACCACTACTGGTTTTAATTTCTCATTTTTCAGTGGGCGAGAAAGCAAACGGAAGCCCCAAACAATGCCTCCAGAACCTTCGCATTCATCGCAAAAGGGTTCCTGGACATATTTGTTTTATCATTTTCTCCAGGAGACCTAAACTAGATCTCCCAGCTTAGGTGCCCATTTGCCCTTTTTTGGGGGAGGGTTCCCCTGTTAAAATAGACAGCAAAAAGTGATACCCTTATTCTAACCTTTCTACTGGAGGACCTAGACTCTTTTCGTGATGTGAGCATCATTTTTGAGACGCTTTGAGAGGGATGAACTTACAGGCGACGCACAACAAAACGATCCTGCCAGTTCAATGGAGCCACTGGAGGACCTATATGTAAAGAAATGGATGTCCAACTCGGCAAATCGCACTCTGAGCGAAAGGAAGGCCAAGCTGCTCACCGCGGGCGGGCGCCCAGAAGATGGCGCGGGTGACGGACGGTTCCCTCCCAAGGCGACTGACCGGCGAGTCGCGCGAGGGGAAGTTCCCGTGTTTCCCCTCTTGGTGTGACCAGCTTGACCAGTTTCAAAGGGTTGGGTTATAGGAAATTCTACACGAAAACAGCTGATTTAAGGTCTTGTGGGACCATTTCCTGCAGATGTTCGTGCAACCAAACCCTTTGACAGTTCGGCTCTTCCTTTTGGGATGTTCCATTTGCCTAGAGGTGATCGACCTGCTTAGGAGGGCTTGGAGACACCCGGTTTGGGCCTCAGGTTTCCTTTCATTATGCCTCCGGGCAGCCAATTCGGGCTTTGGATGGGAAGGTTTAGTTGTCCCACCCAGCCAGCAGACACACTTGACACCTGTTTTTTGCTTGGTGCCTCTCCCTTTCATGTTTTAGTGACCCAAAAAGTGCCCCCTGTTTTTTGTTGTTTTTTTTGGGGGTTGGTTGCTGGCCAAGTGTGGTTGGACTCAGATGGTTTCCCTGTCATGGCACTTAGCGCCCGGAGGCCTCCTGGAAGAAGGGATCAAAGGGGTTTCCTAATCTTACCTCTTAAAACACAAAACATTTCTCAACTTTTTGGGTTATATATGGGCAAAAATGTCTGTAAAAGATTAACTTCCCCAGGGCTTGGAGTTTTAAGGGGTTTCCTAATGGAACTCAAGATCCCAGACTGTCTTCCTCAAACGCGCCCTTTGATGCCTTTTGCGGGTGTCGTGTTTTCAAAGGCCGGGTAGGGCCGAAAGATGTTGAATGGGGCACTAACACACATGAAGTCATGCTTAGGAGAGACAAAGGGGTGTACTTCAGACATAGTCCCACATGGCCCAAGGAGCAACAAATTAAGTCCCAACCATTTTCAACAAACATAGGAGGCTTCCGTGTCCGCACATAGGCGGCTTGCCGGCTTGGGTAAACCCACGCCCAAAGTGGCTCAACCCATCGGTCAGGAGCTTGAGCCGATCGCCACCGCGCAGTTGCTCGCTCCGGCTCGCCGGGGTGACTTGGAATGACCGTAAGCTGAACTTCCATGTGCTGAAATGATATGTAAAAAAAACTGCTGGTTGTAAAGGGAATCTATCACTATTGTATTGTTTTTTGTTGGGGGTTGTTTTTTTCAGGGGGCTTAAGCAAATTCAAGTAAACCATCGTTTGTCTGTTTTTTAAGGCGAACCCAAACTGCTTATTCCCATGTTGGTTCCTTGCGAAGCGAGAAAACCAGCACCAAAATTCAAGTTTCGCTTGGCCCTGCCAGTTCCAACTACAGTCCCCCAGTAGTGCCCGTTAACCCTTTTTTGGGAGAGGGTTCCCCTAAAATAGGCAAAAAAGAAGAAAGTTGGTACCCTTATTTGAACCTCTCTACCCGAGGAAGTAGATTGGAGCATCCGCGTGCAGGTCCCCTGGGGCCGGGGAGCAAAAGCCGCAGAGCGTTTGCTGTTTGAGGGCCAAGCCCTTTGGTGCAAAAGGGGAGCGAACAAAAAAGGGGCTGAGCCATGCTTGGCGGTCCCCCATTTTGACACACACCTTTCAGGTAGGCATTTTTTTGAGGTCCGCTTGGCTTGGGATCTGGGCTTGGGCTTGGACCGCATGAATTGACGCCAGCCAGCGAATGGATGGACCCATCTTTATTGCTTTCCCCATGAGTTCGCAGTGTCAGCATTTGATTCAGAATGGGTATGCACGAAGAATAGGTGCCGCAGAATGGTGTTTGCTTTCGCGTTGTCGTACCCCAACCCTGAAAAGGATGCTCGTCAGCAGCTCACTTGGAGTCCCCGTGTTCTTCCCCCAACACAGTACTGTTGACCCCATATTGATCAACACACATTTATTAGTAGGTGTCCCGGGTTTTAGTGAAGAATCATCACTTTTGGAGGGGAACACCCCCTATTGATAAACTGAGGTTGATTCATCTTGGTGGTTCCCAGCCATGCCCTTAGCTTTTTAGCTTTTAGTGTTTAGGGGGGATTTCCACTTTAGCCCACTCAAAGTTAGACTTTTAGCAGGGGATCTGAGGACAGCCCAGCAATATGGGGTCAACATTATCCTATGAACATGGCCAACAATGTTTCGAAAGTACTCCACAAGCCCAATGTTGACCCCATATTTAATCAAGCCCCAGTTTATTACTAGGGGGTGTCCCTGGATTTTGTGGGGGATCAAACCATTTTTGGAGGGGAACGCCCTATTAATCAACTGGGGTTGATAAATCTTGGTGGTTCCCAGATGGGCCCTTAGCTTTTTAGCTTTTTAGTGACAACATGGGATGTCCATTTAATGCATTGTTGATAAACTCGGGTTGATCTTAACATGGGGCCAACATCACTTTGGTGCATTTTGCTTGGACGTTAGGACTTCAACTTTTTGCCAACTACTGGGTTTTCCATTAAACCTCTAAAAGTTAAACTATTGGCAGAGGAACAGAAAGCAACCGAGACTATTCAAGTTATATATTCAGGCGCTGTTTTTCCGCGGTAAGGTCGGAAGCTCTACTTGGACAAGTGCCGGGAGAAGCAGGTCATCCCGAGCCCTTTGCTGTTGCCTGGGCTGAAAAAGTTTGGTTCCTCTTTCTTGGACATCCATTTGGCCATGGTTCAAAACCAATGGTACCATTTTGGGATAGGTGCACCACCCATTTTAGTCTTTATTTTAGTGTGGAGTGGGATGTTCACTGGCGGTACGGGGTTTTGACCCATGGCCATTTGGCTGGGGTGGGGGCGGGGTTTGGGGGGGGGGGAGTATCCATTTCATGAGTTTGCTACTATTTGTTGGGTGGTCAGAGTCCCTGCCTAGCACATTGGGGGTGACGTTGAGAATGATTCAATGGTACAACAGCGGGTTGCCAGTCTGGCCTACGGGGGGCATGTGAGGGGCTATCAAAAGTTCATGTGATGACCATCGGCCAAAATATATTATATATATATTCCAACTAGTAAATGGGAAAAGTTACCCATGGTCAAAACTGAATATTCATCAACCCCCTTTTGTTTGCTTTTTAGAGCCAGCTGTGTTTCCATTTTCCTTGTTTTTCTTCGGCCATAGTTGAGCCAAAGCGCCCATAAAATCAGAGACCTGGAAGCTTGGCGGCTCGACATCCGGTTCCAGAAAAGCGTTTTAGATCTTTGTAGGTTCATGGTCGGGTGTCCGAGTTTCACCCACCGGGTTTCGACTTTTAGCGGATCAGAAAACGGAAAGCCCAGAAACAGGGTTCTGGGATCGCTCGGGGTTTGTCCAACCACTTTTGTGATACTTGTGGGAATCTCCCCCTTATGGGGAGTTTGGGGTTAGGCCCTTTTTGTTGTATCACAGATTCGTGGGTTCCATTTCAACCACAACCCGAAAGCCCAGAAAAACGGAAAGTCCTTTGAGAAGTTGGGACAACCCATCTCAAGATCCTGTCCTCTTGGCTTCCGAAGGTTCTATGTGTCATTGGGAAAGCCCCAAAACCTTTTGCCACTTAAACCCAGGCGATTTATTGGCTCATGGGACTTTAGTCGCTTTTCGGGAACACCATTTTGGTCATAGGTAGGTGTCCTGTTTGGTTGGTTTGGTGGAAATAAATGAGGGCGGTTCCTGGTTTACCTGGTGGTTCAATCAACTACAAGTACCAGGAAACCCATCTATTTTTCCAAAAAGGACACCTAGGATTTTGGTGGTGAACAAAAAAATGTTTAGATTTGTTTTTGGTTGCCATGCACGAAGTGAAGCCTTTCCGGAACCTAACCCCCCGACCCTTGTGGCAGTCCCCAAAGCCCACATTGGCCATTTTCTTGACTATTGGGCTGGATCTTTAGGCTTCAACTTTTGGGTTGAAATCAAGTTGGGTTTTCCACTAAACCCACAAAAAAATAATGAAACTTCTTGCCGAGGGGTCAACTGCAACCAAGTTTTGGTAGGTGGTTCTACTGCCTGGTTTGCGAATTAGAATGTTCCCTATACAAACTTTACCAATCATGTCTCATCCAGGTGGACACGCTTTACACTTTTGTTATTGGTGGCTCTCACATTATTTTAATGGTACACAGTCAATGGGATTCGGTCGCTCACAACGAAAGCATAGACGCTGGTCAATGAACCTGGGACCTGGGGCTTACGCTGAGCTCCCCCCATCCGGTTGAATCATTCATCAAGCTGCATCTTCAACGTTTTGCGTAGAGGGCTGCAAAAGGCAATGTTTGTTGCTACTACCAAGGGTCGTATGTTTCTTATGTTGTTCAGGTACCCTTTTGCAGGCTGCTTGAATGAAGCCTTGAAAGTTCTATCAAACAGACACCACCCACTTTGGGGGTCTTATTTTGACATACCCGCCTCATGTGCTCGGTAGTCTTTACCGGCTCGCTCAAGTGAACCGGACAAAGCGAATCGACCGCATCTGACCAGCTGGTGGTTGGAAGGGAGCGGAAGGGAGCTGGCATCCAAATGTGCTTTTGCAAGGACGTGGTGGCTTTCCCCTCATTGTTCGGTCCATACGCTAGGTCCCCCAGAAGTGCCCTTTCTCACCCCTTTTTGGGAGAGGGTTCCCCTGCTAAAATAGACCACAGAAAAAGGAGGTACCCTTATTCTAACCTCTGTACTGGAGGACCTAGATACATTATGGCCTCAACAGACTCCCTCTCCAAGGAAGCTGACAGGGAGGCGCGGGAAGACGATGTCTTCCATTTGCTTAAGATATGTTTTATTTTCCCCTGTTGGTTTTTAATGGGATCTATCACTACTAGAACGAATTTCTCATTTGTTGCAGGGGGCGAGAAAGCAAATGGCAGAAGTGTTTCCTTTTCGGGAGCCATGCCTGAGGTTCATGACGGGCCACACCCACGACCTCAAAGCCAACGGCCAACTCTTTACAGATGCAGAGCTACTGGCGGATCCTCGGCGGATTTGTTTCGGGCGGGCGGAGCTGCATGAGTTCTTTCCGTTTTTGTTTGTTTTTCCCCCACCAAAGCAACGAGCGAAAGGTATGATACAGGTGTTTGTCCACCGTTCAATGGGAATGTTTGAAGGGAGGTGACCAGCCACTTTTTGGGATACATTGCATGTATATGTTAACTTTGACTAGTCTTCTCAGTTGTTTTTTTGTTGCACGCACCAGGTGACTCTTGGTGTATCCTAGGAGCCCTGGAGTCGCAGCAACATGCTTAGCGTCCGAAGCTCTACGCATGGGCACGTGCCACATCTGAGTTCCCAAGGCGCTGCAAAGGCATGAGGGATTTGCCTATGACTTCCATTTGCTTAGGATTTGTTTTAAATTTCCCTGTTGGTTTTAAAGGGAATCTATCACTACTGGAAATATTTTTTGCAGGGGGCTTAAGCAAATGGCAGATGTCGGTTTCCTTTTGGTTTTCCCCTTCGTGGTTGAAACAGAGCCTTTACCTGTTTGTGAACGCCCTTTTTGTTTGGTGGCTTCCCTTTTCCATGTAGTCAAGATACGCAGTGGTGCCTTGTTTTCCTTTTTTGGAGGGGGACAACCCTTTACTCACCCAGCCAGTGGACACGCTTTACAATTTTTCGCGGTGACGCTCAACTGTCCCTTTTTTTTAGCGGTGACGCAAAAAGTTCACGCTTCTTCGGCTGGTCACTGGCCAAGTGAGTTTAACATCTACCAAACAAAGGGTGCAAATCCTTCACATGGAAATTCACTGCACCTGGTCTTCGGTAATGTTAAGCCCGGATGAATAAACCCTCGTTGATTTTGATCGGGGGCTGTCCCCTTTTAGTGGGATTCAGACTACTTTTGGAGGGAACACCCCCCTAATAGTGGGACGGGTTTATAAATCCTGGGTCAGGTCTTCGGTAAATCATGGTTGTTGTGAGGAACCATTTGTGATTTTTACATTGTTGCTTCTTGTGGTTGCAAAATCTGCTGAAGCGTTCAATTATTTTTGCTCCCCTTGGAACGTCAACAAAGCGCTGTTCAACCTGGTACGTTGTTTTGTTTGGAGGGAACACCCTCCTAATAATGGGACGGGTTTATTAATCCTGGGTTGTTGTTAGGAAACATTTTACATTTTTGTTTATTGTGGTTGAGTGGTTGAAATCCAACCCACAAAAACTGCGCTCCCCTTGGAACGTCAACAAAGCGCTGTTCAACCTGGTACGTTGTTTTGTTTGGAGGGAACACCCTCCTAATAATGGGACCGGTTTATTAATCCTGGGTTGTTGTTAGGAAACATTTTACATGTTTGCTTCTTGTGGTTGAGTGGTTGAAATCCAACCCACGAAAACTGCTACTATATATATAATATTTATATGTATGTATGTATATATATATATATTTGCTCCCCTTCCAACGTCCACCATGGGGCGGGGGGCTTGGCTTAGGCCATGACTCTGCTGCGCGACGACTTTGCGGTTCACGAGCTGGATCTCGCGGAGAACGGCTTGCTAACTGACAGGAGACCTGCACTGTCTCCAAAGCTTGGAGCAAATTAATGTGTGTATGTGTATGCATATATATATATATATGTATATGTCTATATTACGTATGATAAGGTTCAATGCCATAGTTGGCCTGCAGACTGTGACACTGTGACACATGTTTGGGCAGCAGACTTGTCGTTCATATTTTGGGGGCTAGTATGAAGCAGCATACGGCTTGCTGTGTTGTGAGGAGGGGGTGGTTCCGTGATACAGCGATCCGCCTTCGTTATGTAGGAGGAGTAGTCGTTGGGAAGGCCTCCCATTTGCATCCCCGCGTCCCGAAAAACAAGCTCAGGCGATACCCCCAACAGCATGCGGTGCTCGTTTTAGTGCTCGCACCACCCCGCAGCCCTCGCAGAACCCTCGCAGAACCCTGGTGGAACCCTGGTTGAACCCTGGTGGAACCTTACCTCAGGGCCGCCCCGGACCACCCCGGAGCCTATCTGGGCTGAGACCCCAAAGCTTTCAGCTGTTGGGGAATTATTTAGGCTTTCCCAGTTGCCCAGGTGTCCATGTTCAGTGAACCCAAAGAAAAGGGGCCTTGTCTTTGGGGTACGTGATGGTCAAAATGAACCGGTGGGAAGAAACAACACATGGCCCGCACCCCCTCCGAAAAAGTTGACAAGGGAAGCCCCCTCACTCCGACAAAAAACCTGACAAGGGACACCGCCTCGCACCACCAAACGACATGAACAAAGGACATGTCTGGGGGGAAAACACCTCCAATGAAAGTGGGCGAAGGCCCCACTGGAGGTCTGCGTGCTGTACCAGGGTTTCGAAATTCACCGCCTGACGTCCATTTGGTTAAGACCCCTGGAAAAAATAGAAAATATGTCCAGTAGTGATAAAGTCCTTTTAAAACCAACAGGGGAAAAAACAAACTATTCATTTCAGCAAATGGAAGATGATGGGAGGGAGGGTTGGAAGAAACAAACTCAGGTTTGGGCGAAACCCTTCATCTCAACCGCGCCTTTTTCGTTGCCTTGCTGAGTCAAGACCCTCTGGACGCAACGGCACAGAGAGAGAGAGAGAGAACCCTGGGTTGAACCGCTGGCTTCTTGTAAAGGGCAAACGGGTTCTCATCCCCTCCGAACCACCAAGCCACCAATCAGAGGAAGCTGATGTAACCCTTTTCACGCCATAGAAAGAACTTGCTTCTGGTTCATGTTTTGAAGGGTCCGTGATAGTCCGGAACCTCACAGAGAGGCCCGGCTGGAAACTTCTCTCCATTTGAAGCAAATCACCCCCGACTTCCGCCCTGCGACGTGCACGTTGCCCGGCCCTGGCTAACCAACGATGTTGGGGCTATCTAAGGCTCCCTGTTGCCAGAGTTTCAGCAACTCTGGCCGCTGTGCTCCCCCAATGTCCATTAGTTGTTCCGTAAGGGGCCGGGATGAACCGCCATTCGTTGAAACATGTTGACACAACCTGGTTGAATATCAGTTCCCAGATTGGTTCATCAGTTGTTTGAAGAAGCCCTTAGGCAACAACCCGGGAACTTTTCCCCCAAGTTCCCTGCAGGTTACCTAGTTGGCAGGCTACCTCAGTGACTCAGCCTGCCCCCCTAGTCGAAAATATGGGTGTGGGTCAAAATTAAACCACCAGGACCACAGGTTTTGTTCCATGTTGCCACTTACCAGGGTTCCGTTTTGGGTACCTATTTTTGATCCACAGCCATATGTCTTTTGCTTCCCCACAAGGGAATTGTGCCATTTGCTTTGGCCCGAGTGCAGCTGGAGGAGCCTGGTGCCCCTCCTGGAGAAGCTGTCGTTGGAGGCGGTGTGTGCAGAGTTGCAGCGCTTGAGCCTCGCTGGCTGCAGGCGGGGTCGCTTGAAGCGCCGGGTGGCGCTTCGCCGGGCGCGTTACGGAGCCCAGCCCTAGCCAGGCCAATGTCCGCCCATCCCACAGACAGGGGTTGCTTTTAGCTTCAAGCCTTCCCAAAAGAAACAAGTGCCCCTGGGCTGCCAAGAAAGAAGTAAAGGAGACTTATCCCGAAAATGCCAAGGAAATAGGCCCCCAGACGCCCATCGATTCCCTTCTTCGGGCCCCACAATTCGGAGTCTGGGTTGCCAAGAGCAATTTACGAAGCCCGAAAGACCCGATAAGAGCCCTTTTCAGACGGATTGGGGTGGAGAGGTGGAGTTGGCGGGGGGGGGGGTTCGGGTGGACTTGGGGTGGAGTTGGGGTGGAGTTGGGGTGTGGAGTTGATGGAGTTGGGGTTGGGGTGGGTTGCCTTCAGGCAGATGGGCCGCAGCGGCATCTTCGCCGTGATCCAGCTGACCGCGCAGGCGCCCAAGCTGCGCGCGCTGCCGCTTGGAAAAGTTTCCGGCCAGAACTCGATCCCCAAGTTCCTGGGAGCAAGGGTCACAAACACACGAACACACACACAAACAAACAAACAAACAAACAAACAAACAAACAAACAAGCAAGCAAGCAAGCAAACAAGCAAGCAAGCAAGCAAGCAAGCAAACAATCAAACAAACAACAAACAAACAAACAAACAATCAATCAATCAATCAATCAATCAATCAACCAATCAAACAAACACAAACACAAACACAAACACAAACACAAACACAAACACAAACAAAAACACAAACAAACAAACAAACAAACAAACAAACAAACAAACAAACAAACAAACAAACAAACAAACAAACAAACAAACAAACAAACAAACAAACAAACAAACAAACAAACAAACAAACAAACAAACAAACAAACAAACAAACAAACAAACAAACAAACAAACAAACAAACAAACAAACAAACAAACAAACAAACAAACAAACAAACAAACAAACAAACAAACAAACAAACAAACAAACAAACAAACAAACAAACAAACAAACAAACAAACAAACAAACAAACAAACAAACAACAAAACAATCAATCAATCAATCAATCAATCAATCAATCAAAATCAATCAATCAAACAAACAAAAACAAACAAACAAACAAACAAACAAACAAACAAACAAACAAACAAACAAACAAACAAACAAACAAACAAACAAACAAACAAACAAACAAACAAACAAACAAACAAACAAACAAACAAACAAACAAACAAACAAACAAACAAACAAACAAACAAACAAACAAACAAACAAACAAACAAACAAACAAACAAACAAACAAACAAACAAACAAACAAACAAACAAACAAACAAACAAACAAACAATCAATCAATCAAACAAACAAACAAAAACACAAAACCACAAACCCACAACCCCACAAACACACAAACACACAAACCCACAAACACAAACACAAACAAACCCACACACAAGCACACGCAAAGAAACTCACAAACGCAAAAAGACACAATACCACACACACAAACATGGACGCACAAGCGCACAACGATCACATTTGTCATGCTAGCAACCACCTTTGTCAGATGTTTCAAAGGCGTCCACCCCCGCAAAAGGTTTGTCTTCCTCTTTTGCCTTTATACACCGTCCAGGGTGCGAATAGAGGAATGGCGCTATGCAGACAAAGCTTTTCTAGAACGTGGGAATGGGGTTTCCACACGTGGTCGGTTTGTGACTAAGAAACGTATGATCATATTTGCATAGCCCGGCTTCGTGAATACCACGCGAATCATGTCATTGAGTTGCGGAGATGCTGGCACAAAGGTTCGCCTCAAAGGTAGCTGTAAGCGGGCCCCATAGAGACCCGCCGCATGGCTCATTTAAGTCTTTGCGCGCACGACCTGATGGGGGGAGTTTCTGAACCATAGGTGTCCTTTTTGGTTGTTTTGCTAGAACAATAGATGGCCCTGGTTTACCTGTTGGTTTAATCATCTACCAGGGAAACCCATCTATTTCCCCTAAAAGGACACCTATGTTCTGAACATTGTATAAGGTAGATGTTCCAACCTCCCTACGCCCCAGAGTTCTGCGAACCCGTCGAAGCACTCCGTCCACCTGTGCATGAAGGCTAATGATGTTGCTCCCTGAGAATAGGACCCCTGCTTCCAGTGGTTGCGTTTCTCGTGCTTCCACATCAGATTTTAATGATGAGAGGTCATCATTAAACACGCTGGACGCTGGTCACGCTGCGACCTTGTGACCGTTTAGCTTTGCGATTTGGCCTAATTGAAACGGCCTTCTGGCCATGACACGCCAAACCCAAAGGAAGCTTGCATTGCCGGGTATCCCTGTTGATGCAGGTCCTTAGGGATTGCTTTCACATCGAGCCGGTGTTTAAAGATGAATTGTGGTGGTGTTGAACATCACATGCACCCGCTGAGTTACAGCATCCCATTCTGATTTGCCTCACCATTTCAGGGACTGCAATTTCCTGGCAATTGGAGATGCATTCGCCATCAGGAATTTGACCAACATCCACTTCAGCACGCACGGCCTGCTGCCACTCTGCCCCGCGGCCAAATTCTCCGACCAGGCAAAGGACCCTTTTGACCCCCCCTCTTTTTGGAGAAAAGGAGATTCTGCGAGTGTTCCTGTGAAATGGCCAGCCCTGTCGGGAGTCGAAGGGAACGGATCTGCTTGTTCCCTCAGCGGAGCGGTATTTTTTTGTCTTCTTTGGCTCCAGTCTCAGAATTTCCCACCAACATGGCTTTTTTTTCTTGGACCATCGTCCAGGAAACTATGACCGCGACCCACATGTGGACCATCATTGATATTTGGCAGCGGATCTTTGGACTATAACTTGTTCGTTGAGATAGGCCGGGTTTTCCTTTTGGACCGACAAACAGTTAAACTGTTCACAGAGGGTTCGTTGCAGCAACCAAGATGTGCCAAGTTCTGGAGAACATGAGTAAGCTCTTATTAAGCCCTTACAATCCGGCCTCTTCACTGTGCCTGGCATGTTTTTTTTTTTTTCTTTGGTACTGTTCAATTTTAGCAGGGGGCTGCAAGACACAAAGTTTTTTGAAACTGTACAAGTGTTGTGAGGGCCTTGTTTGGGGCTTGTGTGGGCCTCGTCATCGTGAGGCCAGGCGATTGGCAGCCACAAGAGCCTTCGGGATGTGAGCCTGGCTGGCACAGGAGATCTGGGGCGTCAACTTCGGATCCAGAAAATCCAGCCTCCCGCCCCGCCCCCACGGGGGTCTTTGCAAAGGCCAAGTTGTGGAAAAATGTTGGGGGGGTTGGGGTGCAAGAATTGGGGGGGTTGGGGGGCAAGAATTGGGGGGGTTGGGGGCAAGGGCTTGGGGGGTTGGGGGGCAAGGGAAGGGGGGGGGGATTTGGGGGAAGGCGGGTTGCATCACAGGGAAATTGGGTATGTCACGAGCATAGCAAGAGGACGCAAAAAGGGTACCTTCAGCTTGCGAGCGTGTACTACTGTAGCCTAACAAATTGCCGTACCTCTAGAAACTCAGGAGTGCGCTGTTGGCCCCTTTCTGTAAATGTGTTGCAGGTAGTCTCGCTTGAAGAGCCAAGGCGCTGGGGCATGCAAATTGGATTTTGGAGGGAGCTGAGGATACCAGGAGTTCTGTAAGGACATGTCAGAACACTCAGACGACAGTTTTGGGAGGGCCATGGAACTCGGGCAGTTTTTCAGAACTCGGCCAATCGCGCCAGCAATTGCCCGAGCGTCGACGAACGGTTCTGCGGAGCCGCCGTTTTCTCGCTTGCTTATTTTGTGTCACTTTGAAGCCCCTCAGAACCAAAATTTGTTCCGGACAGGTTCTAGGGTATAGCCTATATAGCCGTTTAGCGGAGGCAATAAAAATTATGTCTCAGACATGGTAGTGAAAACCCCGATTACCGATGGAATATTCACTTGGATGGAATATTCACTTGGCAAGTATTAGTGCCCATCACTCACTCCACATATTGTACATGCGACTGTTGTACATGCACACCTGCAAATGCACATAGATGACAATTAACAATAGCAAGCGTCACGCCACCTTGCGCTACTATTAATTACACTACATTAAGACCACTTAACATCCATACATGTATGCATCCATAACACTTCAATCTATCCATGCATGCATGCATGCATGCATAGTCTTAGCCAAGTTGCAGGACTTGGAAACAACAGCCTCACGCTGCGGTGTCTGGCCAGTCTCTTCAAGAACAATTTCCTTCGGCTACTCGGAGCTGGAGTGGTGAAAACAAAAAAACGATGGTCTCTGGTGTTTTCCCGAATCGACCTGTTGAGCAACGGATATCTTTGTCCATGAAACGTGAAATAGGATACTAGGTCCCCCAGTAGTGCCCTTTTAACCTTTGTGTGGGGGAGGGTTCCAAACTCTACAGAGAAAAAAAGGGGTACCCTTATTCTAATCTCTCCACTGGAGGACCTCGGGTAACATAGGTAGGAGCTTTGGCTTAGGGGGGGAAAGCAACCCAGTGTTGGGAAAGAGCAACCGAGAGGTGCAGTCATCTTGTTTATTTTACCCGCACATAAGGACTTGCAGGTCACTCACTTCCGAAATGTCTGGGCGTTGAGGACTTTATGTTTCTGGGGCGGCACATCTCGGGGGTAAGCAAACTGGGGTTGCCCTTGTTTGAGTCAATCCACGCTGGACGTGAGTCAGTAATCAAAATGGGTGGTGCCAGCTCAACATCGACCATCCAGGTGACATTTGCTACTGGAGTGCCCTAATCCTAGGTTGCCGTGTTCTGGATGGCTCCAAAGAATGTGTCTTGGTGAGTCCCAGCCGTCCTGTTCATTAGGTTTTTAGCTTGTGAGTGTTTAGTGGCTGGATTTCCATTTAACCCACAAAAACTTAAGCTTCGAGCGGGGGATCTGAGGACAGCCCAGTTGTGTGGGAGCGCGTGCCTATGTTGTTGATATACAGGGAAACCAAAGGGACACCATCCAGTTTGTGAGTCCACTGCTACTAAAATAGACTAGAGGAAAAAGGGCACCCTTATTCTAACCTCTACTGGAGGACCTGGGCTTGCTTGGCATGAGCTTCGAATGCCAAGTTAGCTCCCTGAACTCCTGCCGTGCAGAATTTTAGTGGAACAAACTCAACCGCTTCGACTCTTTGTTGATGCAAATCCACTCAGAGGGGTGAGCTTGAATGGCGTTAGTCGAGTCAGCTGTGTTGACTTCTTTTTTGAGTCAGCTACTCACTTCCTGAGTTCCTGGACTTTTTGCTTTTTGGGAAGAGTGGCAAATGACAAGTTTGTTTGTTTTTTTAGGCGATCCATTCGATGGGAAGTGAGGCTTGTGAAGAAAAGGAAGGGCGAAAGAAAGGCCGTGGAGCTGAGGGTTGATTCCTTGTCCATTCTTTCCAACCATCGTTCCTTTCGAACACCGGATCCGTTTTCCCTGGGTTTCAGATCCGGAGGTTTTCTAAGATCCGGATCCCTGGGTTTAGAATGGAAATGGATGGAAGGTAGCCCTGGGAATCCTGGAAAGCTCCCCCCCCGAAAAAAAAAGAAAAAGAAAAAGACACGCCGGTTTCTATTTTTCCAGTAACCCCCAGCCTGATCCCAGACTCACTTGCCCAAAGCGAATCGACCTGATCTGACCTTTTCGTTTCCCATGGTTGGTCCATTTTTAGTAAAGGTCCTAAAAGGTGAACCTTTTATTTCCAGGTCCTTTCTGGGCAACTGAGCAGAAGGTGGCACCTTGTATTTCCAGGTCCGTAGGGCAACTGAGAAGGACAGCTTCCATTTGCTGAATACTTTTTTTCCCCCCCCCTGTTGGTTTTACAGGTGGAATCCATTTCACTACTGGAATGTTGTCTCATTTTTTCCAGGGGGCTTACATAAGCAAATGGAAGATAGGTGTCCTTTTGGCTGCCACAGAACTAGCTCCCCTTTTTCCTTGTTCTTTGTTTTCCACTAACCAGGCAAAAAAGATGCCATTTTTTGCCGGGGTCCTAATTCCAGCCTAGTTACCAGGTCTTGATTCCGACTCAGCTGGTTGAGCGCGAGGTACCTGCGCCATGCCGCCCGTTCCAACGGCCGCTATTGAAATCTTCCAAGACCAGGGTTGTGGGATCAAGGGGTTTCTCCCCACTTCTGTGATACAAGGGAATCCCCCTTTCTATTTACAAAATAGTCTTTGGGAAGCCCTTTCTGTTGTATCACAGAAGTGGTCATTCCCCACAGCCCTGTCCAAGACCCCTTTGCAGAAAGTGGATTTGGAACGTTGGACCCATTTCTTCCTGGCGCCCACCAATGCGGGAATGAACGGTACTAAGTGACGGATTTTTTGCTGCACTAAGTGACCTGCTGACCGGAATGAACCCTTTTTAAAGCATCCAACGGGTGGTGTCCAGCTTGTGTCGAACGGAGCCGAGGAAGCTGGACCTCAGCTGGAACCGCTTCAACCACGAGGAGTTCGCGGAGATGGGCAGGATCATCTCGGGATCGCTGGAGGAGCTGAAGGTGGACTACTGCCACCTGGACCGGAGACTCGAAAACTCGTCGACTCCGCTAGGGAACCATGTTGATGGTGGGGTAACATCACACATACCTAAGGAACGACATGTTTTTGAGAGCACGACTTCCATTTGCTGAAGTGAATATGTTATGTATTTTCCCTGTTTATTTTAAAGTTAGAATCTATCACTACTGGAAATAGTTTCTCCATTTTTCCAGTGGGCGAAAAAAACAATGGCAGATTCCTAGGCCCCCCAGCTAGGTGCCCTTTTACCTTTTTTTGGGGGGGAGGGGGGTTCCGAACCCTACTAAAATAGACTACAGAAAAATCAGGTACCCTTATTCTAACCTCTCTACTGGAGGACCTAGATTCGACTCTCACTTGGGGTGGTTGTTGCTTCTTGGCTTTTGAACGGGGACGCGTTTTTAAACATGAGGCACTCTGAGGCGCAACAAATCCACTTGCCAGGATTCGAATCGCACTTGCGCTGGTGGTGGTGGTGGTTGTTGGTTTTATTTTGTTTGTCCGGGGACTCCTTTCAGACATGAGGCAAAAGAAACTTTCGCGACCCAAGTGGGGATGGGATGGGTCTCTTGTTTTCGTTTTGGTTTCACAACCCAACCTGAGAAGGGGACTCGGGGTCATTCCATTTCTCATTCCCTGCCTATCGCACCAGCAAGAAACTTATTATGTTCTCATGAGTTCAAGTCTTAAGTTCCACCCAACCAGAGCCATACTTGAGGGAAAAAAACAAACAGGGAACCAGCTCTCAAAAGAACAAGCATGGCCTGTCTTTTTATTTGAGGGTTCTCGTTTTTGGTCCGGGTTTCAAAGGGACGCCACCACTTCACTGTTCTTGGCATGTTTTTTGGTTGTTTAGTTCTTTGGTTCTGTTCATGTTTAGTAGGGGGCTGCAAAGCACACAGTTTTTTGCAACCGACCAAGGGTTGTGAGGAAAAGGAAGACCGAAGACCATTTGAAACGGGTCCCCGAAAAGAAGACGCACAAATCCCATACTCCGGATGGACAAAAAAACCACCCCACTTTGAGGCCATGCGAAACCATGGTATGTTGTTGTTTTATTATTATTATTGTTTTGTTGTCCCCTTTATCTTTTTCTGTGGATTCATCTTTCCGGGGTTTTAAGCAGATGGAGCGAAATGGATTTCGTCCACCCACAGCAGGGTACCCCCTGGCATGAACCTCAAGCCAACCCACCCACAGGGTAACCGGCATGAACATGGTTGTTTTTGGGACACATTTTTTACATTTTTGTTTTTTTGTGGTTTAGTGGTTGAAATCCCCACCTACTTAACTGCTAAAATTTGAGAATTTTTGCTCCCCAAACCCAACGTCAACCAAGTGAACGCCTGGACGCCCCCCGAACCCACGACGTCTTCTTACCTCAGTGACTCAGGCGCTGCCTACGTCGTGGGCCGCGATAGCCCCGTGGCGGAGCTGCTCGAAGGCACGGGCCGCATGGGAAAGCCCTTGGGATGTTGGGAAACTTCTACAGGGCTCCTTTAAAGATCTCCATTTTGCAACCAAATTTGAAACATGTGTCTTTTTCCACCAACATAGAAGATACATGTTGCAACCATTTGAAACATGCGCCTTTTTCAACACCAAAATTATCAGGGAAACCACCATTTACAAGTTGCAATGTTCAGGTGTACAATGTGCCACGTGGCGTGTGGGTCAAAACAATACCAACAGGGGACAGGGACCGCAGATTTTAGTCCAGGTTTCCATTTGCCAGGGCAAGCCATTTTGGGTACCTGTTCTTGACCCACAGCCATGTTGGCAAATCTTCGACTGGACGCTTCCAGGTATCCGAAAGGGATAGAAATTTGGCTGTGGGTCAGCGCTTTTTGGGGCAGGTGCACCACCCATTTTACTCTGTTTTAGTGGGGATTGGGATGTTTATTGGGGGTGTTTTACCCATAGCCATGTCCCAGCATCCCTAGACAATCCTCGGGAATTTGTCTACTTCCATGGATCCCTGGGAAGAATCTAGTTCCATGTCCATTCTTTCCAGGGATCCGATTCTTTTTTTAGGAAATCATCCCAAAACCCAGGGCAAACAGCGGGGAAGGATGGTTGAACATAATGGCCTAGAAAGTTCACTTAGAACCCGAAGGGTTTCTCTCAAAATGTTTTGGTTTCCCTTTGAAACAACCAAGCACAGGATACCCAGAAACAAAGACGTACCCTGCTATGCGAGTGCGCATGTTTTACAGTAACGTTTGGAATTTCCGACCCAAAATGGGTGGTGTCCTTGTGGTTTCCCTTTAAAACCACCTAAAACTGGGTACCCAGAAGAAGGACATACCCTGGTTTGTCTAAACATATGTTGTTGGTTATTCAAAATAGTGGCTTTGCCTTCAAGCTGGGGAGCCAAAAAGCTGGGGGTATCTAAATTTGTTTTTAGAGCTACATACCAGTTCAGTGGGCACACTGCAGCGTGAGTTGCTCCCAAAAAAGGGTCCATCGACAAGAACCCCACCAGTATGCGTAAGGGTTCCATGCTGACTGCTGCAGGATTTTTGTTCATCCACAGGAGTGATATGTTTTTTACTCCTGCAACGATCGATCAACGTCTGCGAGTTTTCGTCATGCATGTGGAGAGTGCAAATTATAGCGTAGCGCAGCGTAACGTTGCGTACTGTAGCATAATGTTGCCTAGCACGGCGCAGCATACTTGCAGGGCCAGCTTGGTAAGTGGCTGGTGAGCCTGGTACGTGCGCTCATGTGTGGGTGAAAAAGCGGAAAGACACGGCTTCCAAATTTGTCGCCAACTATTTCCCAGGGTTGTCCGGCAAGTTTGCAGCAGCTAGCAAACTGAAATCACACGGAGGCACGCGGGCAAGCAAAGACAGAAATTACAAACGTTCAGATAGACCCTCCAAACACACATATTGTCTACACCTTGGCATACCTTGGCAACCTTGGGGGGGGGGAGGCTTGGGAAGGGGGGTTGCCGAATCAGCGGCAATCATTTCCAACTGGGTGCTGCACAGGACGACACGCTCACACACACACACACACACGCGCATGTCAAGCCAGTTTTACCTTTCGACTTCCAAGGGGAAGATGAAACCAGCGGAATTCCAAGGGACCCTCCTAATTCTGGTCCTCTATTGGCCTTTTGGGTCCTCTTGTGTTTTGGCCGATAGGACTTCAATATGAAAGTACAAGGCACATTGCCAGGTCTTCCAGTAGTGCCTTTTTACCTTTTTTTTGGGGGGGCAACAGACAACAAATGCTTATTGTAACCTCTCAACTGGAGGACCTAGATTGGATTCGCTGTTTCTTTTGGAGTGCTGGATATGGCCATGATTAATCAGGGGGGTTTGGGTAATTAGTCTAGGGCTACCTTCCCCATTCTTTCCAGGGATCCTTCTTTTCAGGAAACCATCAAACACCCAGGGAACCGCTGGTTGTTGAAAAGAAACGATGGTTGAAAAGAATGGGGAATCAACCCCTAGGATTAGGGATTGCTAATCAGATCCCAACATGAATGTGGCGCCAGTGATGAGTACAAGAGGGAAGCTGAATTTAAGACCCAGAGTCGCCGGATCCGCACCCCCTCAACGGAATTGAGGGAGGGGGGTGGCCCTGGAAATCTCCATTTATGGTTTCAGTTTTCTTTGGCCCGAACCCTTCCCTCCCATTCCCTCTATCGGTAGGGGGGATGAGCCACCTTGGAGGCAGTTTTGAAGGGACACCAAAAGGAAACCACCCATTTGGGAGTGTCCACCGTTTCGAGACGAAACACAGCCCAAAGTTGAGACATGCCATTTTGGTATGTCCTTTTCTTTGGGTTCCCTGTGTGTTGGTGGTTCTAAAGGGAAACCACAAGCATGTTGAGACAGACCCACCACAGGAATCAAAGTGAATTCCTCCCCGCCAATTCATGCTCTGATTCCCCACACTTTACCCAGGGAGAAGCACCCCCCTACTAATAGACTGTTTTTTCCCCAATTCTTTTCACCCATCTTCAAACACCAGCTGTTTCCCCTGGGTTGTTGATAAACCGGGGTTGGAATTTATACTGTGGATGGAAGAAATCCTGCGTGATGCTTTCCTGTAAATACCAACAAACGTTATGGTTTCCTATGGTTGCAAAGTGGTGCAACATGGATTTCGTCCACCCACAGTATGAATTTCAACCCCAGGTGATCAACAACTCAGAAAGAATGTCCAATGCTTCTCCCTGGGTGCAATGTGGGGTCAACCCTTTCGGGACGATGAGCCATGAGCCAGATGCCGCATGGCGGGTTGGTTGCTTGGTGGGTTGGTTGGTTAGTTGGCTGGTTGGCTGGCTGGTTGGTTGGCGGGTTTCTTGGTTGCAGGCCTGGGGAGCAACACCTACTTGAAGAAGCTGAGCCTCATCGCCAACCGCGTGGACTTCCGCACGGCGCTGGTCATCGAGGATGTGCTGGATATGCACCCGGCGCTCAAGGAGAGAGACGCCGAGGGAGAGAGTGGGACTGGCTCCCCCAGCGGTTGGTGCCAACTTTTAACCATTTTTTTGGTTGGGAGGAAACCGCCCTACTAGAAAAGACTACAATTCTTGTTGGCCAACCGGTTTACACCACTTAACGGAGCAGGGTGGCAAGCCAGGTTTTGACCCACAAGAGCCATGGTTCTAAGTCTCCATTTAGTGGGTTTTAAGCTGGCTTACGATCACCACTTACGAAGTACCCGGACCGGATCGCCCCTTTTAGCATGGGCTTAAACCACGGGTTGACACACCGTCAGCCTCCGGCACCCCCTCAACTGCTTTTTGAACAGCACTGCGGGCCTGGGAAAAAAGGCAGTCGTTGGGTTTCGATTGTGTAAACCGGTTGCTTGCCCGCGCGCGACTTCCAATGCTTTGCCCCCAAGGATTCAGTCATCGTGAGAAATGGTTTAAGGACCCTTTTCCCGGAAAGTGACATGAGACCATTTCACCTGGTCCAGTTTGGCCAAAAGAAACACTTCCGGTTGCTTAAGAATCTATCACAACTGGAAATATGTTTTTCCAGGGCGAGAAAGCAAATTGCAGAAAGGCACATGTCCAGGTCCTTTGGTCGCTGTTCTTGGCAAAGCTTCTTGATGATCCCTGGGGCGATTTGGGACATATTTCGGGAGCCCGACTGTAAATTGGGGATTGGGGCTGGGGGGCGGGGGGTGGGGATGCTTTGACGGGCTCTTGAGTCAAATGGCTCCCTATAGCAACCGACCACTGACATCAATTTACCTTAGGTGAGTGTAGAGATGTGTGCGAGTGACGTATAGTACTAAAAGTTTGACTTTTACGAGATGAATCTCAGAGATGAACGAACCACGGAGAAAGGGCAGAGTCATCTAGAAGCTAAACATGTTGGACGAAAACTGAGGTAGACTTGGGGTGACTTTTAAAGAACGGCAAACAGAGGTCAGTCGAAGCTCACTGAATGAGCCTTGCCCCAAGAGCTTTGCGACCCAAGTCGTGTAGCCGTTTCTACTGGGGTTGGAGGTACCCTTTGTTTGCGCCACAGCCACGTGTTGCACTTTGAGATGGCAACCTTTTAAGAGTCCCAGGGCTTAGGTTTAAAGGACACCGACCACATTTTGTGACGGAAGGCAAGCAATCAGGTGAACCTTACAACCCAGTTGTTAAGTGGCCCCCTTCTGTGTGGGTTTGCAACAACCAGAATTAAAATCAACCAGCCCACATCAGGATCCCACAAAGGCAGGCCGCTTGACGTCTACCCGTGCCGTTGTTGTATGTTTTGGGGGCCCATGAATATCTGTGGGCGCCCTTTTCGTTGCCTGGAGTCAAGACCCTGTGGACGCAACGGCAGAGAGAGAGAGAGAGACACTTCCATTTGGTTAAGAATATGTTCTATTTTCCCCTGTTGGTTTTAAAGTTGATTCTATCACTACTGGACATATTGTCTCATTTTTTCCAGGGGTCTTAACCAAATGGAAGAATAATTATGTTTCTATCGTGGCACCGGCGCTCGCTCCGTCCGCCGCGAGGACATCGACATGACGGACAACCCGCTGGGGGCTTTGGGCATGCGTTCCTTGCTGCGGCTGTTGTCGAGAGCGCAGAACGCTCTGAAGCACTTTCGCTCGGATGGCTGCCTCTCAGCTGGATGAAGACGAAATCCAGTTGGTTTGAAGCCATAGGAAGCCCTTGTTGGTTGGAATTTACAGGTTTAGATGGGTTTCATCCCCCAGTTGCCAGGACCATTTGTGTGTTTTTTTCCAACAGGCCACCTATGCACTTTCAGGATGATGTTCGGAGGTCGTTTTTTACCAATAGAAGCTATACCCCATTTGTAAGCTGTATGTGCATACCAACAAATGGGCCTTGACAAGATGGAAACAACACATTTCTCACTAGATCAGGTGACCTAGATCCAACCTACCACCATATCAGGTGACTAGCCATGTTGCTTTTGGTTTTCTACCAGGCCAGGCAGTCAAGTTGTTCTGAAGAGCCAGCCAAGCGTGTGAGTGCTTGCTATTGGCTTGGATCGTTTAACCTATAAGCTTTTGGGAAGACTAGCTAGCACTAAGTGAAAGGTTCAGTTGCTTAACTCAAAGCTGACTTTTGGGAACAATCTTTACTTTTGGGTTTGGACGCTAAAAAACCGTCTTTTCAGCCTAACCCTTCTTTGTGTGCCTAGTTAACTTTGCCCGATCATACTGAGATATGGGGTGCTTTGCCAGGGAACTGTGTTTTTTTTCCCTTTTGTTGTTCTTTTTTTTCTTCTTTTTTTTGTTTTTCGGCCCTTTGATATACGGGATATACAGGGTCCTCCTTTGCTTAATCCGAAGTGAATATTAGCAACCCAAGAACCATCATGCCTGTTTTCGGGTTGGTGTAGAAAGAAAGCCAAGAGTAAAATCACCATCAATTTTGGGGTCCACTAAAAATGACAGACCCATCATACAACCATCTCACAACAATCATGCAACCATCATACAGCCATCATACAACCACCATACAAGTATCCCACAAGGGCGTGGTGACACGCACGCGAAGTTCGATACGGGTCAATTTTGTGACCGTACCGTTGCAGGCATTGCTAGGGAACCCCCTTTTTTGGGGGGTCCGCTAAAACAGTGAACCCATTTGGCGGCTCCCTCATGGTCATGCCTCGATCTGTTCATGGCAGCTGCAAGGGATGCGCTCAGGCTATCAAGGCATCACAGCGATGATGGAGGAAGGCCAAGGCAGAGCTGATGTTGGGCGCGACATAGTGTGAAAGTAGTCGGTTTGGTAAAGGGGGACCAAACCGATATGGGGGAAATGTGCCATCTACTTTCACCCAACTGCAGATGTCGCAGAATTGCTCGCGGTTTCGTAGTGCGTATGCCTTGGGAACCAGAGGGCCAATTGAGCCAGTGCGTGTGAATACTTTCGCAGCGCTGCCATGTTCTGCCTCGATCGGTGAGCTTGCTCTTGGGTTCCGCAATAAAACCGCGCAGGCTGTCAAGTTTACTCCTTCACGAACCCTGGCAGCCGGTGCCTAGCTGCATTCAGCTTTGCGCGGCAGCCGACATTTTGTGTCTGGAAGTTGCGAATCAGGAGGTGCAGACGTGCAAAGTGGGTTTGCTGGGAGGGCTGTCCGTTTCAAAATAACCATGTAGTACTTAGCAGAGTTTTGGGCTTGTTCTCCGGGTATCAAAGGCAGAGTTTCCAATCAAAAAATCTGCAACTCGGGGGTGACTTTTGCAAATTGGAAAACCATCGGGCGAGTAGTTTCCATTAGTTGCCCCTTTCCCAACTACAGTGATTGAACTGGAGGGGGTGATGAAGTGATAAGTGATCGGATTTGGAGGCGGACAACTTGTGCCATTCCATTTGCACTGTCATTCGCCTTTGGGAAGACTGGAATGGCAAAGCACCAGCTGCCCCAAAAGTTGTTTGCATGTACCTGTTTTTTTTTTTGGGGGGGGTACCCATGAAGGGATGTGGCTGTGGGTCAAAACCAATGGTATCCCATTTTGGGGTAGGTGCACCACCCATTTTAGTCGGGATTTTAGTGGGGATTGGGATGTTCACTGGGGGGGGGGTACGATTTGGCTTTTGACCCATGGCCATGTCAGTACCCTGCAAGTTCGTCAGACTTCAGGTATGTGCTGGATCTCAGCCGGCCATATCACCGGAGTTTGCTTCGGATCCTCTACAAGACAGCCGAGCGATACAAGCTGACGCTGGATAAGGCACACAATCCCCGGAGTGGCTCCCCCCCCCTTGGCTCCAGGCTTCTGTTTGTCCAATAGGAAAGCGGAGGAACATTGCATTTGTCGTTCCAGGTACGAGCTTGCCAAACCTTGATGTTGTTTTCTTTAACAAATTGTCATAAGAAGTTTGCTATTTCCAGCTAGCCGTTGTTGATTTCTAAAATGGCTAGCCGTTTTGGACTATGAGGCAGCCGGCTGGAGTCTTTAATAAGAGGGGGTTTATTAGTCATTCCATATCGGGGATTAGGAAAGGGGGTCCGAGCCCCCACCCGGGGTTAAAGGTGGTACCCAGAAAAATATCTCGAGGTTGAGTTCAATTGATTGAAGTATTGCTGGAGCTTCCTTGTGAGATTTGGCGTGTGTTCATTTGATTTTGCATGGCCTTGAGTTTCATTTGATTTGGGTTTGCTGGTGGTTTTTGAGAAATGATTTGAGTTTCCATTTGTAGTATTGGCGAGCTTGGGTTTCCATTTGACTTTGCAATTGGCTTCGCTTTGAAGCATGTCCCCAGACAACCCTTACATGAGTGCTCAAATGTCATGTTTAGTTGGGTGCGTGAATAACGTTGTTTAGAACTGTGTGCGAATTGGCTCAGCATTGGTTTGTATTGGCACTTTCCGGGAGCCCACCCCTTGACCTGTTGTGGTTACTTGGCATCTCGCCAGCCATCCGGTTCCTTAGCTTTTTGGCTTTTTAGTGTTTGATGGTTGGATTTCCATTTCACCCACTAAAACTGCTGTTGGGTTGAATCTTTAGACTTTAACTTTTAGATCTTTTTAGTGGGTTGAGTGAGTTTAGTGGTTGGATTCCCATTTTAGCCACAACACGTTTTTCACTTTTCGCTGGGGATCTGAGGACAGCCTAGTTTGTTACCATGTTTGCACTGCAGGATGGGAAATTACAAATTACACGAACGTGTCCCCAAAAAGCAGATAAACCTGTGACAGCTTCTTTGTACGTTGGAGGCGTACCATATTTTTCGTCAAGCAACCGAGAAAAAAAAAACTGACTCTTTTCCTTTGCACTTCCGTGAAACGTTCGCAGGTTTCGCAGAAGTCGACGGGTGCCAAAGGCCCACGTCTTACCTCGTTCTTTTTTTTGGCACGAGGTAGCGAAGGCCATGGATCCGGTGGATGGAATTCTGATGTCAGGTTTGGAGTTGGTAAAAAATTGCAGGTGGAGCTTTTTATGGCTTTTTGAGAACGGATCTTTGGACTTTTAACTGCTTTGGGAAAGAACGGATGTTCCATTGGACACACAAGAAGTGAGCGACTTGTTGCAGAGGGGTCAACAGCAACCAAGTTTTGGAGTGGTAATGATTTGCCGATTGAACCCCCGACCCTTTCGAATCTGCCGGAAAGACTGAAAATGGAAGATGGCATTGGCGGGGATCCCTCACCTCGAAAGTGGGGGGGGGGGGGGGCAGACTGGCAGAAAACGTGGGCACTGATCAATTTTCCCTTGTTGGTGTTAAAGGGGGTCTATCACCACTGGTTCTATGTTCTCATTTTGTCCAGGAACACTTTTGCAAATGGAGGTCATCGAATTTTCCAAACCCCCAGTTCAGAACCCAGTATTGGACCAAGCATGAAAGCAGAGATGTTCTGTCTCGCCCTGGACACTCACTTGCCCAAAGCCAAGCTTTTGACCTTTGGGTTTTCTCATTTTGGTCCATGTTTTGTCGTTAAAAGGTGGTCACCTTTTATTTGCAGGTCGGGACAGTGAGTTCAACCTCCCGCTGCAACTGTGGATGGACTAAATCCTGCACCACCTAAGAAACGCTGGATTGATGATTGCCTTGTAAATACCAAGCCAATAATGGTTCCCCGTGGTTTCAAAGTGGTGCAGGATTTCGTCCATCCACAGTATGTCGGGGAAGGTTCTGGACTTGAGCCGCACGCCGAGCGGCCGAACGCGAGGCATTCGAGCTCATCGAGGCGGATCCGCCCTACCAGCACGCCAGCAAGCAAAAGGGGATTTGGCAAGCCGCGGCCCCAAGCGATTTGAGCTTTGGCACGTACGCCCGCTGCCATCATACTGGGGAAAATGGTCAGTTTGGCGAAGGGGTCATGTCATGTTGCGGTCCAAAGGCACAAGCCCGGCATTCGTAGAGGCGCACAAGAAAACTTGATGGTTCCCAGCCATGCCCTTAGCTTTTTAGCTTCTTAGTGTTTAGTGGCTGGATTTCCATTTAACCCACTAAAAGTTGTTCACGATTCGCGGGGGATCTGAACACGGACAGCAAGGCAATCCTTCCAACTCGAGGCGTCGCAAATTAGTTGCCCGAGGTGCCGTCAGCTGGGCGCGTGGTCTTCAACTTCAGCGTGGAGGCACAAATCCAAGCCTCACTCTCAGGCCGGGAAAAAAACAACTCACCCTACTGCACATCTTCCATTTGCTTAAGAGCATTTTTTATTTTCCCCTGTTGGTTTTAAAGGGGATCTATCGCTACTGGAATCTTTTTTCCAGGGGGCTTAAGCAAATGGAAGACAGTCTTTGCACTGCTTGTTTTTTCTATTATCCTTGGATACATTACATTTTACCAGTGACTCGAAGTGAAGCAAACAATAAAATATACATTCTATAACTGGCCCTAACTCTAATCATGTACATGTTTCTTCGTGGTGGCTCTCCCTTTTTTCAGTGGTGACCCAAAAAGTGTACGCTTTTCGTTTGCTGGTCACTGGCGAAGTGACACAACATCAGAGGGATGCATTTCATTTGGGCTCGGTTTTTTTGGGATAAGGGGAAACATGGGAAGCCACAAGCAAAACCGACGCCATTTGGGGGGGGTCCCAAAAAAATTGACACGCCAACATGTGTATGTTATGTGCCAGCGTCCTGGGGGCTTCGTGGCACGTCTTCCTCTGTAAGGTTGGAAAGGTTATGGGGTTCCATTGGTCTCAGCTTATACCCGGGTAATCCATGGTTCATTTTCTATATGAACGTTCATTACTTGTGGATCACTTAACTCAAGGGGGCTGCGGCATGGTGGCCTAAGAGCTGCCTAGGAGCTACCAATGGGAGGTCTGGTTAGGGAGCCACCCGAAAGATAGATCCTAAAGGCGGGTAGCTGCTGCCAAGGCTTTCTGTGCGTGGCACTTTGCGAGTGGAGTCGACTTGCTGCAAGCCAACTCGTTCCCTCCAGCATCACATGGCTTCCGAGCCACTTCCCTTTTTGCCTGGTGGTTTGGTGGTTAGGGGTGGTTTCCCCTGTACCCTCTAAAGCCAGGGGTTACCAAATCCCCAGTTCCCACCAATTCAATCCTTAGTTGCTGATGCATGGAACCATATCTACCAGGTAAACATGTGTTCCATGGTAAATGGAGCGATTAACCCCATGATGAGTTTCCTTGCTTGGAGATCTATGCATAGTTTAATGCGGAAATGCCCAAATGGTTGGTGGACAGTAAGTTCCCACCTAAAAGGGTCCAATTAAGAGTCATACCCATCTCAGACTTGACAACATGGGCTTTGGGTTCATTCCACCCCCCGCCCCTTGCAGGTGTCGACGATGACGACTACCTGGGCTTCCTGGACACGCACTTTGAGCTGACCCGCTTTAAGGCCCGAGACGGTGTGGGTGGGTGGGTGGGTGGGTGGGTGGGTTGGGTGGGTTGGGTGGGTCAGTGGGTGGGTGGGTGGGTGGGTTGGTTGGTTGGTGGGTTGGGTTGGTGGGTGGGTAGCGGGTTGGCGGATTGGCAGGTTGGCGGGTTGGCGGGTTGGTGGTTGGTCGGTGGGTTGGTGGGTTGGTTAGTGGGCTGGTGTGAGTTGGTTGGGTTGGTTGGGTTGGTTTGGTTGGTTGGGTTGATTGGTATGGTTGGTTGGGTTGGCTTGGGTTGGCTTGGGTTGTCTTGGTTGGTTGGGTTGGGTTGGGTTGGGTTGGGTTGGGTTGGGTTGGTTGGGTTGGTTGGGTTGGTTGGGTTGGTTTGGGTTGGGTTGGGTTGGGTTGGGTTGGTTGGGTTGGTTGGGTTGGTTGGGTTGGGTTGGTTGGGTTGGTTGGGTTGGTTGGGTTGGGTTGGTTGGGTTGGTTGGGTTGGTTGGTTGGGTTGGTTGGGTTGGTTGGGTTGGTTGGGTGGGTTGGTTGGTTGGTTGGTTGGTTGGTTGGTTGGTTGGTTGGTTGGTTGGTTGGTTGGTTGGTTGGTTGGTTGGGTTGGTGTGTGGTTGGTGTGTGGTTGGTTGGGTGGTTGGTGGGTTGGTGGGTTGGTTGGTTGGTTGGGTTGGTGTGTGGTTGGTTGGGTGGTTGGTGGGTTGGTGGGTTGGTGGGTTGGAGGGTTGGAGGGTTGGAGGGTTGCTTGGTGGGTTGGTTGCCGCGCTGCTGGGTTGGTGGGTTGGCGGGACAGCCAAGTTGAGTGATGATGGCACTCCCCCCCCGGCCAAGAACTGCTGTTTCCGATGCCCAAAATCTGGAGATGGTTTGGTGCGTGCGCGTGGAATCCACAAAGGCCGACGAAACTCCGTTTGGGCGACCTGTTTCTAGGAGGTTCCTTCCACTGCGGTTCCTGTTTTCACATTGTTCCAAGAGCGGGAAATCCCTCCTCTATCTCTAAAATCAAGTCAACAGGAAAAAACGAGCCCTTTCGGGTGTGTGTGTGTGTGTTCTAGGAGACTCCCCAAAATGGCTTCGGTTGTCATTGTCCTCTTGTTTTCCCTTTAAGCCAAGCCACGAAGTTCTTCAAAGAGACGAGCCACCCATTTCTCGCATGGAAATCCACGGGGGCGGCGGTCTTGTTGATCGGTTTGCTCAGGCGGATCGCAAGAAGATCCCAGCGCTCTTTGCCAAGTGGCTGGAGCTTTTAGGCTGGGACACGTAATGGAAACCAATTGGAGCTTGTTGTTGAAAAACCACTTTGCATTTTTGTTCTTATTGCGCTTTGGTGCGCGGAAGTCATGTCCAACTAAACTGCTATTTTTTTCGAGAACTCTTGATCCCCAAACCCAACGTCAACCTCAAGAAACATGCCTAGGTCCTCCAATCGGTAGCCCTTTCTCACTCTCACCGTTTCTTAGGGGAGAGTTCCCCTCAATCGGCTACAGAAAAAGCTGGTAGCCTTATTCTATCCTCTCTAAGGGCTCCCTAAAAGATACATTTTGCAAAGGGAACCCCACAAATAGTGAACTAAATACATAAGATAGGCGACCGATTGGTGGGGGTTCCCCACTCCTCCTCCCCGCAAGCTGGGAAAAGCCAGGCCTGCGAGGTGCGAAGCAGGGTGGAGCTTCGGCAAACAAAATCTCACGTCCTGGGCTTCTGGGCGTTAGGTCACTTTGGTTAGCTCACTGTAGTCACTTTTGGGGTTTGGAGCATGTTGGTGGTATTTCCAAGTTTGGACCTTAGCGATCAAGCCACTGAAGTGGGCAAGAGGAAGCTGAAAGGGGATGATTGGGACTTTATGGCTATTTGGTAACGGATCTTTGGACTCAACAATCTTTTGGTTGAACCAGATTGGATTTTCCAAATGGGACCGGGTCGTTACAGCAACCAGTATGTCTTGTCCAGGCTGCCAATTTACAAAAGGAAGGCAAAGGGGATGATTGTGCCTTTTTGTTTGTCCAGGCTTCCTATTTAGCACCCAGATTATGAGCAAACCCTTGGTGATTGGTTGGATGTGGACACAGAACCAATATAGTTGGCTCTTGTAGATGATTAGTGGGAAACCACGACGAAACGCCTCCAAATCACCTAAAGGGAAGCTGACAATCTGGAATTTGATTTCTAGAGCCTGTTTAGTGAGTTCGTGCTACTCAACTTGAATGCTCTCTAGGAGTGTCGGTTTTAAAGGGAACCCACAAGGAAACCACCATTTGGGGGATGGGCCCCCTAAGGCACGACACGCCCCTGGTTGGACCTACCGAGCTTTCCGATGTTCATGTCAACCGCATTGGGTGGGATCGAATGGCGGTGGGCCAGGCAGAAGTCATGGCCTCTCAGAGCGCGTGACATCAGCTTTTGGTTTGATTTGGATGAGCTGTATGCATGTACCCGCCTGCCCACTCACATGGAACCCAGAGGTCCAAGGTTCCATGTTTGTGGACAGGAGAGTGAACAGTAAAGTACTGCGTTGGTGGCAAGCCCTTTTTGCCTTTTAGTGTTTCGTGGTTGGATTTCCATTCAACCCACTAAAAGTTAGTCACTTTTAGCGGGGGATCTGAAAACGGAGAGCCCAGAAAAGAATGTTTTAGGGGCTCACCATGTTCAGAAACACCTTCCCCCAATCTCAGAAGCCCTAAATTTGACCCTTCTGCCGAGTGGCCAAATGAGTCACCAGTGACGCTTGGCCAACCGCCTTCGTTCGTCCCAATTCGCCCATTCGGCCACTCGCCCGCAGGCCGGGAGGAGGATCAGCATGTCTACCTGGCCGCGCTGGCCAAAGACTTCAACATGTCCCTGCCCTATTTGTCCTACCTCTGCCGCCTGGACGGTATATAATATCTTCCATGTGCTGAAACGAATTAAGATATATTATGATATATTGTTGTTTTTTGTTGGTTTGACAATTGATTTCACTACTGGAAAAAGCAAATATATGTGTTTTATTAACCTTGCTTGTTTTAAACGGAACCTATCGCTATTGGACATATTGTTGTTCTCCCGAGGGGCTTTAAGCACATGGAAGACAAGATCAAAGCAGTTCCTTCCTGTTGCTTTATCCTCCCACGAATATGGCACCTTGGAAGTGGGCCGCTTCAGCAGGAAGTTGTTCCTCCACCGAAAGGTGCCACGTTTGTGGGAGGAAGGGTGCCCTTAAGCAGGGGGTACTCCGAAAGAAAGTCCGCAGTGTGCCAAAGAAGCGGTTCAATCGCAGTCATTAGCGGCCCCTTGGCTGCAGGTTTGCGAACCGCTTCCTTGCATCATCCCAAGTCCCAAGTGGTGAGAAATGGACTTGGTCCATGCAAGGTATTGGTTTCATGGGAACTGGGGGAGAGGGAGGGGGGGGGAGCCCAAATAAGCCCTAAATAAGGCCTTAATAAGGGCTTATAGGGCTTATTTGGGCTCCCTCCCCCCTCCCCTCCCCCTCCCCCAGCCCCCATGATGGTTGAAACCGGCAAAACGACCTCCCGAAATTCGCGAACTCCTCGCAAGGGCGGCAACGGTTCGCGAAAGCTACTGAGATAAACCGCCTGCCAGGTGCGGACTGGGTGTTCTTCTCTTTGTCTCATGTCCAAGAAGCAGTCGCTGGGGGCCAGTGGGAGTCATGCAGCGGGGCAGAGCTTCTGCGAAATCTCACTTCTTGAGTTCCCGGACTTTGAGCTTTTTGAGTAGGCCGTTTTAGTGGCAAACCAAAAGTTTGGCCTTTTCCTGACCAAACTCCCTGGACTTGTCCACTTTTCTGCGGACTTTTTTAAGTGGCAAACAACAAGCTTGGCCGTTTGTCTCTCCCAACTCCACCCGGAAGTGAGGCATCGACGGCCACCGAACCGAGGCAGCAGCGCCCCCGGGTCGGTGCGCCACACCATGATGACGATGTTCCCCACGGTGCCCAGCGACACCCAGCCCGGGAGCCGAATCGCCGGATCGGATCGGATCGGTTGCGAAATCCTCTTAGGCACCACCTAAGACTCCCTGGAATGATTCGATTCCCCTGTAAATACCAACAAACCAATGGTTTGGTATGGTTTCAAAGTGGTGCAGGATTTTGTCCATCCACAGTAAGTCCCCCAGCGATTGGCGCAACCTTTCTCACCAACTGTTTTTCGGTTGGGAGGGTTCGGGACCCTACTAAACTAGACTACAGGAAAAAAAGTTGGTACCCTTATTCTAACCTCGCTACTGGACCTAGGAAATGGCGCATGCCCGGTTCTCATGCAAGCCCGAAGTTACCCTTTTGGTTTTTCAGTTTTGGCAGTACCATTTGGTTGATATTTTAATTTCCAGGTCCTTTGGCGGCTATTGGTTGGCATTTAATTTGGGAGGCCAACAGAAAACCACCAATCCAATCGGTTTTGAGCACTTGGCGAGACATCCCGAGAGATTGAGACCAAATTTCTGATTGAAGTCGCAACCTTTCGGGGCTTTGATTATCTTTGATTTCTTCGCCCCAAGGCTCGAAGAATTCCAGGGGACTGCAATTGGAGGTTGTGCGGTTCACGTTGGAGTTGACCCTCTTGAAAATGAGAGCGCAATGCGCTCGTGGATATTATCGTGCGTATTTTACACTTGTTGAAGCCGAAATTGGGGGGCCGTATTTGGATGTGATTGTTTTGTTTTTAAGAGTCGCCTTTTTGGGTGTTGGTTTGAAGTGACAACAAAGTTGACCAACCACCAGTTTAGGGGGGGTCGAATCCTTAAAAAAGACGAGCCACCCTTTTCAGGCAGTTCGTGAAGTCCTTCTAAGCAGCGGTCCCCTAAAAATGATTCACCCATTCTGTATGGCTATTTGGTTGGATGTTCGGACTTTAACTTTGTGGTTGCAACAGGTCGGATTTTCCGAATTGGACCCCGCAATCAGTGAAACACTTTTTGCAGAGGAGCCAACACCAACAACCAAGCATTTTGTTAACGGGCAGTTCAGAAGCATAGGTATCCTTTTTGGTTGTTTTGCTAGAAAAATAGATCTATTTCCCCTAAAAGGACACCTATGTTCATAAGTTTATTCTTTTTCAGAAAGCAGCCGCTCGTTTCGCGAGGCTCAGCCCAGGGGAGAGGTGGATTCCGCCCCCTTTCTTCCTTGGAGGTCCTTTGTTTTTGGGAAGGGTTCCCCTTTAAACTCAGCCAAAGCCACGGATCCGTTTCTCGCTGGTGCGACAGGTAGGGAATGAGGGAGTTTAGGTTTCCTTTTAGGATCCCCAGGTTCCTTCCCTCATTCCCCCCCAAAAAATCACTTCCTCCCGTAGAAATCCATCGAACGCGCCGCTTGCGCCGAGCTCAGGTCCCGGTACCTGGCGATGCTGTGCTTCCCCCGGCTCAGCGACTTCTACGTGTGCTACGGCGCCATGGAGGCGAGAGAAACGGAGAAACCGAACCGGCGGCGCATCCGGAGTCCTTTTCAAGCAACACCATGTGTTTTTTTTTTTTTTTGTGGGGTTGGTTTCCCCAAAGGACGGAGGTCTCCGTTTGGTGGTCCTTTTGGTTTTCCTTTTGGTTGTCCTTTTGGTTTTCCTTTTGGTTTTTGTTTTGGTGTCCTTTTGGTTTTCCTTTCAGGTAAAGGAAGTTGCTTCTTATTGGCGAAAGGGTCAGAGGAAAAATCCGGAGTCCTTTAGAGCATGGCGATTTGTATCGCGAGCTCCGAGTCGGGGTACGGGGTCAACATGATAAAGGTCCGGATCCAATTCTTCATGCAGCTTTTGTAAGAATGCATTGGCCGGGTTTTTTGCTGATATTGGATCTCCAGGTAAATGCAGAAACTCCAGTTATTGGTGATTGAGGATCCAATTATTTAGGAATTATGGTAGTTTTGTGTCCTCTCTCCTAGGTTGCCATAACTTTCAGGCCACGCCCAAGTTGTTTTCCTTTCCCTATGTAGCAAAGTCCGTACGACCCCGGTAATCCAAACAGAGTTTGGTCCACAGGGGGGCCGATGGACACAAACCTTCTTCGCCCAACGGAGGCTTGGTGCTTCCCTTTGCTTGGAGGACGTGTTCCTGATGTTTCCTACCGTTGCGAAATGTTGCGATACGGCGATACATGTGTCATAATTGAATTCCCAAACGGGTGTCGAGATCCATTATGAGAAGCCCTCATCATTTTTCGGGTCCTGTCACCTCATTTTTCCAGATACAGCCACCTCCCAAGTAGCCAAAGGGATTCCCTCCATGACCAGCCCATCCGCTCCACGGATGATTCCCGAGATTTCCCCTAAAAACCGGTACCAAAGAAATTCTAATCCGCTTGGCCACATGGATGTAACGGAACTCCCCGAATGCCCCCAACTTGATTGCTATTGGGTTGGGTCTTTAGACTTTAACTTTTAGGTTGACATCAAGGGTTTTCCAAATGAAGCCCACAAAAAGTGAAGCGCAAAACCCGTTTCGTTGGACGAGGCCCTGCTGCTCTTCAACGCGCAGAACGCCACGGGGCACTACAAGCTGGACCTGGGGAACAGCAGCAAGCCCAGGGGAAATCGGAGCGGTGTCATGGGAGGTTCGGATGGATGGGAAAGAGGGGAACCCTTGGAGATGCCCACTGGCAGGAGTGATGGGAAACCTGATGGGGGGAGTAATTTTAAATAGAGATGCCTTAGAGGAGCCCCGGAGTGATGGGAAACCCTTGAAGATGTTTGATGGGAAAGAGCCCAGGAGAAAACCAATCGGAGAGGAGCGGTGTCATGGGAGGTTCGGAGTGATATTTAAACCCCTTATCTTGGGATGATGGAAACCCCTTGGGGTCAATCACTTGAGGGGAACACCCCACCCTAGATTTTGATGGAAAGAGGGGAAAATCCTTAAGATCCATCACTTGAGGGGATTCTTCTCCTTTTTCCTTTTAAACCACTGCCAACAATGGGGGGAGTGGGAAAGAGGGAAAATCCTTAAGATCCATCGCCTGAGAGGGTTTTTCCCACTATTTTCACAGGGCTCCTTAAAAGATACATTCTGCCCACTTGAAGCATGTTGCTTTTCCCACACCAAAGTCAAGTTGGAAACCACCAAGGCAATGTCCAGGTGTGTAACGTCAGGATCCCTGTTTCATTTGGGGCCCATTACGCTGGGGTCAAGAAATTAGGGCCCCCCCCCACCAACGGGGGGAGTGGACAGGGAGAAAATCCCGTGAAAGGGTGGGCCTTTGAACCGGAAGCCGACGGAAAAAAATCTCAAGTTGGAGAGGCCCTGGATTTTTTGGACGCATTTTGGTAGGTGGGTAGGGGTCGAGATTCAACCACCAAAGGACCACAGGAATTGGTCCTTGGTTCAAATATTTACCGGGGCAGGCCATTGTGGGTAATTACCTATTTTTGAGCCACAGCCATGTGTGAAGAACCAACTTGGAAGAGTGCCCTGAAACAAATCACACAGCCATGTGTGCCAATCAAGAGAAGCGCACTTTTACTAGCAGAATCCAGCAAAAAAAATACACGTACCATAAATAAAGACACAGAGAGAGAGGGTGCCCTTGTAAAGCAGGTGGTTTTTGGATGCATTCTTTCAGGAACCCTGCCTATTGTTGGTGGCCCTTCTTGGGATTGTTTTAAAGGAAGCCACCCCTTACCCTGGTTTGGAGCGGGACTTGGATGGTTCGAAGGGGTGTGCACGACCAGTCATCCATCCCTTGTGGTTCTGGGTGTGCATGAAAGTTGGTTCAAACCAACTGATTCGGAGCCAAGCAGGGGCTACTGCAGCGACTATCGACTCTTCAAGGGGTTGACTCAGCCATCGTTCTTTTATCAAAAACCACCCTAGGGCCCTAGGGCTTTTGGTGGATTTCCAGAAAGGATCCCTGGAAAGGCCCCGGGGACATGGGCGATCGCCCTATCCTCATCCGCGCATCGGGTTTTGTTTCGGTCGAGGTTGTGAGTTCGCGGTGGCCCAGCGTCTGATCCTCTTGGATCGCTGGGAGGCGGACTTCGATCTCCAAAGCGCCCAAAGCCTCGAAGCGAAGCGCCTCAACCATGGGTTTTGGTGGGGACTGTTGTCCCTTTTGGAGGGGAACCCCCCCCCAAAAAAAAAAACAGCGGTTGATAGGGGGTCAGCATGGGTCAAGCAACCTGGGATTGGATGGCTTATGGAAACCAGATGGCTTTCTTCCCATTCCCCTTAGGCTTGGGTGAATGTTGACCCCAGAGATCAATCAACCAACCAGTTGAATCGGGAGGTGGTTTTAGGCCCCAAAAGTGGTCTGATTCCCCAGTAGATAGACACAGTTAAAAAGCACCCCCTACTATTCACAAACTGCGGTTGACTAATTTAGGGTCAACATCACGGTCGACATACTGGAGGATTCAGGATTCTACCGCATTTCGATCAACCCAGCCTAGGACATGTACCCCAACCACTACCTTTAAGGTGATTGAGTGAAGTATAAAATCCATTGCTTTGTGTGGCCATACTGTGGATGGACGAAATCCCACTTCGCACCACTTTGAATCATGGTTTCCCTTTGAAACCATGAAAAACCATGGTTGGTTCGGCAAATTAAGGGGAATCATCAGTCCAGGGTTTCTTAGATGCAGGATTTCGTCCATCCGCGGTATTGCAACTACACCACCCAAACAGGGGTGAATTTACAGAGTTTCCCTTGGGGCATCCACTGAAGGACTTGGGCTATCCTTTCTGTAGCCGTGTTTGGGGCTGTTTCTTGGGAAACCCCGCAATTGAACCCCCGCCGTTTAGCGTCCCTTAGTTGAAGAGATGCACCCAAAAGTACTAAGTCTGTTACTTGCTTTGTCCAAAGTCAAAGCTCTACTTGTGACCATCCATTTGCTGAAATGAATATGTTTGTAGAATATACTGTATTTGTTTGCATTTTCCCCCTGTTGGTTTTGAAAGGGAATCTATCATTACTGGACATATGTTTCTTGTTTCCAGGGACTCAAGCAAATCTAGGTCCCCAGTAGTGCCCTTGTACCCTTTTTTGGGGGAGGGTTCCCCTACTAAACTAGACTACAGAAGAAAGGGTACTCTTCCAGCCTCTCTACTGGAGGACCTAGAAATGGAGGAGACCCACGAGCCAGCGCTCTCCGCGCTCGCTCCGCGCGAGGCCGTGGTGAACAAGCGCCGGGCGCGCTGCGACGTGTCGGCGTCGGCGAACCGCTCGCAGCTGCGCAACGAGACGCATCAGGGGAGGGACCTCCTGCTGCGCGTCAAATCGGTCGCGGAGACTTGGAGCTGGGAACGGGTGTGGGTCAAAACCCAGGTGCTGTATGGTGCTGTTTTTTCCCCCCCCCCCCCTTTTTTTTCCCGGCGGCCCGGGGGGGGGGGTGAGACAGGGGGGGGGGGGACCGCCATTTTGTGTAACCTACCATTGGGCGATTGTGGGTGCCTTTTTTTGGAAAACAACCCAGATACCCTTTCTTGTGTCTATTGGTTGTCCACTACCCCCACACCTCTACCCGCTGGTGTTATGTACTCTTTTCATAGTAGCCATTGGAACCAGCTTCCCCATCATTGGTGGCATTCCTAGCCCGAAAAGACCCTTACCGGGCAGCCAAGCTTTGTTTGGCCATGTTGGCCGGCGTATAAAGCCCTAGCCGTTGGTGAGGTCTTTTGGGGAACTAATTTTCTCTAAGGTGCGTGTCCCTTCTTGTTCTTCTTGAAGCAGACGCCAAGACGGCCTCAAGGCACATTCTTTCTGGGGAAGCACGGGCCGGGGGAACCTTGTGGGCTGGTCTCAGAGTCAAGTCTGGAGTCTTCACATGGCCCGGTTTCCCTGGCCTTCGCTTCACTCGAAAACAAGCCCAGAAAGGGTAACGGTCTTGAAATGGACCGGCTTCTTCCTAAGTCATCATGCTAAAACATGTTCAATTGCATATGCCCCCTTTGCCCCGTAAGTCCCAAGTCATTTGCACCCAGTAGCGTGTGTTTGATGTTTCGTGTCTTCGATTTTTCGGGGGGGGGGGGGGAACAGCATTCACTTCACTGTTCTTGGCATGTTTTTTGTTTTTTTTAGTTTTTTGGCTCTGTACATTTTTACTGGGGGTCTACAAAAAACAGTCAGTTTTTTGCCAGCCCATACCAAGAGTAGAGATGTTCAAACAAAAGGGACTTCGAGTCTAGGAGTGGAGCCTGCCGGAGTACGACATCTTTGAGCTGGACTATGTGAGCAGCTATCGCCCACCCGCCAAGGCAGGGACAACTCTAGGGCTGCATTTTTTTCAAGGGATCCGAATCTTTTCAGGGTTTCCATCAAAAAAAGAAACAGGGAAACCAATCCGGTTTTTGAAAAGAAGGATGGTTGAAAAGAATGGCCAAGGAATCATTCCCTAGAACGGTTGAGGGTTCCCTGCTGAACCCCTGGCGAGCCCTTTCTGCAGTCTGGAGAAAGGTCCTTGAAAATCAACTACTCTCCCACCAAGGAACATGGAACCTGACGTTCGGGACCCGGTCCCTTTGAAAGGAACATGGTCCAAACCAGGACCCCCTGTCAGGTTCCATGTGAAAAGGGTGGGAGGGTGCCGAAAAAGAGAGCCCCTTTTGGTGGCGCGCGCAGTGCTCAGAACTGGTCAATGCAGAAGGGGAAGATGCGGAACGCCTTTCAAAAGGACACCTGTAAAGGGAAAGCCTTGTGAAAGCCCTCTCAAAATGACCGCGTTGGGCAAAGGGAAAAGCTCTTTTATTGGGATGTTTGAAGATTTGGGTTCGGTACACCCAAAACGGCTCGTTTGCAACCTGAGTTTCTCTTTGGCCAGCTTTCTAAAAGGGCACCCTCCAAGAAAAGTCGACACATACATTGCTTAAGGTGACGTTTCCCTTGGTGATGTTAGGTTGGATATCATTTCGGCCTGACCGTTTGGCGAAGATCCGACTCGAGGCACAGGCGCTGAGCGACGAGCTTTGGGAATCGCTGATGGTCACAATGTACAACTGCAAGGAGCCATCGATCCGCAGACACGAACAACGGGGTGCATAGGGTGCACAGGGCGCATGCCCCCCCAGCAAAAAGGACAAATAGTTATGTGTTTTTTCAAAAGGAGCCGGTGGTTTTGTTTTGAGTGCCCTTTTCCCCATGGCCAGTGGGGGGCTTCTTTGATTTGGGCCAGTTCAAGCAGGCGTTGTTTTTTTGTTTTTTTGTTTTTTTATCCAAAGCAGGGGTTGGCTCTCCACATAAAGCAGGTGGCTTTTTGGGATGTATTCTTTTGCCGGAACCCCGACTATCCTGGCATCCTCTTGTCAACAGAATGAGGGATTTTGTTTTGTTAATTTGCTTGGTTTCAGTTTGCCTTGTTTCAGCCAATCAAGGCACTGCGCAAGAGGGTTTGGACTACCATCCTCTTATCCTTTGTAGAGGCCCTCTAGAAGACTCGACCCCTACAAATGTCCTTTGCAGTCGGTCTAAACATTTGGGTGTGAATCAAAAATAGGTACCCAATATAGAACCCTGGTAAATGGAAACATGGACTTGACTAAAACCTGCGGTTCCCTGGTTTAATTTTGACCCATACCCATTTATTGGCATGTTGATGTCGCAGTAGGTGGGACAGTGGATGCTTTGTGTTGAACCAGATCAGCGGCAGGACACCCGGCCGGAGGATAAGATCAAGGCTTTGCGGAGCATATCCCACTTGATCTTTATCAAATGCATGCACATGCGGCAGATGGTGGGCTGCTTGGACTGAGTTCAGAGTTGCCTTCCAGACAGGGAACACCCCCACAAATGCAGCATTAGATTGAAACTAGTTCCTGACCGACATGGGAAAAACAGAGAGGTATAGTGTACCCTATGCTAAATCTAGATAAGTCTTTCGACCCCCCTGTCCTTTTTACCCGATAGCACAAGATGAATGTAAAGATCTCCTGGTTTCCTTTCGGTGTCCCTTGGCTCCCTCCCATTAATTCTCACTTTTCGGGACGACCACATCATCAAGCAACAAGTTGAGAGGCTTCTTTTTGCCAGATCACTCCACTGAGCTTGCACCAGCACCCCCCCTAAAAAAGAAGGTCCCCTTTTTGGCTTCCCAAGAAAACCCACCGCGCAGCTCTGCCCGACCAATTCCCCAAGAAACCGGTCAAATTCCCCCTAGAAGCCAGTCAAATCCCCTCCAAAACCTTTCACGGACACACATCCCCTCCAAAAGCCCGACTCCAGTTATCTCCCCTGCGCTTTGCCTCGGAAAAAGACTCCCCGAGGCTACTTTCAGGAGGCCGAGCACCGCGAGGAGGCCTTTGTGACCTTCTTCAACCGCGCGGCTCGGAGTCGGACGTCGGCGAGGAAGCCATCAGCGAATCAACCCTTTCATGAGTGCTATCCTAGGTGTTCCAGCGATTGGTGCCCTTTCTCACCCCTTTTTTGGTTGGGAGGAAACCCCCTTTAAAATAGACGACAACAAGTGGGTACCAACTTATTCTAACCGCTCAAATTCTGGAGGAAGCCAACGTGAACGCTTTTTTCTGGCAGCTTTGTTGGTGGCAGCTTTAAGCCATCCGGCTCCTGAGCTTAGATCTTTTCAGTGGGTTGAGTGAGTTTAGTGGTTGGAGTATCCCCACCCCCTTAAAAATGGAATTGGGGAGGGGGGTGACCCCTGGAATTCCATTTGTGGTTCCATTTTCGCGTTTATGGGGAAGACTAGATAAATGGAATTGGGGACCCCCCCACCCCCCCTCCTCCTGAAGGTAGGGGGGATGTTGGAGTTCAACTTAACCCACTAAAAGTTTATTCACTTTTAGCGGGGGATTTGAGGACAGCCCAGTTTATGTTTGCCATTATCTAAAGTCACCCCCAAGGTCCCCCCGAGCCACAACATGTTCCAAGGTCATAGACATGCACAACGCCAAGCAGTTCACCGTCCGCTTCGACAGTGAGGCGCGGGGCGCGTGGGGCGTGGGTGGCTTGCTGTTTTTTGGGCAGCGAGAAACGCGCTGTCCATGTAGCCAGGGTGGGGCACCATTTCTGGATTCCAGATGTTGAGTCATTTGGGGATACCCTCCCACCAGCTAACATGGAAGTGCACAGACCCCTGTAGAAAGACTACTTTCCTCTTGGAAAGTGCCTTTTGCACTTTCATATTAGTTGGTGGGAGGGTAGGAAATCTTTCAGGGCCGGATCCTGGGACAATCACTCACTTCCTGAGCTCCTGGACTTTAGTCGCTGTGTGGGTTTGGACCATTTTTGTGGTGAACAAAAGCCAAATCCACTCGATCACAAGAGAGATTGAGCAAGTATGCCCTTTATTTTTCGAGGAAGGCGTTGAAAGATCGAATGAATTTGTCACCTTCGGGTTTGCCATGGGCCCGCTAGTCAAAGCCCAAAGAAGAACCTGCTGGGAAGAATAGCCTCTTTCTGAGAAAGGTGTGTTTTGTCGCAAAAGGGGGGGGGGTGTCTTTTTTAAGAGCATCCCTTTTGTGTTTTGGGGGGAAACCTAAAGGAGAGCATTGGTCCCTAAAAGAAGACAGCCCCTAATAAGGTGCTCGCGTAGCAATGCCAAGTTTGGCAAGCCTCTAGAGGGTGACGAAGTCCTAACTGAAGCCCATCTTGGCACGGAAAGCCATGCCATTTGGCACCAGTCTAAAGTTCTTTTCCAAAGGACAGTGAAATGGGGCGGGCAATCAGTTTCTCAAGCCCCCCCAGCAAAAAACAAAAAACAAAAGCACCGCTGTTTCCCCAATCTCCTCAATTCCCGTGCTCCCCGAAAAAGGGGAAGGGAGTCGTATAGGGGTGCAGCCGTTTTTTTTTTTCCACTGACCTCCTTGCTCACCCCCCTCGAGCCATTCGAGCGAGCCAGCCAGCCAGCCAGGAGGAGCTGATCAGGCTGAGGTCGCGGTTGGGCTACGTCACCTTCTTCCCCTTCCTGCAGCCCGAGAACGCAAAGTTCGTGCCTGGGCAGGATCTAGGCAAAATCTGGTGACGCCTTGGTTGCTTTTTTGGGGGAAAGGGGGAGAGGCTGGCTTTGTTCGATGATCAGCCGGCTGTTCTCTGGTCACTGGAGTTCGCCTCAACAGTTACAAGTTACTGGTGAGTTCCATTACTGCCACTTTGGGAGGCCCCCAAAAGGGGAGATTCATCCACATGTCTCAAAGGGGCCTGGTAGCAAGGGGTGGCAAAGAATCCGAAGCTGGTTTTCCAGCACAAACAACGCAAGTCAAGACCAAGAGGGGAGATTATTTCGAGGCTGTCTTAAAACTGGTTGCTTTTTTGGCAAAGGTCGCGCCATCCCCGGCCTTTTGGTTTTGCAAAGCCCACTTGCTCAAGGCCGATCAACCTTTTGACCTTTTGGTTTTCCCATTTTGGTCCATTCGTCATGGCCCCAAAAGGTGATCGCCTTTTACTTCCAGGTCCGAACGGGGTAAGTGAGCTCTTGGCATTTGTTTGGGAGGCCAACAGGAAACCAAGAACTTTTCACCGACGCGTAGCTTTAACAGCCAGCAGTGCTGTTGTACGGATGGTCCTCCCTAGGCTCTCCGGAGTCAAAGCATCCAAGGCTTTCCCTCAGTTTGTTTCTCTTTTTAATGGTCGCTTCTAAAAACACCCAACAACAAATCGAGTCTTTGGTTTTTTCACATGTGGTTTCCCAAAGAAATTGCTTCTTTCAGGTTCTCAACCTCAAGTACAACGACCAGCGCATGTGCGCCTCCATTCTGGTGGACTTAGCGCTGCACGAGAAGTATGGCGCCGGCCTCGGCGGATGGGGCGGATGGGGCGGATGGGGCGGATAGTTGGATCCAAGCGGATCCAAGGAAAACCGGAAAGGGATTGGTTGGTACCCGTTTCTCCCGTCAAGCCCAGGCCCAGCCATCCGGTTGGTTCCGCTTAGGCGTCTCGATGTTTTTGGCCGGTTTAGTGGTCGGGGGTCCGAATTTAAGCCACTAAAGGTTATTCATTCTTTTTAGCAGGGGTTATGAGAACAGTGCCAGTTTAAAGGGAACTCGGGGGAGAAAACAAAATAACACCCCCCAAATGGGAATCGGGTTCCAAAATTCCTATTGTGACACATACAATTCCTAGCAGCCCAAACAAAGGGAAGATTGGACGTACGACCACGGAACAAAAAACCAGAAGGGTCTTGATTTGTTGCAGCACCTGTTCCCTCCTTTCAGTTCAATGTATTTAGTGCGAAGATGGTCGGTAGAAATTGTGGCCAATCTGAATCAAGGGTTCCCGTCGTGATTTATATGGGGCAGATGGACACAACCTGTGTTGAGGATGCCAACCTCCTCCAAACTTTACTCCCAATGTTTTCTCAGGATAAGCCTGCTGGGATGCTCAAAATCAATCCTGAATGCTTCATTTGACTCGCTATGGATTGCGAAATCGGATCTGGCATCCCCCCACTTTGAACATCGCCTCAATAGGAAGCCATTGCTTCGGCCCCTTGGGGGTTGGTGATCTTTGCTAGGCAGCTGCAGTCCAAAGCTGCTTCATATCTCAGAGCAGAATCTGAACATCCGATTTTCAATGCCCGTTGGTCATGGGGCCCTATATTTCCTTGTTGGGTGGTTTTAACCACCACCTTTTTTTGGCCCATGAAAGGTGGGTGTCCCTTGGTGGGTGATGTTTTGAGATTGGGTCTAAAAATATCTATAATATAGAGGGAACCCTGTTGGTTGCCAAGGCAACATCCGCGAGTATACCTTGATCAACGAGGAGGGCAATGCGGACCCCATGACGATGGGTGTCCCCAGAAGTTGGGCGGATTTTGCCAAAGCGCCCACCACGGGCACCTTCAAGTGCAGATATGTGCCTTGGAATCTTATGAGAAACTCATGGGGAAGACGGCAGTGTCCGGGGCTTCAAACGCATGTGAGTTGGTCGTGCCTTTGCAACAACACCCCCTGTTTTGCTGAGCCCGTGCTGAAACCATTGTGCTGTTTGAACACAAGCATGGCGTTGATTTTCAGGGAAACCAGGGCCCTTCAAACAAGGTCCCTCTTTGAAAGGCAGGTCGCTTGTTGTTTTTCAACGGGGGGGTGCTTTCTCCAACTTACCCAACTCGTTGCAGGCCATGCTCCAAATGTCAGCCTCACCATTCCTTTGGCCCGAGGTGTGCGCGCCAGAGGATCGACAGGTGGACTACCGCCTCTCAGATGAAGGGGACAAATGGCGACCTTTCCCACCTCTCAGATCACTTCCAGTTGCTGAGATGAAGATTTTCCCGTTTTCCCCGCTTGGTTTTAAAGGGAATCTATCACTACTGGAATGTATTTTTCCCCAGGCTGAAGGAAAGGGCAGAGCAAGAGTCTGAACAAGCTGCTGCGCACTCACTTCACCACGAAAAAATGCTAAAACAAATGTAGAATGCCGAGGATGCCAGCCCGACATTGAGGAGGGGATGTTGAGGGTTCTGCCTGAAATGGTCGAAACATCTGGATGTTTGCACATTGCCAAAGTCTGGCACAAAACAAAGCGGCCGTACACACCCTTCATTCACTTCCATTAAGCTTTACGGTTGCTTTTCCCAGTTTGGCTTTTAAGGGGAATCGATCACGACTGGATTGTTTTTGTTGGTGTTTGTTTTGTTCCCGGGGCGCAAAAGCAAATGGAAGTTCAACATGGCTCGAGCAAGCCAAATGGTACTGGGGTGGCGTCCAGGTCAAAGCGGTCGTTCCATTTCAGCCCAGTTGATTGATACACCAGCTCCCTAGGGCATAGGAAAACACATAACAGTCGCAGCCAGAAGAACCACATGCCACTAGAATCAATTGACGCCAGAGAAGAAAAGGGCTTCTCTTGATGCACCTCATGCCTTCGGGATGCATCTTTTGGGAGGCTTAGGCAGCCCGTCCTCTTGGTCACCTAATCAAACCGGCAAACTGGGAATTCAGCTGTGTTGCCGCTCGTGGCACGCCCAAAATGGGTGATGGCCTACGGATAGAAAGACCACTGGAAGACCAAGGGCTTGCCTGTCGCACGGATAAGAAACAAGCTGGAGTCCAGCGAGGGTGCCAAGGTTCCGGTTGGTAAACACCGAACGCAGCACGGCGGCTCCTGCTTCTGACAAATCCAAAGGCCAAACAACTCAAACAGAGAAATTATAATGGATGGATGTGGGGCACTTTAAACCACGATAACCACAAAAGGATAATGTTTGTAATTACTGCCCACCAATTACCATGGACGTGCACAAAGCCCCTTTGGTTAGTCAAGTCGGTGGGGAGGGTAAGTTATTTTGAGCCCTTCTACTGGCTTTATTTAGAAGCCAGAGGAGCGCAAAGGTACTGATAGTTGATGGTGTCTCGAAGGCTGTGTCCCTAGCAAAGGCGGCCTCATGAAAACCTCCCCCGCAAACCAACGGAAGGAACCCCAAAGGGGAATCCCAAAGCATCCTTTCGGGGTATGTCGAAAGCATCCAGAAACTCATGGGGTCTGGGGGGGAGGGAGGGGAGGGGGAGCCCCCATGAGAAACCCTTTTTTGGGGGTATGTCAATGGAGGGGGGTGGTTCGGGGGGGGAAGACTAAGGGAAGAAGCTGGCGCAGTCCTACGGCTTTATCAACAGCATCTTCTCGGAGCCTCGGCCGCATCGGCCGCACCGCGATGGGCCTCGCGATCGTTTTAGGTGCGCGCGAAAACCGACGGGGTAGAAGTAGCGAAAACCCTATGATGTTCCTGTTGTTGGGGATCCAACAAATAGCCAATCATATTTCTGGGTTTGGTAAAGTGTTCCATTTGAAGAATATCTTTTTTTTCCCGATGGGTTTGAAGGGAATCGATTTCACGACTTTTTCAGGGGCAAACAAAAAGCAAATGGAGGCAGTTGGAGAAGATGCAGATGATTGCAGCATATTGCAGCCTACCTCCTTGATCTTGATTTTTCTTTCTGGATGTGTCACTTCTGGGGATGGCCCCAATTGACCAAGTTTTTGCTGAGGCCCATTGCCCTCAATGACTGGCTGATTGAAACGCGGACCTTTCAATGTTTAAGCTTGTTTCTTTTCTGCGGCGCAAAACGACTGCGTACTCAAACCCCCTCCACTTGCAACGAGTCTTTTACTAGGATCCAAGTAACCGCCCCCCCCCGGCTTCAGGAAGCAGACGTGGCCTGGTGGACGGGGCTGAACGAAGTGGGATCCGACGTGCTGGATCTCCTGGAGTTCTTCATCAGCCGCTACAACAACGTCAACGAGGCCCATGCGAACGCGAATAGGGTTGGCTGCGGAGAGAGAGAGACCCGTTTCGGCTGGATGAGTCAATGAGAAGGAGAACCAAGAGGATGGGTAAACAAACGGTGATAGTTTCCCCCCGAAATTGGCCAACCTTGCAAAGGCGCTGGAAAAGTGGAGGCCAGAACACTCTCGAATCAACCTGCCCTTTCTTACCACAGGTTTTGGTCCTTGGTTCCATTTACCAGGGTTTCAATTTGGGTACCTATTTTTGACCCGCAGCCAAATGGGAAAAGCTGCCCATGGTCATTTTGGAGATGAAGGGAATACTGATCAACCCTATGGATCTCTTGGTTGATAACCCTTTTGCCAAGTTAAGGGCGGCAAATGGGAAACTGGCTCGGGGTGCCCGATTTGAAGACAAGCCCATAGAAGCCTTTTGGACCAGACAGAGCCAAAAGCCAATAAGTGGAAAAGGCGCTGCGCGTACCAGTTCTCACAAAGTCACTTTGGCAAAGAACGTAAACGTGTTTTTTTGTTTTGGTCAGAAGGGCATCTAAGCATGGCCTCTGCCCTTTCGCCATGGTGCCGCAGGGTGGGGCGTCCACTCTTACATTGATTGCATGCGGCAACTATGTTTCAAGGGTTCAGCATCGAGCGTGGCGTTAGGGCCGCGGAAGTGTTGCAGCATCAGGAAGGGACGTGGTAATGTCGTTGGCCGATTTTTGTTCCGCATGTTTGATCACGAAGAACAAACGCTGACATAGGCAAGCAACTGCCGGCCTGTGTTCAGCGCACGTCGCGTGCAGCAAGGGCGTAAAGGACGCTGCTCATTAGTTTAAATCAAAGACGTACGGCTTTGCAGCTTGATTTCAGGGCAAACCAAAGGACAACTACGTTTTGTGGGGTCCAAGTCGTGATTTTGCTACATGCCCGTCCGTTGGAATTCAGCAAGCTGAGGCCTTTCATCACATCGATGGCGGGGTGAAGGAGGGGGAAGGCGGCAACACCACCAGCAACGGCGAGCTGACTCTGCGACCTGCCTTAAGCCAAGCCATTTTGAAGGCTTGGCAGGTGCAACGGTCAACCGTTTTGGGAGCTTGGCAGAAAGTGGTCCAGAAGGTCAACATCAAAAGGTCGCAGTATTCAAAGGTTGTAAGTGTCGACAGGGTCTTCTTGGCTTCGTTTGCTTTTTAAACCACTTTGGAAAAATCATGGACCCTCCTTAAGGGGGTCCCTTTTATTTTGGTAAAACAGGTCCCAGATCCCGAAAGGGGCCTAAGGCGGACCCTGCTTTCCACATTGACCGAGGCGCGAGTTCGAAGCTGGCCTCCGTGACATCGGCTGCCACAAGCGACTTGGCCATTTTGCGCTGCCAAAGCCTGACCTTTGTGGCTTTCCATTTGACTCACTTCCTGAGCTCATGGACCTTAAGCTTTTCGGGTTTGGACCGCTCTAGTGGTAAATGAAAAGTTTTGACTCTGTTTGGCCCATCAACGCAGGGAGTGCGTTTTTCCCTTTTTGTCATGGTCCCGAAAAGTGTTATGTTCAGTCCCGCCCGCGAGATGGCGAAAGACTGATCTAGTGCTATCTCCGACAAGGGGCCTGTTTTTTTGTGGTGGGCCTAGCTAGCCCATATCCGATTTCTCTGAAGGGACACCACTCCAGATGGAGCACCCTGGGCAACTTGTCCAGGCCTCCAACGTATTTCCCGCCCAGTTGCGCTGGACAGCACCAGAGACAGCCATCATATTTGCTTGCACCAGGCACGCCGAACTTGGACACGTGCGCATGTTGCGAAGGTGGCTACGTCCAATGCCCAGGGCATTTGCGCGCGAATTCGCTCCTTTGTTTCTTGTTTGCTTGCTTGATCGTTTGTTTGCTTGCTTTGCTTTTTGGTCTCCTTGCTTGTTTGTTTGTTTGTGTGTTTGGTTGTTGTTTTTGTTTGTTTGGTTTGTTGGTTGTTGTTTTTTTGTTGTTTCTTGGGGGATGGCGGCGTCGCCGCTGTGCTGCACTCGGCTATGGGCTTGGCAATGATGTTGCGACACTGAGGCTTGCAGGGGCGCTGTGAAACCAAGTGCTGAGACGTATCCCCTCACCCACCCACCCACCCACCCACCCACCCACCCACCCACGCACGCACGCACGCACGCACGCACGCACGCACGCACGCACCCACACACACACACACACGCACCCACGCACGCACGCACGCACGCACGCACGCACGCACGCACGCACGCACGCACGCACGCACGCACGCACGCACGCACGCACGCACGCACGCACGCACGCACGCACGCACGCACGCACGCACGCACGCACGCACGCACGCACGCACGCACGCACGCACGCACGCACGCACGCACGCACGCACGCACGCACGCACGCACGCACGCACGCACGCACGCACGCACGCACGCACGCACGCACGCACGCACGCACGCACACACACACACACACACACACACACACACACACACACACACACACACACACACACACACACACACACACACACACACACACACACACACACACACACACACACACACACACACACACACACACACACACACACACACGCACACACCCACCCCCAGCAATCAACGAAGCCGAAAAGAGCTCCCCCAAAAAGGAACCGCCTCCAATGAACGATGCTTTCTGAGGTCCATGTGAATCCTCAGGTGCAAGCCCTGCCACCATCTTTCCAACACCCCAGGCAATCCACTTCCACCGGAAAGTGGAGGGTAACTGAAGAGGACGGGCTCTCCCCAAATAAAGATACCTTCTAACCACACATCGCTCCGTACACGCAACATGTATAGGTTAGTTTGCAAAAAAAAAGTTGAGGGCACTGGTTTAGATTGGCTTCATTCCATTTACCAGGGCCGTCTTTTGTTTTTACCAAAAGATCGCCTATGTTTACAATTGTTTTTAGGGAGTTGGCATGCAATGAATCATCATATTATACCCTCACTTGTTCTTGGAGATGTTTGAACCTCTGTCGGGGGATGAAACCAAAAGGGGAAACGCCCCCTAAGCTCCAAGCCGCCAATCCAAGGCACCAGAGGGAGTTTTTGGTTTTTTTTCCCCCGAAGCATCGCATCGCTCAGGTTCAAAGGCGCCAATGAGAAGGAGCGAATCGGTGCCGTCTTCAGGCACCTCAACTCCATCTCACTTTTGGGGGGCCAGTACCAAAGTAGAGGGGCCCAACAAAGTTGTTTGTTTTTTATGTTGGTTTCATGCGACGCCACTGAGAGGGGGGAGCGCAACACCAAGATGCATGCACTTAGCGATGGGTCCGCTCAAGTGAACATGTGAGAAGTGCTCCAAATTTATTTTGGGGTCTGTTTCCGTTTAAGCCATCTAGCAAGTAGTTTTGAGGATGTCAATTTAATGGACCCAGACCCGCACAATGGGAACCAGGAGAAACCCCAAATTGCTGAATAGGGTGCGGGGTGTCTCATTGAGCAAGAATCCTACATGTTTGGGGCTTGTGCCCCGCCCTCAGTAATTTACTAGGTTTTTCACTCCACGGCCCGACATCTCAGAGTTCTCATTGACAGAAAAAATAAGTCCACACATCAAGGCCTATTGGGCTGCAGCTTCCTCCCCAAAGCCCGTGGCCCCCTTTGGTTGGGCGTGCTCGGAGCTCATGTCTTGCAATATTGGCTGCTCAACTGCTGCAGTGCAGCTGCTGCTGTTGATGCCATTGCTCCTGTTGTTGTTACGAGCGCTGCGAAGGTTGCCGTTGCCGCTGCTGCTGCTGCTGTTGCAGACTCTGCTGTCAGACGCTGTTGTTGTTGGCTCCGACACCATGCAAACGCGCGTTTTTGGCGGTTCACAACAAACTTTATCGTTGGCGGGCGCAGCTTTTTGTTGTGGTTGCGACCTTCTTGCTGCTTTTTGCTTGCCGAGCGAGGTATTTGGATCCTGGCGGTGAAGGCAACGTTTCGCTGCAGGAGTGGCAGATTCTGGGCCAGCTGTGGAAAGAGCCGCTTGCTTGGCAGTACACGCGCTTGGCGCTACCTGGGTTGGATCTTTAGACTTCAACCTTTTGGGAGCTTCAGGATTTTCTAATTATATTGAATCCACAGTATTTTTGCGGAGGGGTCAACAGCAGCCAAGATAAAGCTTTTCGTGGAACGAACCACTGCACAAGGGGCGGGCGAAGCCTAATGCAAGGGATGTCGTTGCACGAAACGCGCGAAGCGGTCCGGGCCAAGGTTTGTGCTGAGCATCCAGGCACGTGCCGGTGTCGTGAGTGGGGTGATGGCCTTTTTGGGTCCGTCTCTAAACTTGGTGGCTCCCAGCCATCCGGTTCCTTAGCCTTTTGGCTTGTTAATGTTTAGTGGTTGGATTTCCGAATTTAACCCGCTAAAAGTTGTTCACTTTTAGCGGGGGATCTGAAAGCAGACAGCCCAGTAAAGTCAACCCGATTGCCGCACGCCTTCGAAGCTGAGTATGGATTGCCGTCACCAAGGCCTGTTGAAGCTGTATTCTCATAAGACTTTACAAACCACGCCGAGCACCCTGACAGGTGGCACTTTCCTTGCATATCTTTTGGGTTGTCCATGGCTAGGTTCCCCAGTGCCCTTTTACCGTTTCTTTTTGGGGGGAGGGTTCCCTATTAAAATAGACAACAGAAAAAAGGGTACCCTTATTCTAACCTCTCTACTGGAGGACCTAGATGGCCTTTCCATTCCTGTGAACTTGTGGCAGTTCGCTCGCTCCGGGTCTAGACAAGATGACGGCTCAACTTTTTGGAGTCGGGCAATGCCCTTGTTTCACATCATGCGTGACATAAGTCTCGCCACAAGTAGGGAGTCCCGGGAGGTTTCGTATGAAACTCGACTTGACCTCCGTTGCAGATGTACTCTCATGAGACTTGGCAGGTCACAAAAGGCTTATTCGCCCACCAATGAACATGGAACCTGACAGGTCCTGGAAGACAATTTTCCTGTTGAAGAGACCCCTGTCAGGTTCCATGTTAATAGGTAAGTCCAGGCTGATGCTCAGCAGCCACAAGCAGCTTGTGGCGAAAGATGCAAGAAGAAAATGCAAGACGCCAAACAGTTACACTGGAAGTCAGGAAAGATACCTTTCGACTACCCCCAGCTCCTTGGCTCCCTTCAAACCACCAGCTGGATTTTGCGAGTTTCTGTGTCCATCAAGCTGGGCTTGATTACCTTTCACCTGCCATTTAAGGGGTGATTTTGATCATGGTACAATGGGGCCCGAGACATCATGCCTGCATGCCTTTGCCTCTGCAGGATCAACTTTGACACAAAGCCCGGCTTAGCTTCGGCAAGTGCCTTTTGCCTGAAAAACCCCCGGAAAATACCCGGTTTGTTTTCTTCTGGGTATGTTGCGTCAAAGCTCCGCGCAGGAGTTCGTGCAGTTCCTTTTCTTTGCCTTTGGGGATGAGTTGGAGTTTGCTTGGGATGAGCTGGACGATGATGGCAGCGGGGAGCTGTCTGAGGACGAGTGGTTCTCCGCGGTGAAGCGCATAGGACCCGGATCGATCGCAGCCGAACCGAGCGATCCAGGGCTCCATTTGTTTGATCGGAAACAAAAACCATCGCTGAGGTTAAGAGGACCTGGGCTCCAAAGGTTAGCTAGGTTGTGGTACCCTTGCCAATTTGGGTGGTTTGCCTGCTTTTGCGAAGGTCCTGGGCTACTTAAACCAGTCAAACCACCTTGAAAGGGGTAAAAAGTGGCGTTAGCCGCTGGTGAACAGAAACTTCGGAATGCTGTGGCGGGCGGATCTTTGGCGTTCATTCCAGCGCATGCTTTCCGCCGTGGCAAGCGACCCGGTCGGGGAAAAACGAGCTCACCGATCGGGGGAGAACGAGCTCACCCATGGTGAATCCCTTAACTTGATGATTCCTTCACTCAGGTGTCTCAGGTGTGATCTTTGTTACGTGCAAATGCTTCCATGCGAAGGATACTTTGGCCCCGCCCGGGTGGTCTTTGCACTGCTGGACGGCTCTGACGATGGCAACATCTCCTGGGATGAATTTCAGGAACTGGAAAAGCGCCTCTGCCTGCAGAGCCTGCGTTCAGAAGAGGCTTGAAGCACCGTAGTCATACCTCACAGCTGCGGAGACCCCTTGGGGAAGGAACGGCAGCGACGGCAAATGCGGCAATGGCCACCACAACAACAACAAGAACAAGAAGATAAGAAGAAGAAGAAGAAGAAGAAGAAGAACAACAGCAAGAAGAAACAAATAGAAAGTAACCACCACCCGCCGCCACCACCAACAACAGCAGCAGCAGCAACAACAACAGCAGCAACAACAACAGCAACTACAGCAACAGCAGCAACAGCAGCAACAACAGCAACAAAAACAAAAATGGCCGCGCGGCGGCGGCAGCAGAGGCAGCAACAGCAGCAGCAGCAGCAGCAGCAGCAGCAGCAGCAACAACAACAACAATAGCAATAGCAACAACCAACAACCAGCAACCAGCAACCAACAACCGACAACCGACCCAACCAACCGACCGACCGACCGACCCACCGACCGACCGACCAACCAACCAACCAACCAACCAACCAACCAACCAACCAACCAACCAACCGACAACCAGCCAACCAACAACAACCAACAACAACCAACAGCGGCCAACTACCAACACCAACGAACAAACAACAACCACCAAGCAACGACCACCAACCAACGACCCACGACTGACAAGCAAGAAGCAACAAGCAATGATTAACAACCAACAACCAACAGCAGCGCCTACAGCAGCAACAACATCAAGACCCACAACGCACTTATGCTAGAGCCTTTGAATTCGTCAGCCACCTTTGATTTGTTCAGCGTGCTCATTCTGACAGCGGTTCTTCGGAAAGGCTTTAGCGGTGCAGTACGGCTGTCTCCATCCTGACCGCGAGGTACAGACCAAAGAAGAAAGAACAGCAAGGCTGAGGCTATTGCGCAGCCGGGCTGCCTTTCGTGTCTGAAATAGGCAGAGTCAACGCCATTGTCACCAAGAGACGGGTCATGAGCCAAAGCCCGAAGGCTTGCATCACGCCTGAGCTGTGTAGAGTCGAGGCAGGCAGGAGGAGGGATTGAAATCTAGGCGACGGAGCCATGTTATGTGGAGAGAACCCTGTCTTTTAGCCAGAGCTTGCCAAGATAATTCACATCGTGGAGCCCCGTGTAGACGATTAAATCGTTTGCAAAGGTTTGCAAGGCTCCAGAGTCACCAGAACTCTAGACGCACTTCCTGTGCAAACAACAGCAGCCTGGATAGCATAAACAGGACTGGCCAGACACCATGACGTGTTCGTGAAATGGGGAGTTCAATTGGTTGGCGACAGGGCTTTTGTTGAAACCTTCCAAGCCATGCAACAAGCAGAATAGCAAAACAGAGTTCTCCTTTGGTGTGTTTCTCCCTTCACTTTTTGGATAGCCGCCCAATTCCCATGACACTCGCTGCATTTTTTGTGAAGCCAGTCCTGCATGGAATAGGAAGTGCAGGTAGGCATAGCAGATAGCTTTGACGAACCGCTGGTTATGCCGTTGAGGCGCAGTTGAAATGCGCTCCCGCCAAAGCCCGAGTTCCCTCTTCCATTTGCTTAAGAATATGTTTCATTCTCCCCTGTTGGTTTGGACATATTTGCATGTTTGCCAGGGGACTTAAGCAAATGGAGGCCATTGCTTCTGTGCCAAGCACCAGGAGCCTCAGAGCGCCCAGCTTCCAGTTGGAAAAAACACGTGCGTCAGATATATGCGACTGCCCGAGTCCGTGCGTCAAAAACCACAGTCGTGGATGCGAACGGAAGCCAAAAGGCTCCATGACACCCCGATTCGCCATGAATCTATTCAGGAGTAGGCTCAGAAGATGTTCGGCACAGCCTCCGGAGTCAAAAAAAGCCCCTGAAAAGTGGTTTCGCCATGAATTCGAAGGGGAACATCCTGAAAAGTGCATGGTGGACATGTGTCGTACTAGGTCCCCCAGTAGTGCCCTTTTACCCTTTTCTGGGGAAGGGTTCCCTTACTAAAATAGACTACAGAAGAAAGTTGGCACCCTTATTCTAACCTCTCTGCTGGAGGACCTAGTCTGGGTGATGTCCATCACCGGGTCACCGCGCCCCCTCAAAAGAACCTTTGGGATGAGGGCACGCTTGGCGCCCAAGGCCTGCGAGAGATTTCGGGAGCCGGAGAGGCGCGGGGAGTCGGCGAATGGTCGCCACTTCCGGGCAATACCCCAAAATGGCTTTATGGTGGTTTTCTTCCATTTCCTTAAGAATATGTTTTGTTTTCCCCTGTTGGTTTTAAAGTTGGAATCTATCACTACTGGAAATGTGCTTTTTTTGTTCCAGGGGGCTTAAGCAAATGGCAGTTTTATGGTGGTTTATGGTGGGTTTTATGTGGGGGGCACCAAATCTCGAGACAGACCCATTTTGGGTGTGCGTGTTTGAGGTGTGTCTTTTCCTGCTGGCGCTCTTGGTGGTTTCCTTTAGACCCCCCCAGGTTTATTCACTCATTCCCTGAGCACCAGCAAGCAACCACTCGTATTGGGCCCCTTGTCCATGCCATCGGTGCTGATAGCCACACACACGCTGGCCAAATTGCAAGCACACCCGACGCACTGCACGCGCTGGGGACCGCACGCATGCTGGCACCGTCAAAGCACGCAGCGGTTTTGTGAGGACATGTGTGACGAGTTGTGTTTCTGCCAGGAACCGCTTTTTGCAGTGTTTCTGCCGTACTGAGTCCTTGGAGATGGTAAAGTAATAGCAAAAATAACAAAGGAGTAAACGCAGTGGCCACCAAAGACGCCGATGCCTTTTCCAAGACAACAAGAGCTGTTGCCCTCGTGACGATTGCATGATCGGATGTTGGGAGCACCTTTGAAATGGAGGATAGGCCTTGTCAGATTCATTGCTGAGATGTGTGTGTGTGTGTCGCAAAATTCGGGAAGTCAAAGAGTGGTTGTCCTTTTAGCTTCCCTTCAATACCATAACAGGGGCACCCTAAAAAGATCGACACACCATGACTTGCATGGGACATGACTTGCAGTCCCCCGCGCGTCTTCAACTTCACTGTTCTTGGCATGGTTTTTGGTTTTTTAGTTTGTTGGTTCTGTTCGTTTTTACTGGGGGTCTGCAAAAAACAAAGTTTTTAGCTACCATACCAAGAGTAGACATGTCAAAATCGCGCTCCGGGTAGATGAAGGATACGAAGCACTTGTGTCACCCCAGAAGGTGCGCAAGCTTTCGCTCTTTATAGATGAAAGACTGCCAGGTTTTGATAGCTCATTTGAGGGTGAGATTGTGGATGGTTGCGAAGTCCATTTCGCACCTGAAAAAGTCCCTGGGGTGATTCGCTTCCCCTGAAAAAATCAACAGACCTTCTGGGTTTCAAAGTGGTGCGAAGGGATTTCGTCCACCCACAGTATGATGTTTCTTTTCTTGGGGATGAAAATCATATTTGCCGGTTTTGGGAGTCTTCTATTTGCTGAAGCGAATATGTTAATTATTTTCCCATGGCCACATTGCCCTTGGGTCCTTAAGGCAGGAGCTCCGGCTGACGGCTCCGCTCCGATTTTTTTTGTTTCCAGCGAAGTCGGGCCCACAGGGCAGGGCAGTCTCAGAAGCTGCGTGTCATCGAATTTCAGCGCGGAATGCGTTCAGACGGCGAACAGTCTTACCTTTGGTTACGAAAGGGGTCCAAAACCAGCCCCTTAAAGAGGAAATTTGGATAAATGGGGTGACCCCTGGAAGTTGCATTTCAATTTTTCCTTTTGGGCGTGGCTCAAAATTTAACAGGAGGTTTTGGTCCATGTTTCTACTTGCCAGGATTCCATTTTGGTACCGGCTGTTTGAGCCACAGCCTTTTAATCATGGGGAAGACTTGGGGTACCCCCACCCTCCTTCAGTTCGGGGGGATGCTCCCCCGGTCCTTGGAGCCTCGCAAGCGCAAGGCCGATGGAGTCTTTGGACGGCGTCGCTGTCACGGCGCGGTGGACGCTGCTGATGTTGACAGGTGTAATAGCCTCAGTTGTTCAGTGGCTCCCTGTTTCCCTCTTCTTCTTTTTTTTTGGTGGCTGCCCCACTAAAATGGTCTTCCCAAAAAAGGCTTCCCTGTTTTTTCCAGGGTCACTGAACAACTGAGTAGCTTTAACGTGGACCCCATATGAATCAACCCCAGTTTATTAATTGGCTGGGGGGGTTTGGCTCCCCCCTCCCGAAAAAAGTGGTCGGATGCCCCACTAAACCCAGGGACACCCCCCCCTGTTGATAAGCTGGGGGTTGGTCCATGATGATGGTTGGATCTTTGGACTTTAACTTTTTTTTGGAAACAGGTCGGATTGCCCATTGGACCCACATGATTTTGGTATTTCTGGCATTTGTTGCAGGGGAGGATTGCCCATTGGACCTTTTTCTGCAGTTTTCCCGGACGGGGGGGAACGCTACAGCAACCGAGATGTTCCAAAGTTGGCTCCATTCCAACCCACAAAGATCTTCCCCTGGAGGCCAAGGAGCTGGCGGATGCGCTCAAAGAGCAGGAGCTTTGCATTTTCCGGCGGATTTGCTGGGGCGATAGGCAGAGAATGACCCGGTCATGGTTGTTGTTGGGAAACATTTTACATTTTTGATTATTGTGGTCTAGTGGGATATCCCCACTTACAGCTAAAATCTAATTGCTTGCTCCCCTTCCAAAGTCAACCAAGCAATAATGACCCAGGGTTTGGGAATGAACCTTTTTTGGGGGGGGATTCCTCTAAAGGGAGCCATAGGGGAGGGTTTTGGTTGGGGTCATTCCATTTCTGCGGGAATGCTTAGAGCTCTGACTGGCGTCATAATTTTGACCGGTTTCAAGACTGGTGATCTTCCATATGGTGATGATTGTCTGCATTCCTTTTCAGGAAGGGATGGACGAGATCGCAGCGAGTCTCGCAGCAGTTGGTGGAATCCAGAGTTTTTACACGTCTAGAGCATTGGTACTGACAGAGGTGTCGCCTAAGGGAACAATTCATCAACCCAGGGGTCCGATTGGTTGGTTTTGGGTGGTTTTGGCAGTGGATTGTCAGAGTGGCAGGCGGCCTTTCAGAAAGATTTCTTGGCAAGAGGTGTTAGTACGCGACCATGATTTACCATAGGCACCTTTTTCGCAATGGTTGGGAAGGACTCGACACCCCGCGAAAAAATGCCGTCGACCAATTTGATGCCTCAATTGAAATCAACTAATTTGCGGATGGCATGTGTGTGTGTGTGAGTGTGTTTGTTTGTTCTCCGTGCTTTTTTCCGGGCGGCTGTGAGTTTGACGCACGGTTTCGCGGCTTGGGGTCAGGCCAGTTGGCCAGGGGTAACAGCCGGGCAGGCAACTGACACGAGGCCATCAGGCCTTGGCACGGCGAGAGAACAAGCATTTTACTTCCATTTGGTTACAGTAAGAATAGTTTTTTATTTTCCCCGGTTGGTTTTAAAGGCAATCTATCAATACTGGAATTATATATTGTCCGAGGGGACTTAAGCAAATGGAGGTTTACCGGTGCCGGCTATTTGTTCCAATGGGCTGTGTCTTTGTACCAGTTGGACCCCCCCAAAATGGCGACCGGTTATCCTTTTGATGTTCCTTTCAAACCACCAAAGCACAAGGGACACCGAGCCCCGAACAAAGACAGACCCAAATGTGTATCATTTTTCAAATTGACGCCTATCAGGTCCTTTGGTTGGTGGCTTGGATTGGTGACTTGGGTTTGAAGCCCTGGCTCTTGTAGAAGTAGGAACCTGTCGTGAACCACCAAACCACCAATGCCAAATGGCCATGAATTTCAATAAGGAACAGGCTTGATGGGCAGAAATCACCACCTAAATCATGTCCACCAAAGGGATTGACACCTTGGGATTACGCCCTCCGGGGAATCACGGAATCACCCTATTTAGCCTATGTCCAGATAAAGCCTTGTTTATTTTGGTTGATTTGGGATTGTTAGGGGTAATTTCCCTGTTTTATTGCTGGTGCAATTTGGAACATCATTAGATCCACAATCAAAACCCGGGTAGATGAAGGTTAGTAAGGATCAATTTCAACCATAAATAGCTGCGGATCTCCGCCTCCTTAATTCTTTCCATGGTTATGGGTAGGCCATTTCAATACCGGGTTGTGATTATGACTCGCTTGGGGTGCTTGTTGCTTCTTGTTTTTTGGAACGGGGGCGCGTTTAAAAATGAGGCACCTGACACGATTCGAATCGCGCTTGCATTTGCACTACCGCGTTTTTGCTTCTCCTACCGTTCGCAGAGGAGCCGAAGCTAACGGTCCCGCTCCTGAAGTTGAATGCCACCTGGGGGTGGGGAGCTTGGAGCTTGGAGCTGGCCATGCGCAGAGCTTGAAGCTCGCAAGGCAGACCCTCCCCCCCAAAAAAAAGAAGAGGCTCCTTAAAAGATCTCCATTTTGCAACCATTTGAAACATGTTGCTTGTTCGAAGGAAACCACCATTTACACGGCAATGTTCAGGTGTACAATGTAAGGATCCCGGAAGAAGAAGACAAGAAACAGAAGCCATCCAATATAAAATACCGCAACGGCAGAGAGAGAATATAAAATACCCTTCCACCAAATAACATAAAACCTGAGGGGGGCCCTGGAAGGCAATTTTCCTTTCAAAGGGAGGCCCAAACAGCAGAAACCCATGTTGATTGGTGGGAGGGCGAAATCACACACATACACACACCTAAGGAACAACAAGTCCGAGACCGCGACTTCCATTTGCTTACGAATATTTGTGATTTTCCCCTGTTGGTTTTAAAGGGAGTCTATCACTACTGGATGTTTTTCCAGGGGGCTTAAGCAAATGGCAGACGATATTGCGGTTGCTCGTCTCTTCGGTGTCTTAGGCGCGGGCTTTCGCTCCGCCTCAAAAGCTGTGGTGTGGATGTCCCGTCAAACTCAACCTAGGTCTCCCAGCTAAGTGCCTTTCTCGCCCTTTTTTGGTTCCCCTCGTAAATTGACTACAGAAAAAAAGTTGGCGGCCTGATTCTAACCTCTCTACTGGATTGGACCTAGTCAAGGAAGAGTCTGCAGCCTCAATGGAGACATGGGCTCAGTGAGCCACGCGGTAGCGTTCAAAGATGCAATCATGGCTTGCTGCCTATTTTGCCAATGGCCGTGCTTTTAGCCTAACAGAGATCAATTGACCATGCCCTTGCCTTTTCGCGCCAACTTGACACTTGTTGACTAGTCCGCTGAATAACATGAATCCCGAAAAAGGGGGGGGTCCTCCAAACAGTTGATTCAATGATGTTTTTTTTTGTTCGATGCGACAGCTCTCTTGGGGGGCGCAGACTTTAGGGGATCCCCTTGTAAGCACATTGTTTTTCGTCTTTCAGCAAGCTTGGACCACCCAACCATCATTTCAGTTTTGGTCGGAATTCCGTGCGAATGGATCATCAGGGCCATAGACTCCAAATGCAAAACCCCGCAAACACCTTCCATTTGCTGAAGACCATGCTTTAATTTCTTCGGTTATTTTTAAAGTTGGTATCGATTTCACGGCTGGACATATTTTCTCATTGTGTTTGATTGTTTTATGTTCAAGATGATTCAAACAAAACAATAGTTATAATAATCATAATAGTAATAGTAGTAATAATAATAAAACATCTTCTCCCGTGGACTGAAGCAGCAAATGGAAGAGACCCGACACCTGCCAACTGGACACCGAGGTCCAGGCGCGTTCGAACGAACGCGGAAGGCCGGGGTTGGGACTCCTGGGAGCACACGCTGTAGCGATGCGAAAGCCAAAAGCGAGCGCCGAGCGGTGGCTGGCGGTTTCAAGTTGCACCCGGTTCTCTTAGGACTTGGTGGCAAGCCCAGCCGTCCGGTTCCCTTAGTGGTAGTGTTTAGTGTTTAGTGTTCAGTTGCTTAAGTTCATTATTATTTTCCCTTGTTGGTTTTAAAAGGAACTTATCGCTACTGGAAACATGTTTTTTTTTTGTTTTTTTCCGCCAGGGGTCTTAAGCAAATGGAAGTCATAGGAATTGGTCCGATGTGGGTGGCGTTCTCATAGACATTGGAAGGGGATTTGTCAAATGCTTCAACTTTTCTTTGTAGCGCCAAAACATGGTTGTTGTTGGGAAACATATCACATTTTTGCTTATTGTGGTTTAGTGGGAAATCCAACCACTTAGCTGCTAAAGTGTTCAAATTGTTGCTCCCTTTCCAACGTCAACCAAGTTCATTTGGAGAAACTTAACTGCGCTCAGGGAGAGCCTCCCCTTTTGTCCACTGGCTCTGGCTTGTCGCCTGCCAGTGAGTTGGTCCTTTGCGAGGGATGCGTGGGATGCGTACGTCAAAGACTTGGGAGTCAGCCCAAAGCTCAAACCTCGCGAATAGGGCGGACAAAAGATTCGCAAATGCACATCAGGAGGAAGGCCACAGGTTTCACTCCGAATTTTGTAGCTGGCATCTCAGCTAGCCCTGCGAGCAGCAAGTTCGGAACGCCAAGATCTGCTGACCCCGCGGCGACCCATCCGCCCGAGTGGCCGCCCGCGCCATGGCGGACACGCGGGACGTCTCATTGCTCAGCAGCGGCTCGCAGGGGAAACGGGCGTTCGAAGCAGTGAGCTGTTTCGCGATGAACTCTACTGCTATTGGGTTGGATCTTTAGACTTTAACTTTTTGGATTCCCCTCATATGTCCTTTTCACCAGCAAAAAGTTATATTTGTTTTGCTAGGGGATCTACAGCACCCAAGTGAAGGCATGGGTGTCCTGTTTCTTCCATTTGCTTAAGAATACTGTGGATGGTTGCGAAATCCATTACGCACCGCCAAGAAAAATACCCTGGGGTGATTCGCTTCCCCTGTAAATACCAACAAACCATGGCTTGCTATGGTTTCAAAGCGGTGCAGGATTTCGTCCACCCACTGTATTATTTATTTTCCCTTTTTGGTTTTAAAGGGAATGTATCACTACTGGATGTTTGTTTTCCAGCGGGCTTAGGCAAGTGGACGTTTTAGGTCAGCTTGGTGAAAGTAGATGCCATGAGTTTCTAATCATTTACCGGTGGCACTATGTTGCCAGGCGGCTAGGACTGAAGAGGTCTAGCGCAAGCTGGGACCTGCAGCATGACTCGGCCATTATGTTTTCCCTTTGTATGTCTATGTCACAGCAAGAGCCAGCAACAAATATACGTTGGATGAAAGCAGCAACCCTCCAACATCCTCTGGTTGTCAACGGCCTCCCACTGGGCCCCCCCTCTCAATCCTCCCAGTATGCGAGAAGTAGGGCCCAATAGCGACAAAGCCTATTGGGGGGCTAATTCCTTTTGGGTCCTCTTTGTTGGGGTCCCCTCCTCGGGAAGGGGCCTGACAACCATGGGAAGCCCCTACTTAAAGGCGCGACGGGGTGCTTAGAAAGTGCGAAGTAAGCGTGGTCATAACCTACTGGGCCCCAGTTAGGTGCCCTTTCTCACCCACTTTTTTGGTTGGGAGGGTTCCGAACCCTATTTAAAATAGACTACAGAAGAAAAGGAAAAAGTACCAACTTATTCTAACCTCTCAAATCTGGAGCACCTAGCCCACTTAGACTACCCATCAATGGCTCTGTAATTTTTTTGGACATGTTTGGACATGTTTGGACCGTTTTCGTGGACTCCTTTGGCCCCATCACGGGGTGAGCTTTTCTCTACTGCCAGTGGGTTGGATCTTTAGGCTCTAACTTTTTGGATTCCCCTCATATTTCCTTTTCACCAGCCAAAAGGTTGAACTTTTTGCTAGGGGATCTACAGCACCCAAGCTTTGTGGGAGCTATAACTCATCAGGCTGACGATCACCACTTACCTGAAGCGAATCGATTGCCCCTTGACGTTCCAAGCGAAAAATCGACCTGTTTGGTGAGGTTCCTTTGGTTCACCCCGGTAAGCAGGTTGTTTCACTAGGCTTGCTGACCACTTTTCTAAGCAGCTTCACTGTTCTTGGCATGTGTTTTGTTTGTTTTTTAGTTCTTTGGTTCTGTTCATTTTAGTAGGGGGCTGCAAAAAGCAAAGTGTTTTGCAGTAGGGGGCTGCAAAAAAACAAACAACGTGTATTCTCGGTGGTTCCCAGCCATGCCCTTCGGTTGGATTCCCATTTCACCCACTAAGAGTTATTCACTTTTCGCGGGGGATCATAAAACGGACAGCCCAGTTTTGCAACCGTAGCAATGGCATGGTTGTTGTTGGGAAACATTTTACATGTTTGCTTATTGTGGTTTAGTGGTTGAAATGATCTTCATCTTTAGCTTTCTATATTTCTTTATCAAATTCGACACAAACATATTTTCGAAAGGAAATGCAACCACTGAGCTGCTAAACCATTTGTTGTTGCTCCCCAAACCCAACGTCAACCAAGCAATCAGTTGTGCGGGTCGAATGCCGCGTTTTTCGCTGCCACGAGCTGGTCGCGTCCAGCTGGAGGTGAGCGGAAGTTGGAGGAGGCCGCGCGCCGGCTGCAGGGAGCCTCGCGCTCCGCTTTGGTGCCCTGGACGGCACTAGCGTAGGCGCCCATGTGCTTCAGAATATATATAATATTTATTTTGTATGTTCCCCTGTTGGTTTTAAAGTTGGAATCGATTTCACTACTGTAAAGATGTTATTTATTTGCTTTCAGGGGGCGAAAACGCAAATGGCAGGCGTCCTTTTTAGGTGATGTTGGCTAGAAGTCGATGGGTTCCGCTGGTTTAGGTGGGTTTTATTCCATTGAAGAGTGGCCATCTGCTGCGTTTCCCATTTCGATGGCCCGAGGCGAGTCGATGTTTTTTTCGGTTTTCCCCTTTTGGGCTTCCCATTTTTGGGAGGTGGCAAAAAGTGGTCATTGGTGGGTGTTTCCATGTTGGGTTCCTTTTTCTTAGAGGTGCCATAAGGTGATCACCTTTTATTTGCCGGTCCTTTGGGCAAGTGAGATTCATGTTGCCCCAAAGGGGGCCCACCTTTTCCGTTGCGGTCGGATAGCAGCAGTTCAGACTGCCAGATACCCTGATGGGAACCCCCCAAATTTGTGCTTATAAACGGTCAATGGCGTCGCTTGAATTCGGCTTGGAGGGGGAGAGGGCGATGCTGGGCGAGGAGAATTAGAGGGAGAGAGGTTCTGTGGTCAAAGGAGTGCCAGGGCATTTGTGGTTTTGAAGTTTCAAGAAGGGCGCTGGCAAGAACTGTCTATTTGGCCAACCCCGGCATATGGGGGTGTCTTGTTTTTAGGATTCGGACCTCCAAACGGTCGGTTTCCCTTAAACAAGGGTCATGCCCTCAAAAAAGAGACGCGTTCTATCCACCTCGCTGGGCTCAAGGGCTCAAGGCAAACGAAAGTCCGAAACATCGGACGTGCCAAATTTGGAGTGGCTTCCCAGATTTCGCTGCTCGCTCTTTTCAACCCCTCTGTTGTTGTTTTTGTTGGGTCGCGTTCGGGGCGGAGAACTTTTTGTGTAGCAGAGGCAAGGGGCCAATGATCGTGGCAGGGCGCCCAACGAAGGCGGCCGAGATATGGAGCTCTTTTGTTTGACTTAGTATGACTTTTCCAGATGGCCATAAATTTTAATGAGGGTCCACTTCAAAAGCTGGTGGACATAAATCCCCACCCAAATAGCGTCCACCAGAGGTTTTCCCCGTTAGAATTCACCCCCAGATGTTTAATATACTGCCGCAGATGTTTGGTTCCCTTTAGGTTTCGCTTCTGAGCGCCATCCAAATGGGGTTTCCACTAGCACCTCTGCACACAGACCAGCCCTGCTTTTCTTTGGACCTGAGCAACCGATCGATGAGCAGTTGGTTGAGAATCGTGACTCCATTTGGTGTTGCTTTGCAAGCCGAGTCCCCCCAAGTTGACACCGAATCACCTGGTGGAGCATTGTCCATTCAGGCTCGCTCGACGACATACGACCATGAGCCTATGCCACAGGGGTCATTGCGGTTCCCCCTTCTTTGGGCCAAGAGGCAATGCCATGTTTGGACCAACATCACTTGCACCATTGATTCAGGTTCACTTTGTTGCATTTTGCCAGGGGATGTTAGGACTTCAAAATGTTTTTGCCAACCAAACAAAGGTTTTCCGTATGAAACCACCAAATGCAAAGCTTTTAGCAGGGCTTCGCAGATTTCGCCACACCGAGCCGGCGAGAGTGCCTCGCCAAGCTCAGGAGACAGAGGAGGTGAGCTTCCAGACGCTGAGCGAGTTGGCGCGACAGCGAGCCGCTGGAAAGAAACGAACTGAGCCAATCCAAATCCTTGGTCCAGCCGTCGGGTTCTAAAAGCCTCTTAGGATCCTTTTAGGGTTTAGTGGTTGTCAAACTTAACCCACTAAGAGTTAGTTAGTCACTTTAAGCAGTTGGGATCTGAGGGCACGGGCAGCCCGAATCGCAAAAGCTGGGCGGAAGTGAACATTTCGAGGGGTTTTTTGCAAAATACTTTTGGTTCACGCGGTGCCGTTCCGGTTCAAGCCTCTTGGGGGTAGCTAGGATGTCACTTTGGACCGAGAGAGTTGGAACTGGGAATCGCTTGAGCTGGTCACAGAGCGTTCTCACGACTGCTTTGGTTCCCGCAAAAAGCCAGGCAAAAACGTGATTGAGCTTGGGTACTTAGGATGTCAAGGCCTGGGGAAAGGAACGGATCCATAAAGTTGCCTTCGTAGGTTGGTCAACCCACCAGTAAAAACCCAGCAGCCCGGGTCCAAAGTTTGGAATCGAAGCCTTCCGTGAAAGACAAGGCAACATTTTGAGAATGTGCTCGAATGAAGCACCAATCTTTCACTTTGTGCTTTGGGGTGATTTCCATGAAGCGACTGTTTGGAGGCAGCGGTCTAATTCAGCCTTCCCCATTTTCGGGGGTGGTGTGTTTGCGGGGTCCCCCGAATGTGACCGGTCTGGCTCTTCGTTGGGTTCTTCAAAATCCCGTTCAACCATGCAAAGCGAAAGTTTGGCCGAGCTGGTAGGCCTAATGTGACTCCTGGCAATGGCTCCGCACGTGCAGGGGGCTAAAACTAAGCAGAGATGGGAACATAAGACAGCCTGGATTCCAACAGCAAGTGGCTCAGGGAGCTTCTGGCCAAGTGTTCATGAGTTTGAACAACTTTCTGTGATGGCACGTGTCAACCCGTACGCCAAGAGTTTTCACCGGCCCTGGCACGTGTCAACCGTATGCGAAGAGGTTTTCCTGGCCCGTGCCGAGGAAACCATCGAGCGAATCGGTGGCCATATGCAAGCGACCGACGACAACATCTCTGGCGCGCGGCGCGTGATGATCCAGATGTACCGGCGAGCGATGGCCACATGGCTCTGGGGTGTGCTGCATGGTGGTGGGGGTTTGGTTGGTGGTGTTTATGTGGTATGCTGCATGGTGGTGGGGGGTTTGGTTGGTGGTGTTTATGTGGTATGCTGCATGGTGGTGGGGGTTTGGTTGGTGGTTGTTTATGTGGTATGCTGCATGGTGGTGGGGGTTTGGTTGGTGGTGTTTATGTGGTATGCCGCATGGTGGTGGGGGGTTTGGTTGGTGGTGTTTATGTGGTATGCTGCATGGTGGTGGGGGTTTGGTTGGTGGTTGTTTATGTGGTATGCTGCATGGTGGTGGGGGTTTGGTTGGTGGTGTTTATGTGGTATGCTGCATGGTGGTGGGGGTTTGGTTGGTGGTGTTTATGTGGTATGCTGCATGGTGGTGGGGGTTTAGTTGGTGGTGTTTATGTGGTATGCTGCATGGTGGTGGGGGTTTGGTTGGTGGTGTTTATGTGGTATGCTGCATGGTGGTGGGGGTTTGGTTGGTGTTTTTTTTTTTTGGTGGTATGCTGCATGGTGGTGGGGGTTTGGTTGGTGGTGTTTTCTGTGGTATGCTGCATGGTGGTGGGGCTTTGGGTGGTGGCGTTTATGTGCGCTTGTGTTTTGTTTTGGAGTGCTGTTATGCAGATAGCGCCTGGAGTTGCATCGACTGCAGGCCAAGAAAGCAGCCTTGTGGTGTATGGTGGTTATCCTCACCGTCACCGTTGTAGTTATTGTCTACTTCATGGTCATCAAGAAGAAATGAGCTGCACTTGGAAGTTTCACCGGCCAGCCACTCAGTTCTAAAGTTGCCAAGGCCTGCTGATGTTTAACACCAACGGTTGGAAAGGCCAATTCAAGCTGAGGTGATATTCCTTGCTGCTGCTCAGTAGGGAATGAGGGAACGTTTCGAGGGGCCCCTTAAAAGAAACCACCACTTGGATGGCTTAAATCGGGGTCACTCCATTTCTCATTCCCGGCCTAGCGCAGCGCGGCAAGATTCATAGGAAGGTTGGAAGTTTTTGGAAGTTCAAGGAAGGCCGCCGGCAACGAGCGACGCGTTGCGATCTCGGAGCGACTCGTTTCTCCGTGGCTTAGGGAACGACAGTCCAGGCCGCGCAGCCAGGAAAGTGGATGCCGCAAGTTTCTGGATAAGATCAGGGGGATGACGAGTGACCAAAACCGGGTTGGAAGTGTGCCATCTACCAACTCACCCAACTGACACACTGGGGGAGCCCCAACCCATGTTTCTTGATCATGTGTTTCTGCCTGGACAAGGAGTTGTGGGGAGTGATAATCCCTCACTTTGAGGCAACCCAAGGAAGATTTGGCAGCTCCGCGAGAACAGCGTTATCAGCACGTATGCTTTTCTTGTGAGCGTGAACACATGCATTCCTGTGCATGTCAGGCGTGGGTTAGGGTGGCCCGCAGAACAATGTTTCGGCAAACCTTGACCAGGGCTCCCTAGATTTCCCGTTTTGATGGCTTTAAACGTCACCTTGTTGGCCCATGAAAGGTGAGTGTCCCTTATTGGGGGTGATGTTATCAGGTTGAAAATTCAGGGAGCCCTGTTGACACTGTTTGGGTTTTTGCTTTGCGGGACGTCGGGCGTGTCCCGCGTGACGAATGACTGCAACTTGGAAACCTAGTAACTGGGAACTCAGTACTTCATTGATTCATGGTTGCTTTCGCTGCTTTACTTCCATTTGCTCAAGAATATTATTTGTTTTTCCCCCTCTTGGCTTTAAAAAGGAATGACTCACTACTGGAAATGTTTTTTCCTACTGGACTTAAGCAAATGGAAGTTTAGGTGTTTGTTTCACAGATTGGATGATCCTCGGAAGTGCGCGGTATGCTTCAGCAGTGTCCGTTGCTCAGCTTTGCGCTCTCAAGCAGTTTCCAGGTGATCAAAGTGCACTTCCATCATTCCTTTCTTTTTCTGGCATGCGGCTTCTGTCTCCGGCCGGGTGCGTCACCCTCCCCTTGCTGTTTTTTGTGCACCTGGTTCTTCTGAACGTCTTTGTCTTTTCGCCAAGCTTTTGACCTCTGAAAGATCTTCCGTAAGTCCTTTCCTGGTTGAAATCTCCTTTCCGTCATCCACTCACTTCCCAAGTTCCGCTTCGGACTGTAGACACTTCTGGGGTGTGGGCCATTCTTGTGGTACATAAAAAAGAAAGCTCGGTGACTTTTTTGGCCAGTCCGCTCGAGCGGAACGAGTCCAAGAAGCCTCAGGGCACAATTCTTTCCACTCGATCCTCGCTTCCTGAGTTCATGAACTTTTTAAACTTTCTGGGTTTGGACCATTTTAGTGGTAAATACAAAGTTTGGGCTCTTTTTTGGGGCCATCCACTCAGCAATTGTCAGACAATCGGAAGTGAAGGAGTTAACGAGTCCTCAGGGCAGCACCGTTGAAAAGCTGTCGCGCTGATTCACCGCGAGCCATGAGCCATGGAGGGCAACGTTGCAGACGTGCTGCGGCCTCAGTGGACCGCCGTTTTTTTTTTTTTTTTTTTTTTTTTTTTTTTTTTTGTTTTTTTTTTTTTTTTTTTGTTTTTTTTTTTTTTTTTCCGAGGGCTCCTGTGTCCTAAGGCCGGATCCAAGGGGCAATTGGGTGCTGGTACTGGTTGTAACACACAAAAGCCATGGTTACAAGTCTCCTAAGGGGTTGACAACCAGGCTTACCAACTACTTACTACGTACCCTGCCCCTTTAAGTGTTCGGCAAAAACCTCGCAAGCAAGACTAGTTCCCGTCCGAGTGAAACGAATGCTCGTGCCCCTTTGCGATCTCCCAGGCCGCGCATTAGGGTGCGTGTATGGTGTGCGTGCGTGCACAGGGGGAGGGAGAGAGAGAGCGAGAGAGAGATAGAGAGAAAGAGAAAGAAAGAGAAAAGGGTGGAGGGGAGGGGTGGAGTGCCTCTTTCTCATCACGGAAGTGGACAAGAAGGTTCTGCCCACTGGAAAGGGGGGAATCAATCTGCTCAAAACACGATGGTTTCTGCTAAGGCTTACTTGCCCAGCGCGAATCGAGCTTTTAACCTTGGTTTCCCTGATATGGCTCATCTTGGGTAGTGGCGACACAAAGAAAAAGAAGAAAGAAGTGGCTCTTCCGCCCAAATAGACACAGCGCCTGTGGGAAGGTACCTGGAAGACCAATTTCCGTTTAAAGGGACTTTCCTGTCAGGTGCCTCAGGGGCGACTGAGTTGACCCGAGGAGACTTCCAAAAGTTGGAGAACCATGCGCTGAAACCCCTTCTTGGGGGAATCGTGTGAATTCAGAATGTATCACCGGTTGAGAATCTGGAAAACGGTTTGGCTGCGCGCGCTTTTCGTGGATTAGACCATCGTTTCCTTTTTGCAGGTTCTTTTTGTACGCTTTTAGAACACCTTAAATATCCTACAGTGGTGTTTCCACAGATTCGGGTTCCACATCCAAACCGTTTTCAGGAGATGCGGCGGGGATCGCGCTGAGGCCAAACTCGCCGTGCCAGCGGCTCCTGCCGACTTCCCAGAGAGCTGGAAGTGCCAAAATTTGGCCATGGTTCAAAGTCTAAAAAATGGTCCAAAGTCAGGCTTGGATTGGAAGCAGCACAAGGAGAAGGCAGACGGTTTCAACAATGAGTCTGGCCATTTGGCTGTGGCTTGAAAAAAAAGAAAAGGGATCCCATTTTTGGGATAGGTGCACCACCCATTTTAGCGAGAACTTTAGTGGGGATTGGGATGTTCACTGGGGGTACGATTTGGGTTTTGACGCATGGCCATTTGTGGCTCCCCTCCTGGTGCCTTGGCGGTTGCCAGCCGTCCGGTTCCTTAGGTTTAGTGGTTTAAGCTGGTGTAGTGGTTGGGTTTCCGAATTTAACCCACACTTTGGGGCATTTTGCTTGGCTCTTAGGACTTTAACTTTTTGCCAACTAATGGGTTTTCCACTAAACCACTAAAAGTGATTCACTTTTAGCAGGGGAGCAGAAAGCAACCGAGCACAAGTGTTCGACTTTGAGGGGATCTGAGGAGAGCCCCCTCAGTCAGTTCCATGGTAGATGGGAGGGTAACCCACGCAAACCAGAACCACGAAACTACTCCCTACCGCACAAAGGTTTTAGTCTGGCCATCCCCTACTTCACCAAGGGGTGTTTTGTGGGTACCCGGCGGCATCCATCAAATGTAAAGACCTTGGATTCAGCTTTCATAAGACGGATTGCCCTGCTTTTGGCTTGCTTCTCTCACTCCCTGAGTTCCATGGACCTTAAACCTTGTGGAAAGACCATGGTACACAAAAAGTTTGAACTCTTCTTGGCCCATCCACCCAGGAAGTGAGTTCTTGACATTCAACATTGCAACCTGCTTGCTTGCACATAGTGAGAATCTGATCAGTTTGGCTACTGGACAAGCTGTCATTTTCCAGCAGTATTTTCCACAACCAGGGCACCCCTGAACCCCTTCTTGGATGATTTCCACAAACCAAAGGCAGCTCTAAGGGGTCCAGCAACCTGGTGGATGTTCACGTGTTTGGTTTGCCTCGCCTTGCCGTGACACGCCTCGCCTTTTCAAGCAGAGTGTGGGGGATCCAGTTCCGTTGCCAGGCACTTTGTCGCGTCCAGGAGTCCCGACCCGTGTTTTCCCTTTCTTCCATTTGCTGAAATGAATATTTGTTTTATGTTCCCCTGTTGGTTTTAAAGTTGGAATCTATCACTACTGGGCATATTTTCTCATTTTTTCCGGGGGAAAAAGCAAATGGCAGCTTTTGATCGCGCGAGGCCCCCCCAACAGCTCTTCGGCCCAAATTGAGGTGCATGGGCGCACCGCTGCTAGAGATCCGCGCGGAGGCGCAACATGAGCACAGAACGCAGATGCTTTCAGGGCCGTTGGGGGGGGAGGTTCGGCGTTCCACTTCTCTAGGGGTATCTTCCATTTTGATTCTTTCCAGGGATCCTTCGTTTCAGGAAACCATCAAAAACCCAAAAGAAACAGCCGGTTTTTGAAAAGAACGATGGTGGAAAAGAATGGGGAATCAACCCCTAGAATCTAGAGCTTCCCCTTGAAACGGCCCCTTTGGTCAGGTAACCCTGGGCTGGTGTTGTTTGTTTCTCCCCCGTTGGAGGGGGGGGGGCGGTTGCAACCGTGGACCACGCGTGTTTGTTGAGCAGACGGATTTCCCTTGAGTCGTGCCCAGGCCCACCTTCCCTCCCCAAAATAAGAAGGCCTCTTACGGAAACCGGGTGAAGCGGAGGGTTGAATCCGATGGGCTGCGCGGGACGGTTCCTTTGGGGGCCGCATGGGGCCGCAGGTGCCGCAATCCTTTCTCGATGACTTCAAGCTTCGTGGCAATGCGGTGCCATGGCACTGACATGTGGATGGGCAGTCCTGCGCCAGCTGCTAGGCGGTTTATTCCCTAAGTGCCCTTTCACCCACTTTTTGGTTGGGAGCGTTCCCCTACTAAAGTAGACTACAGAAAAAGGATACCCTTATTCTAGCCTCTCTACTGGAGGACCTAGTTCCATAGAGGTTCATCTATCGCAAGTGCTGCGAAACGGATTTTGCCCACGACTTTCCCAAAGAAGGCTGCTTCCACGATAGTCTCAACCCTGCTTTTTGGGAGAGTATCACGGCCTTGCGGGGTTGGATTTTTTTTTGGAATTCGGGCAGCGACCCATGTTATGTCCAAGCGAGGCGATCGTTCTTGTGTAGCCTCTTCGTTACCGTACAGCTGCTGGGGCTGGCTTTTGCCAAAATGATCGGATGTTTGCAACCTCACACGGCGGGGGGGGGTTGTGACCTCACCCTCTTTTGCGGGTCCCTTATCGTCGCTTGGAATGACACTTTCGCCAGCTGTCACACTTGTTCATGGTGTTTGTGCGAGCATTGGAGGCGTACCCTTCTTGACCAGTACACCACAATTCAGGACGTAGTGGGCTAATCTAAGATTCCATTATCAATTTGCGGGTGGGGCTAGGGGTCGATATGTCTCATGGTCCTTGCTTGCTGGCCAAGCCAGCCATGACGCTATAATGCCCTCTTTCCAGCAATCTACGCAAGTGGACTAGAGGTTTTCTTTAGATGCTGGTGTGCCAAATCCCTTCTGTCCACTGCCACGGTTGTTGGAAAGAGGGTATAGACCATGTTCAAATCACAATGCGTTGTCTTTACGCCTTTTGCCTGGGATTGCTCAGGAATCCAAACACTCAGGCATACCGGGGAAGCAGGGATGACATATTTGTCGGGATTTAAACCTGGGTTCCTTTACATCATGGAATGTTAAAGCACCCCCTAGCTGACTACCCCCCCCTCCTGGAATTAGGGATAGCCCCTTATTAAGGCCTTATAAGGGTCTTAATAAGCTATTATTTTTATGTTAGCAGAATAAGGGCAAAATAGGGGCTAGTGCTTCAACCTTTTTCGTCACCACTAGTTTGGTCGTATTTTGGGCTGAGGTCCGCTGAGGTGTGAATGTCACGGGATGATGGGTTCCGGACTCGTCTGGGTGCCAAACAAGACATAGTTTCAGAAACACACAAACTGAGTCACGACATGTGCAACACCCGCTCCAGCTGACTTCAATCGAATTCAGTTCTCACAAACAAAAACAACAGGAGGAAATTGTCTAGCGGAGCCTTCCGTGTTGCAACAATATTTGTGTTCTTCTGTTGGCCTGCCTGAGAAATCTGCAAATGCCGTCGCGGGTTGCCCATTTCGGCCTTACTTGGGCCTTATTTGGACCTTATTTTGGCCTTATTTCAGAAATCTTCAAATGCCGTTGGGGGTTGCCCTTATTTGGGCCTTAATTGGACCTTATTTGGGGCTTATTTTGGCCTTATTGCAAACATATTCAAATGCTGTTGGGAGTTGCTCTATTTCGGCCTTATTTGGGCCTTATTTGGACCTTATTTTGGCCTTATTTTGGCCTTACTTTGGACTTATTTCAATTCTCTTATTTGAGCCTTATGTTGGCTCGATTGCAAATGTTGAAATCAGGTGGCCTTATGGTTTGCTTTCTGTTTGACTTTAGGCAGGGTTTGGCCCTTGCTTTGACATAGTTTGTATTTTTTGTGGGGGAAAGTGAGCATCAATCAGTGGTGAGTAGTGAGCTGTGCAGAAAATGCTCTCACCACACGCCAGCGCAATCCCAAGTATTTGCATTCTGCTAATGGGGTCCCAGGGAGTGGCCTTGGGCCGTTTGAACGATGGAAAGCGTCTGCTTGGCAAGGTCCGAGTTTGGCTTGTTTTAGCTCAGTCAAATTAACTTCCGGGGGGGGTAGTTGGCTAGGGGGTAGCTAAACATTCCATGATTACAGGGAATCTAGGTCCCCCAGTAGTGCCCCTTTCCTCTTTTTTGGGGAGGGTTCCCCTGCTAAAATAGACCACAGAAAAAAGGGTACCCTTATTCTAACCTCTCTACTGGAGGGCCTTATAACGCAGAAACCGAACATATTCTTCTTGGAGTGCCCCAGGTCAGCTACGAGGGTTCCCCTGCTAACCTCTCTACTGGAGGACCTAGGAATCCTCGCACATCCCCGCTTCCGCGGCATCCCCGCCAATCTGCCTTCCCAAGTTGCTATTCCTACCGCGGCTGAGGTGGTGCAGGTGGAAGGCGGGAGTCGAAAGCCTTAGGTCATTCATGACCGTGCCGGACAACGGATCAATTTGTAGGATGTACAAACATATAACTATTTTTTGTTTTTGAACACCAGAAAGGGCAGGGCATGGCATGTTGGATCTGTGATACTGTATCTTGACATGTGTTTTTCCGAACTAGTTTCTTTTCTGAACACCATAAAGGGCAGGGCATGTTGGATCTGTTGTATGGCCATTGGGTCAAAACCAATGGTACCATTTTGGGGTAGGTGCACCACCCATCTTAGTCTATTTTAGTGGGAATCGGGATGTTCGCTGGGGGTACTAGCCGAAGGGCGATCGAGCCTCCCCCCTACCTTAAGGGGGAGGGGGGTGGGGGGTCCCACAATTCCATTTCTTCAGTCTTCCCCACGAAAGGGAAAACGGAACTCTAAATGGAACTTCAGGGGTCACCCGGGAACCCCTCCTCGAATTCCATTTTGAAGGTGGGGATGATCGAGCGCTTCGGATACGAAAGGATCCTTTTGTTACCATGTATTTGTTCCAAGCGGTGGATTTCCGGAGGGGCACCTGGGCTGAAGTCTTCTTTGGGACCCCGAGGTCCGTTTGCTGAAGAATATGTTCGCTTTTGATGTTCCCCTGTTGGTTTTACACGGAATACTGTGGACGAATTCCTGCACCAGATTGAAATAATGGGAAACCATTGGTTGTTGGCATTCTCAGGCGAGTCATAATTCCAGGGCTTCTTAGGTGGTGCAGGATTTCGTCCATCCACAGCATGTCGCCACTGGAAATAATCAATCCGATTTGTCCAGCGGACTTCAGCAAATCAAACCCTTGTAAAACAGAACCTGGCATTTTGGGGGGCAGCAGACTGCGCCGAAGCGGACCGATTCACATACCCCAAACAGGGCTCCTCTCAGGTCCCTCCCAAAAGTCTAACATGTATGCCATGGTCAAACGACATCTTTGCTTGGGGTCAGAGATGGTCGTCCTGGCAGGGATGCTTACTGACCAATATACAGGTTCCTATCTTTATGGCTATTTGGTAGCGGATCTTCGGACTTCAACTTTTTGTTTGACACAGGTCTGATTTTCCAAATTGGAGCCACAACAGTTATTTACTCTTGGCACAGGGCTCGTTGCAGTGCCAAGCTTGTAAGGGAACCATGACCCCATCATTTGCGGCCCGTGGCGCGTCAGGCCCCATGCAGACCATGCTGCAAGACATCAACCGAGTTTGCGCGGAGGAACGCGATGGGAGGTTAAATGTGGTGCGGCTGGTTCCAAGTCAACTGAACAGGACACCCTGAATATAGCAAGGACGCTGGCTGCTAAACAGCCCATTGTTTGCACTTTGTCCAGAAGAAAGCCACCAAGGGTTTGGCAATATGTTTTATGCTTTATCCAGACCCCTCCGTTTAAGTTTATCACCCAGCGATGTGGCAGCTGGAATTAGCCTGGTGTCGGGACAACTCAATGCATGACATCCTGATTGCACGGAAAGCAGTGGGTAAATTTCACGAGGCGTCCCTGGTTTATGTGCAAGATTCAGGGGACAAAAGGGGTTGAGGGATGTGGATCACCAGGCATGGGAAATGATCGTGCTTGGTACCCCTCTACCCTGGCCACGTTGGTCAGCCCCTTATGCGCTTCGGGATTTCGGCTCCGGGATTAGGGAAGTGTGCAGTGCGCAAGCCCGCTTCCACCAAGTCTTCGGAAGGGGGTGTCCAAAATTGGGACCCTGAGCATATCCCCACCTCCTTAAAAATGGAATTGGGGGAGGGGGCTGACCCCTGGAATTCCATTTATGGTTCCATTTTCCCTTTTGTGGGGAAGAGTAAATAACTGGAATTGGGGGACCCCCACCCCCCTCCCCCGCAAGGTCCAAGTGAAGCTGCGGACACCTTCTCCTATGATCAGGGATGGTCTTGGCAGACTTCTTGTTGGGTTGTCTCTATGTATCACAACCTCCTTCTCCTCACGCTGTCCTCTGACGGCATGGATGGTTGAGGGTCAATGGGATGGTACCAAAGTGGCAGGGGATCTGACGAGCACTGGATGCATCCCAGGCCTGAAGGCCGAAGTCACCCAAAAAGACTCGCAAGAAATCACATGGCCGTGGTGGTCAAAACCAATGGTAGGATGTACAGACATATTTTTCAGGAACTATTTTTGTTTTTGAGCACCAGAAAGGGCAGGGCATGGCATGTTGGATCGGTGATACTGTATCTGGAAATTTGTTTTTTTTTCCGAACTAGTTTCTTTTCTGAACACCAGAAAGGGCAGGGCATGTTGGATCTGTTGTATGGCTGTGGGTCAAAACTAATGGGATCCCATTTTGGTTGGTAGGTGCACCACCCATTTTTGAACCTATTTTAGTTGGGATTGGGATGTTCACTGGGGGTACGGGATTTTGATTCATGGCCACATTGCGCCAGCTGACTTGGAGGATTTGCAGATCCTTGTTACGAGCGGGTAGCTTTTGGAGGTATCCTTCCCTCGGAACCCTGTTCAGCTGATAGCATTGCCAGACTTGATGGCTTTTGCCCTTTTGGCTTTCCTTCATGTTCCCTTTCAACCCGCATGTCCTGCGTTCAATGGACTTTAGTCACTTTTTGGGCTTGGACCATTTTCTTTTTTGGCCCAACTCAGGCAGTGAGGTACCCCGCTGCCCCATGGGTCTCCCTCTCTCCCGCAGGCAGAGCGGGCGCCTGTCTACGCCGCAGCCGGGGATGCCACCAGCACAGCGCTCGCTGTGCAGGCTCGGTTAGGGCGGTTAGGGCGGTTAGGGCGGTTAGGGCAGTTAGGGCGAGGTTAGGTTTGCTATGGTTTCAAAGTGGTGCCAAATTTCGTCCACTCACAGTATGCATGTTTTCCTGTGCCTGTGCACCAGGGTTGTGGGATCGCTCGGGGTTTATCCACACTTCTGTGATAGGGAATCTCCCCCTTTATGTGGGGAGCCACTAACATAGCACCTGTGGAAAGGGTACCTGGAAGATCAACTTCCTCTTGAAGGGACCCCCTGTCAGGTGCCATTTTAGTGGGAGTGAGGGTAGATCTTGCACAACTTTTGTTTGAAACAGGTCAGTTTTTCCGAATTGGACCCACAAAAGGTTGAAAGAAACAATTGTGCAGAGGGGCCGTTGCAGCAACCAAGTGGCTACCAGGCAAATTCACCCTCCAACCACCTCAAGTTGTTGTTTCTTTTCTCGTGTCTACCCTCTCCAAATCCGCCGCAATATATTTTGAGCAACCTCGGTTGGCATTGTAAACACCTCCCTTGGACGCCAAACGGGTGTGTATTTTGGTTCGGGGACCCCCCAAAATGATGGCTTTCAACCTTGGGTTTCTCGTTACAACCAACTAAACAGGGGCACCCCCAGAACAAAGAGACCCAAAAGTCAAAGAGAAGATCCATCGCACCCCTCCGAAATGCTGGGTTTTCGAGCGGCTCTTCGAAAAGGGCCACGGGCTTCACATTTGGTTCGCAAGCTTCCGGGGGGGAGCTTCGGCAAAACAGCTTGCGATCCGCCTCGTCGGGACCATGGCAGCTTTGGATCCGCTTCTCAAGCTCCCAGAGAAAGAGAGAGAGAGAGAGATACAGAGAAGGAGAGGGAGAGAGAGAAAGGGAAAGAGACCCTTGTGAATGCTAACTCCCCGGATCTAAGTAGAACCCCTGGTGGATTTCGATCGGGGGGTGTCCAGTTCCTTTTAGTGGGGATTCGTCACTTTTGGAGGGAACACCCCCCGAATCGTGGGACGGGTTTATTCATCCTGGGTCAACAGTATGTTGGGAATTTGTGGCACTGTACAGTTTGTGTTGGTGGGCAACTTGATTTTTGCGACCCCACCCCCTTGACTTTGAACTTGAATTTGGAAAGCGGCGTTGGCGAAAATTCCATTTGTTGCTTCCCACCTGCTCTTTAGCACCCTTTCTCTGGGGTGGCCGGGTCATTTGGAAAGCGGTCTTGCGATCTCAGCAGGGGAAAGCGGCGGAGTTACAACTTCACACCCGGCAAGGACTGCTTGAAAAGCACACATATACATCTTTGTCTCCACCACTTCATGGTCGCTGGGAAGCATTTTGCATTGTTGCTTATTGTGGTTTAGTGGTTGGGATCCAACCACTTAACTGATAAAGTTCAATTGTTTGCTCCCCGTCCAACGTGTTCCAAGACCAAATAGCGGCCCCCTAGAATGGTTGGTTTCTCTTTCGGTTTTCGTTTAGATGCTAACCAAAAGGCAGTCCGCAGTTTTGAACAACACGCAGACATGATTCACAAGCGCCTCATTTGAAAGGGCATTTGCCTACTTTATCGCGAGCTCACCAGGATAAAGATCCTTTACGTTGGGGATGATTCAGATTTTGGACCTATTGCAACAATTGCAGCTGATTGTTGGCTTCCCTATGAATCTGCATTTGTTTTCCTCCCAGGACGTTGCCATTTGCAACTGAAGGAGCCGTTTTGATTGGTTAGGAATCACCAGCCAGGGTTATGTGTTTAAATGGCCAACCGTTCGAAACCAAAATGCCGTTGTTTCAACAACTTTGGCTTCACGTTGAAGCCAGGGGTTCGCCCACTCACGCCAGGCGCTCTTGCGGCAAGACCCTGGATACTCGGCCGAGGCGAGGCCTCACTACTTGCAGTTGGCGGATACTAACCCCACTTCTAGGGGCAGCTAGTTGGCGGATAGTCACCTCATCCACCTTTGAATGTCCAGGAAGGGGTCCAGGGGTCCAGTTCCAGTTGAAACATCATACCAGAAGGCAACGTTTCAGGTTCCACGTTTACGAGAGGGGCAGGCTCCGAAGCTTGCAGTGCGGACATGCAGTTGGGCGGGGCGTGTTGCATTGGGATGGCCCGGTCTTCCTGGGATCTCGGATAGGGGCTACAAGGAGCCTTGATTACGCCAGGGCTTGACAGTCCCGTTTCCCCCATTAGAACGTGGAACATGGGGGGGGAGGGGTTCAGCAGGGGAGAATTCTGGAAATACCTGAAAAAGCCTCGATCCCGCCCTGTTCGGGTTGGACTTTGCAGTCTGTTCGGATGGTTTGCCACCACCCCCCTGTTGCATCCTTCCCGGACGCGTGCTTCGCCAATTGCTTAGAATTGCCATTTCGATGTTGCTGGCTCACATGAGTGGGGAAGGGGATACGTCAGAGGAGGATTTGTTTGAAGCGTCGGTCTGCCATCTCTGAAGTGATTTGGGGAATTTCAGTGATCCCTGACACTTGAGATTTATGGCCTTCTTTGCAATTGACCCAATTCCACAACTTGCCATGCATGGTGTTGTTGCTTTGTTTTTCTTTCTTTTTTGAGTGGAGCCTCTAAAGGTGGTGGTTTTCCTCCTGGTTTCCCTTCAAACCCACAAAAATCCAGGGGAGGCAGCGCGGCCCTTGGCACGTCCAGGCCATCCGCCGGAGTTCACACGCTCTGGTGTCACTCCTTGGGGGCGTTGGCCGAGATCAGCTTGGCGGGGGGCCAAAGGCCGCCGCCACGGCGGCTTTTCGGAGTGGTCTCTTTACAGCTCGTCCCAGTTTCGAAATTCTTGCCTGAGTTCCGTTTCGAACTTGATCGTCACTTTTTGGGGTTGAGTGGTAAACTAAGAGTTTGGTTGACTTTGTTTGTTTGGCCAATCCACTCAGGAGTGAGCAGTTCAGCCATCAGCAAGCTGGCTGCTAATTGGTAGAGCTGTCCAAATTTGCCTCAAGAGGGAGTTCAACCCCACCAACCTCCATGCAAGGACATGATTGCATTTCTTTGTTTCAGAGCAAGGGGAGCCATAGGAAAGGCTATGACCATAAGGGTCCTCGATGGCCCTCACTAGTCAGGCTGCAAAGGCTCCCCAAGGAGTTGAGTGGATTGAATGTCTGGCCTAGTTTTCGCACGTGGGCGAGTGGAATCGACACCAACAAGGATTCCAATTATTTCCACCCAAACGACTTCCCCCAATGTGCAAATGGGATAGGGTCCATTTTTTTCTTTTAGATGATTTCCACTGCGCCCAAACCACTACCCTCAGTGGTTCAATGGGCAATTCCACTATATAGCCACTCGACAAAGTGTTTTCACCTAAGAGCTTCTACCAGGACTGGACAACGGGGAAGCTGCATTACTGAATCCTTTGGATTACGAGAGGGGTGTGGGTTGTATCTGAAGGGGGGCCCGCAACCTGGGTTGTCCATTGGTTCCCCCAGGCAACTTCATTCATCTATTCGGGGTGTCTTTTGGAGGGTGCCCTTGTTGGGGTTGATTGAAGGGAACCAAAGCTAACCCAATCATTTGTTGAAGGCAATCCTTCATCTCACTGTCAACCAAAGCTGATTGACTGGAATTGACCTAGCGTTACGAATGTTGGCCGTTGTGTGGTCAAGCTTCTAAAACGGCTAGCCTGCTTGTTTCCAGTACCTCTGCGAAAGTGTTTAAGCCTTTTGGTTTCGAAAAGGGTTGGACCCGGAAAAGAGCGGTTTCTCTACTCGATATGAGGATATGACATGGACCTGAAAAGCAAGTATTGGCGGGAGGATGGGCTTGGACGCAGCGTTTGGACGTTGCATGTTCTTGACCTGGCGACCATGTGAATGTGCCTGCGTTTCCCGCTTCTTAGTGACAACTCCTTGCACAGTACTCCGCATGTTTTTTGCGCATCCCCACCCCGCAAGTAGTGCATGGAGGGTGGATAGACCGCCAAACAGGCACCCCTTCACCCCCTACGTTTTCCCGGAATCCGGGTAAGAGCGCAAGAAGAGTATGGCCTGAGTATGGAGGGGTAGGGCCACACCTGTCTTTGGCTTGATCTGGAGGATTTCTCCCCACGAAAGGGAAGCACCATTTGCTTAGGACTGAAAGGGGATCGATCACTACTGTTTTTTCTTTCTTTTTTTGCGGTAACTTACCTCTTAACAACACCACTTTTCTCAGCTTTTTGGGTAACATGGGCTATATGTCTGTAAAAGATTAACTTCCCCAGGGCTTGGAGTTTTAAGGGGTAAGGCCACCAAATGGATGGAAGCCAATCCTCAGTACGGCCATCCGAAGTCGCCAGTTCACGTCCGATCGCCTGAGGCTACAAGCTGCAGGACTACCTGAAAGAGGCGGTGGCTTCCTGAAGGGGGAGAGGTGAGTTGCATCACATCGTGCCACAACCCCCGGGGCTGACCCTCGATTCAACTCATAGCGTAAATGTCTATATGGGGGTTGATCAAAAGGTCGTTTTTTCTCGCCAAGATGGCGTTTTCCGGAAACAGGAATATTGATCAACTGCCATATGCACATAAATGTGGTAAGAATATGAATATAGATACGTGTATATACATATATGGGAATTATGGGAGTCGATCTAAACTGACGGAACTAGGCTGAGTCTACAGGAGGCCTAGTGGAAATACAAAGTGTTGCCACACTGTGGTCGCGAAAGAAGGCGTAAGGGCGAGCGAAAGGGAGAGTGGTATGTGTTACGCACATAGGTTTTCATGGCCCCAAAAAGCCTTTTGAGTGGTGCCCCCAAACTCGCTTTCCAGCTCACGAAAATCGGCTTTGCAGATTCTGCCCCCGATCTTACTTTCTGAGAATATTTTGGGGACTTCACGGGAGCTCACCAGAATTGCCTTTTGAGCGGTGGCCCCAAACTCGTTGCCCAGCTGACGAAAATGGTTTTGGGGGGCGCTGCCAGCCGATGAAAATAACTTTGGAGTTCTCACGGGAGCTCACCAGAATAGCCTTCTGAGCGGCTGCCCCAAACTCGTCTTCTGGCCGATGAAAATAACTTGGGGAATTCTCACGGGAGCTCACCAGAATAACGTCCTGGCGGCTCATGGGAGTGAGCGGGCACCGCGTAGAGAAGGAATTTCAGAATAGCTCATCCTTGTTTTAGGCTCACCACGTGAACCTATTGTTTGCCTGCTGGGCCGCAGCCCCAAACTTGTTTTCCAGCCAAAGAACGGCTCTGTGTGGTGTCCAGTGCAGCCGCAGCCAAGACTCCCCAAGATGGTTTCATCGGGCAGAAACCAAGTTTGAGGGCATGCCTTAAAAGCTGCCCCAGCAAGCAATCAATCAAATAGGCCCAGCTGCTCAGAGGAGCAGTAGCGCAGCGCACGCAGACACGTAGAAAAGCTCCACTCCCTGAGCTGCGAAAGCAGGCGTAAGGACGAGCGAAAGGGACCCTATCGGTACTCGCAGTGGCAACAGGGTAAAGATCAACCCCGAAATATATAGGCACATATACATATGTTTATGTGTCTGTGTGCTCGTGTGCTTATGTGTGTGTGTGTGGCATGTATTCCGTACTCTTACCATGCCATACCATAAATGTACGTACATACGTGCATGCATGCATGCGTGCGCACCCCCTACCTACCTACCTGCCTGCCTGCCTACCTAGCACGCACGCACGTACAAACATGCATCCATGCATGTATGATACCTACCTACCTGGCCTACCTGCCTACCCGCCTACTTATTGACTTGCTTGCTTACTTACACACACACAGTACATACAGATGCACATGCGCACGCACATGCACATGCGCATGCACATGTACATGCTGTATACACCTTTCTCTCTCTCCTTCTGTCTCTCGACTCAGAAGATGCAAGGTGCAAAAGCAGGGGTGCCCACCGCAGGATGGTTTGGTCCAGCCCTCAAATACCAAATCGCGAGCCGGCCGGCTGCCGGCCAGGCCGGCGTGCAGCCTCTCTTCAGCGAGATTGTGAGCGAGCAAACTGGCTGGACCGTCGGGCTCCGAAGCCTGCGACGACGGGCTCGGAGGAAAGTGGGGGCGACACAACTTCCATTGCTGAAATGAATAGGTTTTTTATTTTCCCCTGTTGGTTTTAAAGTTGGAATCGATGTCACTACTGGACATATTTTCTCATTTTTCCAGGGGGCGAGAAAGCATATGGCAGACAAATGAGAATTTCTCGAACATGTTGGAAAGATACTTTCCGGGCGAGTAGCGAAGTGGGCTTTAGACGCAATTGTTGCCGTCTTCATCCTGCCCATGCAACTTTTACTGTGACATGCTCAAATTGTATGCTCTTTGTGACGTGCTGGGACAACCTCTCTTAAGAGAGATAGGGGAGCCGTGACGGGAATCAACCACTTTGTATCACTTGCTGCTTGGGCACAAGGTTGGGCAAGCTCGCAACCTGAGGCCTTTCTAACACCACATCGGGAACGGGACGCTGCGCACGAAAGGCGAGTCCGGGGCTCCGAATGTGGCCATGGGGCAAAATCCAAATCGTACCCCCAGTGAACATCCCAATCCAACCACTAAAATCCCGACTAAAATGGGTGGTGCACCTACCCCAAAATGGGATCCCATTGGTTTTGACCCACAGCCATGTTGTCGACTTTAGCTCGCCTGTTTGAAGGCGAGCTGACAAGATAAAGCGGGCTGATGTGAGTCCTTTGTTTGGATCAGGTTTGTCCGAATTTTGGCAGAATTACACATACAAGAATCCTTGCAGAGTCACTAGGACGACATCGGGTGAACGGGCCGTTTGCATCGCAATCCTTGAGACCCCTGGACAACCCCAAGCTAGTTTGGGAGAGCCTGCAGCTGTCCCCATGTGTGTGTGCTAAACTAGGCGGCTGCCAAAATGTTGGTATTTTTTTTTGTCCCCCTTTAGCCATGCTCAAAAAGATACCCGCAGAAGGACACTCACGTACCCGAAAGCTTGGTCAACATATCCAGGGTAATGCCAGTTTGGCAGGGACGGGGGAATGATCTAGAAAGTTCCAGCAAAAGCCAAGACGGACCCTCCTTTTCCCCTGTCCATTGCGGGACCTGCATATGTCCGCACTAACAGCAGCAGATGGAAATCCAGATTTGCTGGTTCTTGAGAGCGGAAGCCAAACCCTACACTTCACCAACTAGAGTGGGACCAGACTTGAAGACCTGTTTGAGGGAACATGGTTGGCACCAGCCCCAACCCAAACCGCCTTCTGAGTTGCGCCCTGCCAGGGTGTCCTTGGCCGCCCCCGGCGAGGACGGTCTCTCGACCGCCGCGGTGGCCTTGCGGGGTTGCTTGAAGGATACAACGTACCGGGGGGGACTTTTGGGGGGTATTTTTTTTGAGTGGCCCGGTTTTTGTTTTAGTGACCCGGTTTGTATTTGGCGAAACACCTTTCCACATGTACAGGGTGACTTTTGGGGGGATTTTTTCAAGTGACCCGGTTTAGTTTATCAGCAGCCGTTAATTGAAGCAGCGGACAGGTTCAAACGGTTCTACGCTTCATCGGATCCAGCCTGCACGAAAGGACATTAATGCGTACATCCCGTTGATTCCCTGCTTTTTCTTGGAAGTTGTTCAGATTCAGGTAGTGGCTGGATTTCCATTTCACCCACTCACAGGGTCACTTTTTGCAGGGGATCAGAAACCGGCCAGGCCACTGTTGAAAAGGCGCCGAACATCCACTTCCACCACTTCCATTAACAAAATATCTCTCAAAGCTGGTGGTTTCCTTTTGGTTTCCAAAAACCACCCCCAAAGTTTGGGTAGCCTCAAAAAGGACGCGCAGAAGCAGGGCTCCTTAAAAGATACATTTTGCTCAATTGAAACATGGCTTTTTCCACCAAAATAAAGGGCAACCACCATTTACAAGACAATGCTCAGGTGTATAATGTAAGGTTCCCTGAGAAGCAAACAGACCTGCGAGATTCAGGAGAAAAGCGAAGGGGTGCTGAAGCTGGCGGTGGTGTACCGGGCGATTCAGGCGAGCCTGGGGGGGGGCGCTTTGGGAGCCTTGCTCTGATCTGGTCAAGGGTCAACACCAGCTTGATCACCTTTCTCCTTTTGGGAATGGGTGTGGGTCAAAAAGCATGCAACTGGGGTTACGCAGGTTTTGTTCTTTGGCTCCATTTGCCAAGGTGCCCCATTTTGATGCATTTGTCTGACCCAGCCAAATGCCTACTGGCAGACAGTTTTGGAGACATGGTTGTATGCCACGTATATACGGTATACGGGGCACTGCCTTACAAACCTTCCATTTGCTTAAGAATGCTTTTTGTTTTCCCCTGTTGGTTTGACAAGGGAATCTATCACTACTGGGATTTTTGTTGTTTTGAGGGGGCTTAAGCAAATGGAAGAATCCTAGATGGCATACTATGATTGCAACCAAATCCACACATGGTTCAGTCAACATCTCCAGTAGTCTACCGCCTATTTGGGAAGGACATGGGGGACTCAGTATTTTTTTGTGGAAACAAGCAACCAACAACCTAGGAACTGCCCCTTGAACACCTTCAAACCACTCCAAAAACCACCAAGGGATTCGGAATCCAAGGTATCATTGTTCTCTCAAATTGTCCCATGCACAATCTGGGTATATGGCAAAAACCTGGGACCGCTTTTCAATGCTGGAATTTTGCTCGGTTTCTTGCCTCCCGAGTCCCGGCACTTGGGTCACTTTTTGGGAAGACGGTTTTGGCAAATGACATAGATTGGTTACCCTCCCAGCAGCATGGAACCTGACAGGGGGTCCCGGGAAAAAAATCCTACAGGGACTCCGTATCAGGTTCCATGTTAATTGGAGGGTACTGGTTTTGGCCCATCCACTCGCTCAGAAGCGAGGTTTTTCCAGGTCAAAATTGGGGGGGGGGGGGGGACTCATGTCAATCTCGGAAGGCCGGCGCCGCCAACCAGCCAGCAGCTCAGTGAGGTTCACTCCACCGCTATTGGGTTGGATCTTTAAGACTTTAACTTTTTGGATTCCCAAACCATATTTCCTCTTAACCAGCAGAAAAGTTATTTTTTGCTGGGGGATCTACAGCACCCAAGTTCATGTAGGGCTTTGAAAGACGGGTGGCCGTGTCACAACGGCGAAGAAAAATGGTGCTGAGCGTCTTCCATTTGCTAAAATGAATGTGTGTTTTTCCCCCTGTTGGTTTTAAAGGGGATCGATTTCACTACTGGACATATATTTTTTCCAGGCCTAGGCAAATGGCAGGTGTTGTTCCTTCTGGTTTTCCCTTTCAGCCAAGGGGGAAAGGGTAGCTTCAAAAAGGCACACAGACGCATCCAAATGGTGGGGCATTTGGTTCCCCTTACCAACCCCAAGAAGGGTAGCCTTCATACAACACTGCCACTTCATCGCACGAAGCAAGATATAGTGATAGCAAAGCTATGCGTAAAAACAAAGCACTTGGAGTAGGAGCAGGATCAGGAGACGCACTAGGACCCCTCACCCTCCTCAGAAAGGTGGGTAAAGGGTCTTTGGCCTTTTTTTCTACGGGTGCCCCAAAAAGCGAACGCCCACAGTCAAAACTAGGACCGTAGGTCTTCCTTTGGGTCTGTTGAAACAACGCCACTGCTACTTGATTTCTTGTTCCGCCAGGGCGCCTAGTTGCCTGAGTTGCCCAAAACGCATCGACCTGACCTTTTCACGAAAGCTAGCTTTAGCTAGCTGAAGTTTCTCCTTGCGTAAGCAAGGTAAGGGGCTCACATGCCGAAAGATTGATTTTTTCAATTATTTGAGCCGAAAAGATTGAAAAACATCAATTATTTAGACCCCCCCCCCCCTCCCCCCCCCCCCACGGGTCTCAGGCTCGATTCCTCCCTGGTCCATCCCCCCCCCCCGGGCAGTGGCTCAGTGTTCAGCAGTCTCGGTTTGCCCGTTTTGGACTTGGTGCTACAAACTTTTACATGTTCCACCGATTCAGCTTGTTCATTTGAGACCTCAGTCTTCTCGGTAAACCACCTCGCAAGAATCTTTGCACACGCTGCATGCAGAACCCAGAGGTGCTTTAAGACAGCTTCTGACGCCTCTCGTTGCTTTCATTTTTCAAGGTTTGCCACGCCACCATGTGCGTTTGCGTGTCGCATCCTACGAATCTTGCCGGGCCTCTCGTTGTACACAAGCTACCTATGAATCCACCCTGTCACCGACCCATCTCATGCAACAACTGCTAGCTTTTGTTCACCCGCTCCTCAAGTGGTTCTCCAGTCCTTGCCCCAAAAGGTGCACCTTTCATGTTTGGGTCCTTTGGGCAACTGAGTTCACCAAGCTCTGCTTATGTGCGAAGCCATGAAATCAGAGCCATGAGGCTCTGTTAACACACGTTTTCATTGGGGGAGGGGGGGGTTCAACCCTGGCGATCTCCATGTATGGTGAGGCATTTTCCCTTTTGGGGAACGACTAGCTACATGGAATTGGGCGCCCCTTTTTTCGGGCAGGGAAACATGGATGTCACTTCGAGCCATGGCCTAGGTACAAGTTGGACCATCTGCGCTTCAAAGTCTGGGAGCAGGTGGAAGCGGCGGGCGTGGTGTATGCCGAGGCGCGGTTCTCGGGTGTTTACGCGTCACGGGCGTCGCAAGTTTCAACTAAAACTCCTCACGGTGTCCCTTTAAATTGGTTTATTACCTCTTAAAAATCCCACAACTTTTCAACTTTTTGGGTAACATGGGCTATATGTCTGTAAAAGATAAACTTCCCCAGGGCTTGGAGTTTTAAGGGGTAAGTTTAAATTGGTTTACGGCGTCAAGGGACACAACCAGGACTGGGACCCAACAGTAACTTTGAGAACCCTCGAAATGCTCGCTGGAATGAAACGGAAAGAGCGAAACGCCAAGACCTGCAGTTAAGAGAACGAGAAACAAACGAGGGCAGAAAAAGAGCCGCCCGTCCAAGCACAAGCCAGCTGTCCGTCAGGGGCCCTCATAACTGAGGGAAGAACTTGCGGATGTTGGAAGGCGCAACGCGCCCTTTCAAAGGGTGTGGATGATGATACCTCAGCAATTACCGAATTATACATTTATCACATTGCCTATTTTATGGCGAAAGAGGGTTCACCATGATGTGGCTCCTTTTGAGGATCTACTTCTTGCCTCAACCAATGGGTTCTTCTCAAGATTTACGGACTTCAGGTGGATGTCCTTTTGCTTCCATTTGCTGAAGCATGTTTGTTGCTTTGCCTTGGTGGTTTTAAAGGGGAGCTACCACTACTGGGAAATATATGTTGTTCCACGGGGCTTAAGCAGATCTAAGTTTTTGGTTTCTCCTTCAAACTCTCCCGATGGGTAACCCCCCCTTCCCCCTCCTCCCATTTTCGAAATACACAAAAAACACCTGTGTGCCGGCTCGCTAGGCCACATTCCTGACGGTCTCCTTTGAGAGTGTGAAGATCTTGGCTGAGCCATGGCGCCCAGTTTCTTTCTCCGGTTGGGAGGTACCCTAAAAAGGGGCCGGTGCTTAGTAAGCGGTTGGTAAGCCTGGTTATAACCCACATAGGCGACTTATAACTATAGTAAGTGGGTTGAAGTGCAACGTTGAAAGGGGCATTGTACGTCAGGTACGTGGGTAGTAAGCCCTCCGTTCAGCGGGTTATGACCGTTAACCTTGGTTTTGAAGGGACACCACAACTGAGGTCTCCTCCAAACCTGACTAAGTACTGAGTATAGACACGGAAGATTTCGTAGTTTTGGACTGCCCCGGATGGGTAGGTGGTTTATCCCAGTCATGGGGGTTGATCCATCCCAAGTGGTGCTGTGTTTTGACTGTTCCACAGTATTGAGCAGTGGAACATTCAACACACACAAGACTTCTACTCCCCCTCCTTAAATGTGTGGGGAAATTCTCACTTGCAAGTGAGAGTGACAATCAAAACCCGGGTACTTGGAGAGCAGGAAGGGATAGCCATAAATGGGTACACCCGCCTTTTCAATTCTTTGCACGGTTCTGCGGGGGGCCATTTACCAGGTGTTGCTTATGACTCACTTGAAGCGATGTCAACCTTCGGAGTTCGTCGGTGCAAGACTTCCAATGGGGATACGATGGAAATTGGACAGCTGAGGCACTGCGCCAAGATGGGCAACACTTTTTGCCTGAACCTCTCGGCGCCCTATGTCTGCCGCTACTTCGGGGATCGGATTCTGACCGCTGGGGTCCTGAAGGGTTGGGTGGATCTGGGGGTGGTGGGCTGCGGGGCTGGCTGGGTTGAGGGGTCAAATGGGGTGGTGGGGGGGGGTAGTTGGGGTTTTGAGGGGTGGATCTGGAAGGTCCGCAACAGTCCAACCGGAGCCGGCATCGGAAACTGCAAGGTCGAATGAAGTTTCGATGGGTTCCGTTTGGAATCGGCTTCAAAAGCCAACGTCTGACTTCACAGCTTTTTGGCTGGACCTCTGGACTTGAACTTTGTGGGAAACACTGGGATTTTCCATTGGACCCACAAACAGACAAACTTTTCACAGTGGGGTCAAGCTGAATAATTCATCTGCAAAGTGGTGAATCAGGGTCAGGGATGCTGCTTTGATTGGGCCTGCGAACGATTGCCGCAACTTTGCGGCTACCGCATCTCCCCAACTTGACCCCTGACTTCCGGACGCTCATTAGGTGAGTCCATCAATTTCGGGCAGTTCCCGGCCATACTCTTCGACAAAAGGGACTTTCAGCGTTGTTGTTTTCGGGATTTGTGACATTTCCCACAAAAGTTGAGCAAGAGAGTGAAGCGTGAAGTAAAGTGGACCCAAATTTGATGGAACAGTGGAGGTAGCTTTGGAGGGAAATGGCCATGGGGCATAACCTATGGCTCCTTGCCACCTATTTTGATGTTCACCAGGGGTTTCCTGGGTTTTGACCCACAGCCAAATGGCCGTGGCTCAAAGAACCGGAATTCCAAAATGGCTTGCCCTGAGAAGTGGAATCATGGACCAAGACCTGCGGAATCACCCCCTCCGATCGTTTAATTTTGAGCCACAGTCAAATGAAGTTACGGCCTTCTGGATGGTTTCTGGCGGTTTCTGGCCATGCCCTTCTTCAGTGTTGTTTTTCAAGATTTGTGACATATCCCACAAACGTTTGGCTTTAGCAAGGGAATGAAGCGCGAAGTAAAGTGGACCCAAGTTTGGTTGCACTACCTTTGGAGGGTGGGCATTGAGGGTGAAAGCAGCCACATGTCGTGACATCCCTGCTTCCCCGGTATGCCTGATTGTTTGCTTGTCTGAGCATCCCAGGTGTTGACATATTTTGACCCACAGCCAAATGAAGTTACGGCCTTCTGGGTGGGAAATGATCGAGGGTGTTTCAGTGCCGAAGCGAGGTCATCCCGTACACCGATTTCGTCTTTGGCTCTGAAAGCGAAGCTCAGCTGCAATTCTGGCACCGAACCAGCTGGCTGTGGAGCTGTTATTGCGTTTGTAGTATGTTGTAGTGGTTTTTCTCTTGTGTGTTTGTGTGCCGTGTGTGATGTTGTTTTTGCTAGAATTGTTTGTTTGCTTGGTTGTGTTCGCGTTTGTGTGTGTGTGTGGTTTGTTTACTTGTGTGTTTGTTTGTTTGTTTGGTCGTGTTGTTTTGCGTGATTGTTATCTTGCTCGGTTGCATGCGTGCATGCTTGCGTACATGCTTGCGTGTGCTTGTTGCATGCGTGTGTGGGTGCTTGGGTGCTTGCGTACCTGCGTGCTTACCTGCGTGCTTGCGTGCTTGCGTGCTTGCTTGCGTGCTTGCTTGCTTGCTTGCTTGCTTGCTTGCTTGTTCGTTTGTTCGTTTGTTTGTTTGTTTGTTTGTTTGTTTGTTCGCTTGTTCGTTTGTTTGTTTGTTTGTTTGTTTGTTTGTTTGTTTGTTTGTGCGCTTGCGCTTGTGCGTTCGTTTGTTGTCTTTGCTTGCTTGCCTTCCTGCCTGCCTGCTTGCTTGCTTCCTTGCTTGCTTGCTTGCTTGTTTTCTTCCATTAGTCATTTCTTGTGAGTGCTTTAGCTGGGGACCTCAATTTCTGGGTTGGTTCCTTTTGCCATCCCTTTAAAACCAACCAAAAGGGCGTACCCTCAACAGGACAGACCCAGACACTTTTTGAATCTGGATGGTTTGGCTTCTGGCTTCCCTTTGAAAACCAGCCCAAAAGGCTGTAGCAACTCAACCAAAGCATAACATATCGATTGGTGTCCTTCCACTTCCCTCGAGAAAGCGAAACTATGGGTACATTTTTTCGACGGAACCCTCTCACAAATGCTTCCTGGACAGATGTTCCCATTTTTTCAGAGTCCAGCAAAGGGTTCATCTTGAAGTGAACGTCATACTCCGAGAAGTTGACCTGAGAAGCCGCAAGTGGTACTTTGAGAGCAAATTCCAACGGACTGCGCTTGCACCACACAAGTTTGCATGAGGTGTTGCATTCGCCGCAACTTTTGGCCCCATAGTTTGTAGGTTTTCCAATTGGGGCCAGTTGGCCGGACTGCGATTCTGAAGGTGTTGTGTGGGGCATTGCCCAAAAAAAAGACACGAAGTAGTCCCGACATCTTGAGGCTAGATCCGAAAGACTAGCTGGGCATCCTTCCCGGGTCCCTTCATGGTTGCCTTGGGCGCCGGTGGAACTCCATTCTGCGTGGGTGATGCGTGGGGAAAGGGAAGGAGCTTGCATTTCTAGCAAGCCATGTTCATAGGCGCCCCTTTGATCGTTAGCTTGGTAAGAAATCGATGGACAAGGATGGGTATTATGCCCCATTTGCCAGAAACAACCCATCTAGTTGCATCCACAAGGTCGCCTATGGCCATGTTCCTTTTCGTGGCTAGGGAGGGATGGAACTGGAACACCTGTCCGACCGGTGGCGCGGTTTGGCACGGCTTTTGCTTTCAGGAGTACATGGCCCTTGCCGAGCAGAAGCGTGGAGAAGGAATCGGACAGGCGAAGACCAGCCATTTTCTGAAAGCTTCCCCTTTTGCCCTTTGCGCTGGTCTTAAACATCATCTTGTTAGGGCAACTGCCCCCCAACACGCGGGGGGTCGTAAAGCATGTGTTGGGGCCAGCGTCAAGTTGGAGTTCGCAATTGTTGGAGGTGCTTTGGGAGGTGTCCGGGCATCCGTATTTTGTGGCCCAATGCCTTTAAAAGGAAAATGGTCCAAGCCAGGACCCCCCAACGGTTGGGTTCCAAGTGAAACGGGTAGGGCCAGTGCAACTTCTGGAAGACCCGGAGCTCCGGCCCAGCCGCAAGCGGTAAGGTCTCGAGGCCTCCCCAGGGCCCCAAGACCAATCCGCCTTCGCCTTCGCGCCAGGATGTCGACTCAGCTGAGACCTCGGAGCGAGAGTTGAGTCGATTCAAGGGGTGTCAAACCCAAAACGGCTGGATCTCTGGGGATGTGTAGTTTCAGGAAGACACCCTACGCGGCCCGGCGCAGCAATATGTATTTCACGGAAGTGCATAATTTTGTCCAAGTGTTTGACCCCGGATGAACAAATATCGATTCTGTTTGGGGTCCTCCAATAATAGACTGGTTCCATCCCAATCCTAAAACTTGTGTCAGGCTCAGTTGCCTAAAGCGAATCGACCTGATCTGACCTTTTGATTTTCCCGTTTTTTTTGTTTTTGTTTTTTTTTTTTAACAAACAATGAAAGTGCCAAAAGGTGATCTCACCCTTTATTTCCGGGTCCCTAAGCTTTGGGCAACTGAGGGGTTCATCACTGAAATGAGTTCTCTTAACCACATGGAGCCCACCGGAACCGTGAGCTGGTTGCTGACCAACTGGCGCTTCGCGGAGGTCATGCACATCCCCGATGTCGAATGCTCGCGCTGCAAGATCGTTATCCTTGTGGGTACAATCAATTGCTATCAATGCGACAACCTCATGGAGCGCATGCCCGACATCAAAAAGATCGCAAGAGTTGTACGATTGCAAGAGATGGCCAACAGTTTGGGCGTGCCGCTAGATTCAGATTCGTCCAACCGCATAGCCCATGTCACGTTGATTTCCCCCCGAAGGAAACCAACGGGGAACCATTTGCTTCTTTTTTGTCCAGGGCCCTTGTTCAGCCCCCAGTTTGGACCATGGCACGCACTGCTTCGCACCCACGCGCACTGACGATCAAGGTGGCCACCTGGCTCGCGAAGATGCCGCGCTCAGATGGGGACACGCAGAAGCGGCGCCACGTGGCCAAGAGCCCCAGTGCCCTTTTGTGGTTGGGTGTTTTTTCACCTTTTGCAGGTGACTCAAGTGAGACAAGAAGTTGAGTGAGTTGCGACATGGCTAGGTCTCCCAGTAGTGCCCTTTTACCCTTTTTTGGTTGGGAGGGTTCCCCTACCAAAATAGAGTACAGCAAAACTGGGTACCCTTATTCTAACCTCTCTACTTCTCTACTGGAGGACCTAGAAGCGCAGGCTGTTCCGATCCTGTGCCCGGTACCCTCCCACCAATCAACATGGAACCTGCCGGGTGCCCTCAAACGGAAAATGGTCCAAATCAGGACACCCCGAACGTCAGGTTCCTTGTCAAAATTGATTTCCCCTTTCAACACCCCCCCTCAAAACAAGGCTGGCCTGACAAGTTTTCTGCCCGATCTTCGGAGCACCTCTTGGATGGAACGGTAAGAGGGGAGGTGGGGTGGGGGGGGGCGGGTGGCAAAGAATTGTCGAAAGGGACTGAAGGCTTGCATTATTTGCAATTTGGGGCCGCGACACTCGCAATTCAATTCTTCCCTTCCCAGTGGTTTTTCCCTTGTCCTGGGCCAACAGTTGGAACGTTGCACGGCTCCTTAGGATGCATTTGGGTCAGTGAGACAATGACCAAAATCCGGCTGAGTTAGAGGATCGCCTAAGAAGGTGATATGCATCATAAGGAACCCTGCTACACCGGTGCCCTGCACTTGAACCCAAAGTGGCATCCATTTGTCCTTTTTGGGCATGTAGGCTTTCCATGGAAAGCTATCAGCCTACAAAAACAGGGTCACTGGGCAATTGTGAACATGAATATTAGCTCCCTGCTGGGTTGAAACACATGTCACGAGTCGCGTGACGTGTCAGTGTTTTTTTCTCCGGAAAACGTGAGCCCTTAAGAAAGTGTCTACACTCCTCAGTTTCGTCAGGAAACCGTGCATTGTCACATTGTGGGGCACGCTTAGAGGGCTGCGGGTGGCGTTTCAGGCCTTAAGGGGCTCCCTCCCAAATCTATCAAAAGCGGTTGACACTACCCTTTTTGTTGTCCAACGTGGAAAAACAAGCACAACGGGGTTGATCAAAAATCCATTATATGGGATGACCATTGGGGAAAACCACTAAAACCTGATATGTCAACCACTAAATGAGAACTGTCTCCCATGGTCGAAACTGGGGGCCGAAGGGAATATTGACCAACCCAAGATCTAAGATCAGTGAAGCTTAAGAATGGCCCACTTGCCATGGTTATAAGTCTCTTAATTGGGTCATAACCAGGCTTACTAACCACTTATTAAGTACCCTGCCCCTTTAAGTATCTTTGAGCCTGGCCATGTATCACGTTGGTATGTGGGGGTTGGTCAATAATTATTCACTTCGGCAAGCTTCACTGTTCTCAGACCTTGGCAAGAGGGAGAAAAAAGCCTTCGGCAAGCTGCACTGTTCTTAGATCTTGGCAATTTTGACTTTTTTTTGATTCTGTTCAGTTTCAGCAGGTTGCAAGAAAGAGGCCGTTTTTTCGCAAGCCGTGGCAAGCCCATGGGAACCCCGCAGGAATTCTATGGCAAACCCATGGGAAGCCCATGCAAAACCCATGGGAAACCAATGCAAAACCCATGGGAAACCCATGCAAAGCCCATGGGAAACCCATGGGAAGCCCATGGGAAATTCTTCTAACGTCTCTACTGGAGGACCTAGATTATCTGTTGCAAGTAGTACTTGAAGGAGCCATGCACCGGTGGGTATGCCGTTTGTTGCAAGCCCGTAGCGGTACCGTTTCGCCCTTTAGCTAAAACCCGGAGGTGATCACCTGCGGGGATCAGCCCACCATCTTGGCCAGTACTTGGCGCGGCTACGGCGCCCGGGGCCCAAGTTGGCCCAAGTGGCCCCCGGAAACGGCGCTGGAAGGTTTCACAGCCAAACCACCAGATGATTCCATGTGCTTAAGAATATTTTGTGGTTTCCCCTGTTGGGTTTAAGAGGATCCCGGCAAAAAGGGGTTGAGATACCCCTGCAAACCATAGTCTAGCTACCCAAAGAACCTTCCCGCGGTTGACGGTAAAGCGAGCCCTCGGCTTGAAAGCGGACAGCTCAAGGTTCAACACCACCCAACCAAGAACAAATCAAGGTCTTTCATTTGCTTAAGAATATTTCTATTTTTCAGGGAATCTATCACTACTGGATTTTTGTTTAATTTTTCCAGGGGGCGACAAAGCAAATGGCAGGATGCCAGAGGCTCACTTCCTCAGTTCCGGAAGCCGGACTTTGACACCTGCACTTTTTGCTTCAAGCTGTTTTGGTACCTGAGTTCCGGAAGTCGGACTTTAGTCGTTTTTTTTTGGGGTTTGGCAGCCATTCGGACGTGGACCAACAGTTTGGTGACATTTTCTGACCAATCCGCTCGGGAAGTGAGGTGTAGCGGGTGTGAGGGTGAGTGGGTGAGCGGGGTGAGCGGGTGAGTGGGTGAGCGGGTGAGTGGGTGTGCGTGAGCAGGTGAGCTGAGCGGATGAGCGCGTGAGCGGGTGAGCGGGTGATTGTGAGTGGGCCAGCGGGCCAGTGGGCGAATGAGTGGGTGAGCGGGTGAGTGGGTGAGTGGGCGACTGGGTTGGGTGGGTGGGTGGGTGGGTGGGTGGGTGGGTGGGTGGGTGGGTGGGTGGGTGGGTGGGTGGGTGGGTGGGTGGGTGGGTGGGTGGGTGGGTGGGTGGGTGGGTGGGTGGGTGGGTGGGTGGGTGGGTGGGTGGGTGGGTGGGTGGGTGAGGGGTGGGTGAGGGGTGGGTGGGCTCGTGGGTGATAGGGTGGGTGAGTGGGTGAGTGGGTGGGTGAGCGGGTGGGTCAGTGGGTGAGTGAGTGAGTGTCAGTAGGTTGTTCGATTGGATGCCCCACCGGTGAAATGCGTGGGTCTTCACTATGGGTTTAGGGTAGACCCCTTCACTGCCCAGTGCCAAGTGCCGACTGCTTGTAAACAGAAGAAACCAACAATGCCCAGTTGTAACCTTGACGCGCCGGTTGCCCTGGTGGATTCCACCTGTAGTTTCCTTCCAGGACTTATAAGTCATTCTGCGTTTTAAACACCATTACTCTATTCAGTATACCTTGCAGTTGATGAGTATGCACACACACACATATATATATATATGTATATGAGTAGTGGTTGGTCATTCCATCCCCCAAAATGCAACTTGCATGTTTACGATCTCTTTCATCCCAGTCGTTCTTTTAAACGGTACCTTTCTTCCAACGCCGTTTTCGGAGCTCCACGGCACTCGTCTCGGGAAATCGGCCAGGTGAAGGTCCAGCGCTTTCCTGTGCCTCCGGTGGCTCATCTCAGACCTCCAGTTGGAGTTGGGACACTACTGCGGGTGGACGAAATCCATTTCGCACCACTTTGAAACCATAGCAAACCAGTGTTTGTTGGTATTTACAGGGGAAGCATCACCCCAGGGTTTTTTGGGTGGTGCAGGATTTCGTCCATCCACAGTAGGTTGCCCTTTGAGAGGTTAGTGTGGTTTGAAATCGAAGGCGCTGGCTGATGTTTTTTTTTGATTCCATTTTACCAGGGCAAAGAAGTATCCAACAGGTCACCTAAGATCTCATGTTAGTACTCCAGATGTGCGCCAAGTGGTGAGATATGAGAAAATCAAAAGCGGCTCAAGAAAGTTTGTGCACTTTTGGAGGGTCCCGGAAACCCGCTATTTCTTTTCCAACAACCCTAGCCGGGTTTTCCTTGAACAAAAAATACGGTACTTAGAAAATGGCGAAGTTGTGTCAACCGTTGCGTTTTTGCGGGGCCGTTTTTTTTTTTTTGAAATCAAGCCCCAGAAAGGTGCCGTTGGTCAACTTGGGTTCAGAGGGCGCAGAGGGGTTAATTAATTGCAAAACATGTAAAAGTTCACCTAGATGAGGGTTTAATCTAATATTGATGTACTTCAAAAACCATGTTCAAATAACTAGACTCAAGAAATGTTCATTTCAACAGCTTCTTCATTTTTTTCGCAACCAGGCGCCCTGGAAGCCCTTTTTTTCACTCGGTTCCATGTTTGGTGAGAGGGGGGTGAACCCTGAGGATTTAGACGAGCATTTAACTGGCCTTTTCGAGACACGGACGATATGGGACTAGATATGGGTGTGGCAATCAAAAATAAATTCTATCGGAGGGGGCACACTTCCGCAGGTTTTGGTACCCATGTTTTTCCACTTACCGATCGGGCAAGCCATTTGGAATTCCGGCTTTTTTGAGCCACAGCCATCTACCGGAGTTTTGTTTGAAGGAAAGGGAGGATTGAGCAATGGAATTGAGCGGGAAGGCAGCCTGCAGAGAACCACTGTCCATGTCTCCCGATCCTTTTCACAGAAGGGGCTTGTGAACTTTGAGTTTGTGGGATGGTTTTTCCTCGTCAAGCCGACGAGTTAAATGGCAGGGAGCTCCTTCATTCCTCCAGGTTTCTAGTTTTCTGTTGAAAGCCAATTGGGAGGTACCCCGATTGCAACCCCAACAAACCTGTCCAAGAGGGGTAGTTCAATTTGGTTTCTTCACAGCTGCCTCCCAAACCAGAGTGAGCATTTCGGAGGGCTCTCATCACTTGTTCGGGTGGGCTCCTTTTATCCTGGCAAATTGGATAGAGTTTGTGAACTCTGATTTTTCCATCTGAACCTTGTGCAAACACAAACTCTTCAATCCAGCACCTTCCAAAGGCTCTCTGTTTGCCTCAGAAGTGAGCAAGTAAAGGGCTCTTTGGGTACCATTTGATAGCCCTTGCAGGGTTGCGGATATGGGGCGAAAGCCCATGTAAACACACCAATGGATGCCGCCAAGGTTCGCAACCGAACAAATCGAGGTGCGCAGCCGATCCTTTGCGCGGAAGGACGGCGCCGGCGATGCCTTCGCAGGATCGAAGCGAGGGGGAAAGGGATGTGATGTTTGCTTCCATTCGGTTTTGTCTTCTGTTGGTGGTAGCCTTTTTCGGGGGGGGGGGAGACGGGGGGGTAGGTTCTTTTGGTGGTAGCCTATTCGGTGTTGTCTTCGATTCTCTTGGTGGTAGCCTTGTTTTTGTGCCGGAGGGAGGGGGGTCAAAGCGAAACCAAACCAACAGGAAAACCGTTGCGCCATTTTGGAGGGGTCACTAAAAAGTGTCACACCCTGTTGCCTAAGAATATGTTTTCCCGCCAAATGGTTTTGACGGGGATCTATACCTCAAAATATACGTTTTCTCTAGAACACTTTTGCACATGGAAGGAATGCAAGCGAACATCACCTGTTCGGCCAATTCAAGGTGAGCTTCCCTTGGCAGGGATGATGTTTTCAGGTTGGAAATGTGAGGTTTGATCACGCTGCTAGTTTATGATTAATATGGGGGGACCCGTGAATTTTTTGAGACAAGTGACAAGGGGACGAACTCTATGTTCCCATGTCGTTTGGGACCGCGTATTTTGACGGCTGTGACTATGGGGAGCGATAGAAACGATTCCACTCCCTCCAAACTTTTTTTTCAGGTTGGTCAGCTTCTGTAAGGCCGAGTGGATTCTACCCCGAACCCTCACCGTTAGATGAAGCTTAGTCCCAAAGCCTGTTCTCTACACGGTTTTGGGTCGGCCCCTGTACTATACCAGGTGATTGTGATTCTTCTGGATTCCAGCGAAGTGGGTGTATCTTTTAAAGGGAGCCTTTGCCTGGGGTGCTTGTCATTTAGAAAAAATATATTTTTTGCAAGCCGGCCAACTAAATCCAACCCTGCCCCCTCTCTGCAAATGGTGTCCGGGCGCTCGGAAGCGTGAGCGCATGGCTGACCAAATGTGACCAAAAACCCATACAATACTGGGGGAGACGGGTGACTGGGTGACACCCGGCATTTAACTTTTGGGTTGAAATCAAGTTGGGTTTCCCACTAAACCCCCCAAAAAGTGAAGAACTTTTTACAGGGGGGTCGTTGCAACCAAGCATCCGACTCGAAAAACATAGGGAACCCTTCCCCCTCCCCCCTCCCTCGGCGCAAAGCCGAAAATTGAGAGCCAGGCGGCTTCCTCTACGGGCTCATGCACAAGGCTGCGAGAGGGCGTGAGCGCCGCAAAGACGTAGGTGCCCAATTTTTGGGAATACGTAGATTCATTCCCAAAACCCCAGGTCCCTAATCCCTTCCCCCTAAAAAATAAACGAACCCCATTCATAGGTGTCCTTTTTGGTTGTTTTGGTCGAAAAATAGATGGGTTCCCCTGGTTTACCCGGTGGTTTACAGGGCCATCTATTTGCCCTCCAGAACTCAAGCTTGGGCACCCTCCCGGAAAACTTGGCACCTGAAACAACTATCGGGTCCTTGGGATGGTCTAAACTTCTACTCACTTGCCCAAAGCGAATCGGCCTTTGAAATCTTGGTTCCGAAAAGGTGATCACCTTTCATTTCTGGGTCCGAAGCGGGCAACTGAGCAGTGGCATGCTACCATATGCCATTTCTTTGTGTCTAGGGCCTGGACTTTTCACATCAGAGCTCCAATTTTGGCCGTGCTTGGAGATGATATCTTGGTGGAGGCGTTTTTATCGTTTTTTCTTTAACTAACACATCAACTTTTGAACATGGAAACCGCTTCCTTTTGCCCCAATTTGCAACTTCTATGTGCTTTGAAGTGTCTCAACCAATGTTTTGCCAAAAAACATAAATACTATATTTTTCTCCCTGTGCAGTCCGTGTTCTCACACCTAGTTTGGATCTGCTTCAGTTTGGGGTTGCCGGCGTTTGTTGTTTTCTCCCTTAAACATCTTTGAACCAGGTTTTTGGGAGTTGTAGAAGAAGGTGTGCAGGTTTTGCTGCTTTGCTGTAGGGTGTGGCTGGCTCTCGGCCCCACGTTCCCGTAGCCATTTTGGCTCAAGGGAGAGCTTGAGTCAGGCTGCAGCACACCATCTCTTGTGTCAAGATCAGGAGTCTGTTGCCCGAGAAGCCTGCACAGCAGCTTCAAGCCATGACCTCAAAAGGAGAGGGCTCTGGAGGCGGCCACGGTGAGAGCAAAAAGGCAGGCAGGAGCCTCATCGGATCTGTTTCGAGGAAACACATGAAGGTCCTCAACAACGCGATAGATAAGGCCGCAGTGGGAGCTGTCGGAGGAGTGTCCCCGGTTGACTCACCCACGAGCAACATAGACAAGAAGCTCGCAGACACGTCAGAGGTTGAAGTGGGTGCGTGTGTTCAACCAGAACGGGAGCGGAATTGCCGCCCTCATGGCGCTTCTCTTCTTCTACAACGGGGCGGAGAAGATGGCGGCCTTGTCGATCATCTTGTCTCTCAATCGGCTGCTGACGGATCAAAACTCGCTGGAGACAACCTTGGGCCTGAGGGCTAACGTCCTAACGATCGCAGAGAAGAGCCTCTTGGAATGCTATGCAGCTGCGTCGAGCCATATGAACAATACGCTTGCGAGAGCGGACGTCAATGAGGCGAGCATGTTCCTCAGCGAACCACCCACAGGACCGTGTATGTCGGTAGCCATAGCAATGCTTTTGCTCATTGCAGCAAAGCAGCAACAGGGATCGACTGCTGTCTCGTACATGCGGAACCGGGCCAATGCGTTCATGAACACGGCTGGCATCGCTTGCCCGGAGCGCGTGTTGTTCACTCGACTGGCTTTAAACCTCGTAAGTTTCGCGCAGTTGACCCCTGTGGTGCTCGCCCTGAAATTCGCCCTTGCAACCCCGGGCATGGCGGAACTTCCAACGATATCTGGAGAGTTGACAAGGCTCGCTGCCGGGCTTCATGCTGTCGAGCAGTCGGGTGAGAAGCTCGAGCACGCTCCGCATCAGGATCGTCCCTTCTCATCGGGAAGGCTGTGCCACACCTCGCACACATCGGACGACACATTGCGATCGCTGTGGAAGGGAGCCGATGGAACCAAGTGAAGTTGCCGGGAGGTACAATCCAGTCCGTGATTGACTCGGGGATAGCCGTGTTCGAGCGCACGAGAGACATCCCAAGAGCGGTCGAGGACATGGCCGGACACTGGGTCCTCAGAGGAGGATGAGAAACCGAAGAAGAAGAGGTCAAGCCAGTGAGAGTTTTTGTGGAAATTTGGCGTTGCAAGAGAGGCTTTTTAGGGCGCTTTTGCCAGACCTAAGCGACTGTCTACTCGTCAAGCTGGGATGAGAACAAGATCTACCTTTGGTTGCCCGGCAAACTTTGCAGCTTTTGCTGGCACGTGGCTTCTTCTTTTTTAGACAAAGGGCCAGAGAAGGCCGTCAACCTGCCCTTCCGAGCAACTCCGCAGCTTAGTGCGTTAGTGGCAACAACTTGTTGCCTTTTTCTGCTGCCGGCTTCTTACATTGGTCACTAATTGTGGCGCAGTCACTTGTGACTACTCGAAAGTCATCAAGAAAAGTTTAGGAAGAGCTTCAACACTGGAGCTAATTGAGCTGCCTATGCTTTCTCCAAGCAACATTTGCATTTGTTGGACTCTGTTTAGTGTGATCCCCCCCCCTTCTGGAAGAGTGGAACCAGTCGGCGGGACTCTCTTTAGGGAGATCCCGGGGGTCCGGGAGGGGCAGTACTTACTTTCGTATTGCCAATTCTACTTTATTGCCAAGGCTGGCTCTCAGATCCCCAGCACTTACTTTAGTATTGCAAATTCTACTTTCGTATTGCCAAGGCTGGCTCTCAGATCCCCAGTACTTACTTTAGCATTGCCAATTCTACTTTAGTATTGCCAAGGCTGACTCTCAGATTCCCAGTACTTACTTTAGTATTGCAAATTCTACTTTAGTATTGCCAAGGGTCGTTTTTTCAGCAACCCCCGAAACCAGTTGGACACTAAAGAGGACCCCAAAACAGTCGCATTAAAGAGGATCTGGGCCTCTTGTGGGCACCCCCCTTTGTGCGACTGTTTGCCCGCACTTTTTTGCAAAGAAGCTATCTTAAATTGATGGTTTGGGAACAACTTGCAAAATCGATTTCCTAGATGTCAGGCCTTTAGCCTTTGAGCTGGGGATAGCTTAGGATGCGTCCCCTTCTTTAAAAGTAAAAGGCTGAGGCTTTGGTTTTCAGTTTTCAGCAACCCCGAAACCACTGGACACTAAAGAGGACCCCAAAACAATCGCATTAAAGAGGATTTGGGCCTCTTGTGGGCACCCCCCCTTTGTGTGACTGTTTGCCCGCACTTTTTTGTAAAGAAGTTGTCTTAAATTTGATGGTTTGGGGACCACTTCAAGACCTGAGCCCGAGCAAATCCAGAAAGCGAAGAAAGAAGCTCTGCGTTTTTTTTGAATTTTTGGGGGGACACAAAAAAACTTGCCACAATAGAGAACCCGTAAAACAGTCACAGGACTCTGGATTAGGAAAAAGTTTTCTACAATAGCGAGCACTATTACTAAAGGAGGTCCAACATTAGTGGGCAGACAACAAGTCGTGGCTGTGGGGGGCATTGGTAAGTTGTTGCCGGTGATGGAGGCGTTACTTCGATGATGTTGGCGTTTAGGTTTTGTGTGGTTTTGGGTTGTGTTTATTTGTAGTAGGGGGCTGCAAGGAACAGTTTTTTTGGCAAGTCCACATCAGTTTTGGTTAAGTTTCGTTTGCGAGCCCTTTCAGCTAAAACAACAGAATTCCGCAGCCTGCAATCCTTCAAAGGCAGACATGTGGCGTGTGTTCTCCTCTTGGCAATCTCGTGAACTTGTTCCTTGCCCCATATTGGCACCCACGTGGGTGCCGCGGTTTTCAAAGGCCAATTTACCGAGGTTTCCGGACCAGGGATACACCTTAAAAAAATGCGGTGCATGTAGAATCCCTTTATCAAGGGTTCAACTCAAGCCACCAATCCAAAAAGCGTCACCTGCCTGAAAATTACTATCCTTTGAGGAAGCTTGTTCATTCAGGTCAGACTTATGGCCTCAGGCTGATGTTGACAGCTGCGTGCAGCTGGCGCTCTACTGCCCATGCTCTCAGAAGTCTTTTGCTCGCAGACCTTCTGGGCTAAGGCAATCCTTAATCCTTGGGCGGGGCTGGTTCCTAAGGATTTCAAGAAGTTGAGCCAATCTGGAAGCAGATTCTGAAGAGGTTCCCTTGGTTTTCACCAATCGTTCATGCGGCCTTAGAAAGCAGCCCGTTGGTTCCCAAAGGATTTGGTCTCCGTGGTTGCTCGGGACGTGATTCGGATGTAAGCCTGACTTCCCAGAGTCCGTGTGGGAGGTTTCCTTCGGGGCGGTTGTTGGGCTGGCTGCGATTGCCAGAGGAATTCTCCGGCCTTGACATGGGTGTTGGTCATCCATGTATCCAGAGAGGCCGGCAATTAGTCATGAACCACTTGAGGAAAAAACGGTAGGGCACGAAATCAGTTCGGAATGGATTTTTGCAATCCGGGTTTCTTCAGGCCCTCGATTCCATAGAAATTGACTGGGCGACCTGCTTCTAGCTCAGGCAACAGGATTTGCCAAGTTACTAAGTTCTAGGATTTGATTTCCCCATTCTTTTCCGCCATGGTTCTTTTCCACCATGGTTCTTTTCCAAAACCCGGATCCGTTTCCCTGAGTTTTTTAAGGTTTCCTGAAAAGAAACACGGATCCTCGGGAAGAACCATGGTTCTGAAACAAAACCCCGCTGATTCCTTCTGGGTTTTTGATTTGTTTCTCAAAAGAAGGACAGAACGGAAATAGAAGCTTCCCCTAGACAAGTGGTTGGCTTATTGCATGCCCCGAAGGTGTGCCACTCTCTCAGGTGCCAGCGTGGCAGTGCAACGCACCGGTCCAGGTGCGACGCCTCGACTTTTCAGTCGGGTGCCAAACATATAGTTCTTACATTTGCTGAAGTGTTTTTTCCCCCGCCCTGCTGGTTTTAAAGGGAATCTTTCACTACTGGACGTATTTTCACATTTTCCCAGGGGGCGAAAACGCCAATGGCAGTAGTTCTTCGATTGGACGGTCTTCGGCAGGGAAACCCCGGGAAACCCCCCACTGCCCCCAAAGGCCCACCGTTTTTTCATTCTGGAGGCCCAATTGATACAGAATGCTTACCTCTTAAAAACACAAAACGTTTCTCAACTTTTTGGGTAACATGGGCTATATGTCTGTAAAAGATTAAATTCCCCAGGGCTTGGAGTTTTAAGGGATAAGAAAAATGGATGACCTTACTGCGGCTGGTTGAAATCGAAATCCATTTCGATGTCACTGCCGTTCAGAAACCCAACGGTTCCTGATTCAATTCCACCACGTGAACACCAAGACACGTTGTGGTTTCAACCATGGTTTTTGAATTGGATTTCGTCCATCCACAGTATGATTGGGAAACCAAGGTTTCCCAGTGTCTCTAAAGGCCCACCGCAAGTTATCCCTTGGGGGGGGGACACGTTGTGAGAACCCCTGGCAGCGGTGAATCATGCACAAAAAGCGTGAGGTTTGTTTAAACTCCCCCCTCCCCCGTGTTGGTGTGTGTGTGTGCAACCTATGTGCTTTGAACATATGGACCATATGGATATGTGTCAAAAATTGGGACCCTCCCAAAATGGTGACTCCGTTTGGGGTTTTCCCTTTGCGCTTCCTGAAATTCGCAGCCCAAAGGCACGCACCCCGAGAGGCTTTGGGCAACCATTTTAGAGAAACAGTTTAGACTTGTCTTGCTGGTGCGATCGGCAGGGAATGAGGGAATGACCCCCAAAAAAAGCACAACAACTGGTGGTTTCAACTTCAAGGGGACCAAAGCCAGAGTTCATTCAACCATCATTCAACCACATTCACCACTGATCGCAGCAAGTTGGCTGCAGGCCAATCCACTCAAGCGAGTGAATTTGCCCGAGCCAATCTCCCGCCAGGCTTCTCCTTCAAGGACAAGCCCAGCCTCAAGTTGGCCTGAAGCCGCAGGCGCGCTCGAAACCATGCCGGTTTCTCACCACCAAAGGTGTTGATTTCAACAGAGACCAGCAATCCTTTTGGAGGGATCCTGAATTTTGAGACACGCTCAAACGGGCCTTGAATTCGTTCGATCGACACGGCCCATGTCTCCGATCTATGGAGTTCTACGAGTGAGGTGTGCCGTCGTTTCCGGTCTTTCTTCAGATGTTTGCGGCAGCGAGCCTTGGTTCGACATTCACCAGCTCCTTGTCGGAAGGAACGCTTTTGGACGGGTCCCTCAAGGCAGCACAGAAGACCAAGGTCCAAAAAGGGGGCCCGGGGCCAACTTGAGGCTTCGGAAACAGGTTTGGACTGCATGAGTCGAGTTTGGCGTGCCTTCGAAATGTCGAACACTTGATCGCTTGGAAATGTAGGCCAGGGTCAGTGCATGGCAGGTGGTTTGACTTGCTTCAGCCTTTGGGGATGCTTGCGGATTTGTTCTCCACGAACTGTCCAAAATGATGGACGATGAGTGGCCGGAAAGGACAAACCAACATGCGGTTGCATCTGCTGCGATGTTCTGCGCTTGCTGTTCTGTGTGTCAACAATACTAAATGAAAAAAACAACTTGGCCCAAGTCAGTCTGACTGTTTGGGCCTCCACTCGCTTTACTCTCCAATGTCCAATGGGCTGCCACTCTGCCTTTGAAACCGTTGGGCAAACTGAACAGGCCATGCATTTCGATTGGGGGGCCGGGCATTTTGACTCGAATGAAGTTGTCCGGGAATTGAAACCTTCAAGCTTTAACATCGTATGGCTTTCTTTACTGCATCTCAACTCCTGCCGAGTGAATAACACCCCTTCCTGTTACCTTACGTAGCCGTCAAGATTGAGATGAATCTAAAGGGTACATGCAAACCCACGTTCCCCGATCTATGTGTCTGGTCCTGGTGTGAGTGTCTTTGGTCCAGATATGGAACAGATTACCAATGCAAAAACCAAGCGAACTCAACAGCAACGGCAAGGTGCAGATCAATGGCTCGGAATTTTCGGGGCAAACTGGAAAAGGAAGGCAACACATCAGGAAGAAACACAGCGTCAACAGGAGGGATTGAGCCACAGTTTTTAGGTTTTGAAGCTTCAGGCTGCAGAATACGAAAGGGCAAAACGTGCCCCAGCAAGCGACCCCAAACAGTGGGTCAAAAACAAAATTTGAGACCGGAATCCAGCCAGAGACACCATCACAACACGGGAACTCCACGGGAATCTGGGCGCATAGCAAGAGCCAATGCTGCAGGACGCACCGAAAGGCATCCGCAGGGTCGTGAAGGCTTCCATGGACCTGAGAATATGTTTTTCCCCACCCGACAGGAAGGGGTTGTTAGATTTTATGTTGGAATCCGCGTTTGCGATGCTTCTACACCACGCCCCCACCCAGTATCCCGCCAGAGCAGCTCGCCAGTGGATCCCGCCGAGTATCCCGCCAGAGGTAACATGAAGGTAGCTGCAGCCCCCTGTCTTGCTGTGCAGAATGTCCTGAAATGACCGCAAAGGGTCTCTAGAAGGTCTTGCACATGCTCTTCAATCAGGGGTCTTCTGAAAGCTCCCGGCGAAAGAGGATCTCCCTTGGAAAAGAGGTTCCGCGCAAGACGTCTCTGAGAGAGCTTCTACTAAGGTTTCAAGTAGAAAGTCCTGGATCTCTTGGCAAGATCTGTGTGCAGGATCTCCGGGACAGTTCTCTACAAGTTCTTTCTTCAGGTTCTGCAGAGGGCATCCCCCACAAGATCCTCCTGGCATCAAATTGGGGGCTGTCTTGCTGATTTCCCCGTGTTGCAGGCAAACCCGGGGGACGGGGATAGTTTGAAGTAGTAGTTTTTGCAAATTATCTTCGCAAGCGTTTTTCCCAAGAGCTATGATCTATGCAAGCTCGCGTTGCGAGCTCCTCTTTGCGAGCTTTCGGAAAACATGCGGAGGTTGAGTGTTTTCCCGAGCCACAAACGAAGCAACGATTGTGTAGTTTGTAACGTGATGCATTTATCAACCATGTAAAACCCCAATGCATGAATGTCTCACTTGCGCAGTCTCATCATTACGACTGCGTATGGCTCAAGGAAAAAGCGCGCTGAGTACAGGGTTCATTTGTGACCCTTCCCGGTTGTTTAACCTGTTCTATAGGTTATCAGCCGCAAGCGGCTCTTTGTACAGAGTTGTACGCCATGGATGGCGACCCTGGACTACCCCATACCGAGGCGCGTCCCACACCTGATGAGCCCGCAGGCGATGAAGACGCCTCGCAATATGAACCGACTAGTCGAGCAAACTCCCAAGTGGCCAGGGAGCTCATCAGGAAGGGACAGGCACTGAGCAGTCAGGGCCCCGAATCACTTCGATCTCGGAGTGACCGTGGGAGGACTGGGCGGTCTGGTGCTCGATCTCCTTCACCTGTTGGATCAGATCGGCATCGGCATGGTGACATCGTCATGTACGACCCCCAGACCGATCTCGCAAGGGGAAACCCTATGCCACAGTCCATGAATCAGTTCAACCAACATGTTGCAAACGTCCACCTCGATCCTTCGATGACGATCAACCAGGACGTGACGAACTATCAGCAGATCAACGCTACCCAGAACAATGCCCAATTCAACCAGTTCGTGAATCAGGACACCGGTCCCATGGTCGCCCAGATGGCGGAGGCAAGGCATGGTGAGATTATTGCCGGACTTCAAAGCCAATCGGAGGCCATGAGACGCGAGATTCAAATGAATGCGGAGCAGCGTGTGAACACCATGAAATCGGAAAGAGAAGCCGAGATGAAGTACCAAAACGCCATGAACACGATCAGCGAGCAGGAGAAGCAGATCAGGGAGCTAAGGGCTATGGTCGAGCAGATGATGCAAAATCAGCAGCAACCGCCTGCTCAACCTGCTCCAGCCCCTGCGCCTCCCGTTCAGCAGGCACCAGCTACCCCCTTGGCTATCCCGACCGTTCCTTTGGCTGCATCTCCACCCGGACTTTCGAATGCTTCCTCGCACAGTTGGACGAAGGTCGGGAGCGACCCCTACGGCAAAGACGGATCCGTTCCCGCCGGGGCCGTGGACGATGCTGCTACCGGAGACGGTTGGCCTTGCGATGACGGTGATGGTGGAAATGACAAGGACAAGAAAAAGAAGAAGAAGAAGAAAAAGAAGAAGGACCGTAGCCGACGCCGGCGACGAGATCCATCATCTTCTCCCTCGTCATCTTCGTCATCAACTTCTACTGCATCGGATGAATCCTTTCGACGAAAGCTACTGAAGCACTTAGGTAATTCGAGCGATCCGACAGCGGAACGCGTTCGTGTAAAGGAGGGTGACAGAATTCAGATTCCCCGATTCCCGAAGCCCGAACAGTACCGTAATTGGAGGATCAAAGTTAGGGATGCTGTTGTTGCTACTTCCGACCAACCCGAAAAGGCATTTGAGTGGATTGAGGCAACTTGGATCCCAGGTCAAACTGTTGAAGTCCTTCGTGATTCAGGAATGTTTGTCCATCTTGATGCAAAGCTGGCATCGGCGTTGACGAATATTTTGGAGGGCGACCTCGCGCGGCAAGTCGACATTTTCAAAGAACAAGAAGCAAAGGAGAAACGCTACGCGAGGGGGCGCCAAATTCTTTTGATGATTCACAAGCACTTCAGCACGAACATCAAACATGGTGCAATTTACGACTTTGAGGACTTGCTCTCTGTCCAGCTCATCAACGAGGACCTCAAGAACTTCATGACAAGATGGGACACGGTCATCGCTGGAATGGGCAATGAGCAGAATGAGAAGACCCTTGAAGCGCTGTTCCACCGCCAGATTCGAAAGTTTCGCCTCTCAGTCATGATCTCAATGAGTATGAGCGGGCTGAGGAAGGGACGGAAAAGCACTCCTATAAATTCCTGATTGACGCATCGAGGAATTATTTGGAGCGTAAGAGGCTTGTTCACATGCGGGATGCTATGTCAAGCAACACAACTGGACGTGGCAGGACTCCATCGAACAACCCTGCAGTTCCTGGAATCCCCAAGGGTGTATGTGTGAAATTTCAAACTGGCCAGTGCACCTATGGTTCAGACTGCCGATTCGAACATGTTAAGGCACCGAAAGGTAAGGGGAAAGGCAAGAAGGGCGGATCTAGACCCCAGACGCCAAGGAAGTATCGTTCGCAGAGTCCTCCTGGTTCGAAGCCCCAGGTGTGCAAGTTCTTCAAAGCGAACAGATGTGAGAGAGGGAAAGATTGCCCATGGCAGCACCCCGCAACTTCCAAGGCAGCTCCAGCCCCAAAGGCCGAGAAGACCACTAGTGGAGACACCCCCAAGACATCGCCGAGAGAGAAAAAGAAGAAGAAGAAGGGAAGCAGGCCTTCTTCTCAAGATTCGAAAGACTCGAAGGGTTCTCAGTCCCTCAAGTCTCCGCGATCGTCAAAAGGCAGCAATGCTGCGGTGTGCCTCCTCCAGGCGATGGTGTGCGCCGCGACCCTCGACTCGGTCGCCTCGCATCCTTGCCTGCCTAGTGTGACTCACGATGTTTTCCAGAGTATGCCATGTATCAAGAAGTGCGTGCAATTCTCTGATTACCCATCTATTTCGAACTATGAGACTGACGGCGAGCTTTGGCCCTACACTGCCTCGTCGAGAAGGTTTGCACACGAGTTTCCTGTTGATTATGTTCCGAAGTTCGATGAGAGAGCTGTCTCTGACGCAACTCTTATCGGCACCATGCATGAAGCTATGATGAAGGATTTGCTCAAAGGCACGAAGACTCCTTGCAAATTTCAATGCGACTCTGATTTCGGCTGTGATTCCTGCATCCCCGCAGGCCTAACGGCCGAGCCAGAGAAGCCCGAGACCTCCCCCAAAAAGGGGAAAGCTGCTGTTGCTCGTATGACAATGGATTCTTCTCACATTCCGTGGATCGCGGATACAGGAGCTTCCCAGGATTTGCTGTCGGGAACCGATGCGGAGGTGGGGTGTATTTACGAATCGTCTCAACCTCTGAAATTTT